GCCCTCCGCAACGAAGAAGCCCCTACTGCGCCTGCGCGCTGATGGCCTTGAGTAGCGGGTTGCGAAGAGCGTTGCGGGATGGCGAAAACTATCTACGAAAGAACTCCCTAAAGTGAAGACTGCGGCACATCCAGTGAGCGGCTTGTCCCGCTACAAGGATGGCACCTGTATCTCTCTCTCTCTCGCATGTGCTTGCATTTTTCAATGTGACGATCTTGGGCCGTCACCTTTCGGAGGGGGGCGACGTGAGGAAAAATTTCCGAGACCATCGAGCCAGCCGGCCGAGACGCTCCGATTAGGGTGACCACCCGTCCTGCGACTCGCGGGACTGTCCCGCATTGAGGGCTCGTGTCCCGCCGTCCCGCTAGACATTCCCGAAATCTTCAAAATGTCCCGCATTTCACACTGTCGTAAAATTAATTCCGCTACTCATGGTGCTGCCGAAGAGCGGCGCACGAGGAAGCGCAAAGGTCGCTGGTAATCGTATGAACCATTTTCTATTTAAGCATTACGAGAAGCGACCGACGTTCTTGCAGGAAACACGACGCGCATGCGCCGTTGTGCCTCTCCCCTTGGTGGTAGAATTTTGTAAGAGAAAATTGCTCGCCAAAAGTTTAAATATTGTAATTATTTTCTATCGCTGTGTCAATGCAAAAAGGTTGCTGTAATTTTTTTTTTTTTTTTTTTTTTTTTTTTTTTTTTAGCGAGGACAGCCACACAAGGCAAAAAGACGAACTCACAATATTCGCGAAAGAGCATAATGTTAAAAAATTGTGAGGGACTAAGTTGATAAAAGTAAGCGTTGACAAGAAACCATAACCCGTAAAAGATTTACTGTTTCTTAATTTCATTTGATGCATAGTGGTCTGCTGCAGTTGATTTTTATGCTTTCAACTTCGCAGTGGGAGTGAAAATCATTCGATCTTAATTGCTGCAATACATTTGGCAGGTGTATAAAGAGTACAAGATATAAATGTGTTAAGAGAGCCTGGGTTCGTGCTGTGCGTGTTCATAAATTTACCCCCCCCCCCCCCCCCCCCCCCCCCCCCCCCCTTGCCCCGCGTGTCGCGCATTTCGCTAGTTGAAACTAGGGATGCCGCGAACTTTTTTCGATTCGAAGTTTCGATGATCGAATCAAGCGTTTCGAAAGGTTCAAAATATTTCGAACTTTCCATATCGAGAAATTCGACGGAGGTCGAATTTTCGACCTTGTTAAACTGAGAAGTTCGACGCTTTGCGAAATTTCGAACTTATTACGCTGCAAAATTCGATGCTTATCGAACTTTGGAACTTGATAGACTAAAAAATCGATGATTTTCAAACTTTCGAATTTCTTGCACTAAAAAGTTCGAAGCTGTTCGAACTTTCGAACTTCCTACGCTAAGAAATACGATAATTTTCGAACTTCCGATTCCTGAAAAGTCAAAAGTTCGACGAACTTCGATTTTTTGGGTAAAAGTTTGAAGTTCGTCGAACTTCGAAAGTCGGGCGAGCGGTTTCATTTGGATTTAAGCAGTGAGGTACATTCGTAATTTTTTTTGCTCACATTTTTACATGTGGTGCCGCATTCTTTGCGAAAGACAATGCCGTTTATTTCAATCATCTGGCATGCTTGGTTTGAAAGAAATAGATTCCCGAAGGAGCGAGGAAGGACGGCGGGTTTTTGACAATGGTCGTTAGTGCCATATTTGAAGCGCGTCGTAGCCGAAGATATTTATGATAGAGATGTTCAACTTTTTTTTAAGAATGATCAATGTATAACCTCGGTAAGTGTCATCTTAAGATATGATTATTGTTGTTCAAGACGAGTTTCGAAGAAATATCCAAATATGTATCTACGGGCAATTATGCCCTAAACTTGGTAATTTTTTTCGTCGAAATTGTTTGAGGTATTGCATTTAAATTAACACCACAGACAGTACATATCATTACTATCTGCAGAATGCAAATTAATGCATATATTGTTCTTTCCACATTGAGGAATAAATTAATTCAAAGAAAAAGATTTCTAATATTGTTCAAATTCGGCAAATCATAAAAAAAAAACATTTTTTTTTTTTATTTTACTTTTTTGGGACGTGTTTCTTTTAGCCTGTACACATTTTGGTAGGAGAAATTTGTTTCGTAGTTCTGGGCCTCTGAATATGCAAGAACACCACACTTCCGACAGATTCTTGATAGTTTTTTTTTTTTTTTTTTTCTCCAGGTTTTTATTTTTTGCATTTATTGTTATGTTTATTTATTTCTTATTTCTTACCAATGGCACAGTTATTTAGGTTGAAAAGACATAGCTTTAAACTTCCGAACCACTAAGCATGTGACGAGTAGTGCCTTCTGACGAGTTTTTAACAATGACCATCTACGCGATCTTTTATGCAGTGAACGACAGTAGCTATACATATGCATAAATAATTTCATATTAATATAAGCTCGACCATGCCTTCTTTCCCCGTATTGTTTTCTTTAACAGCCCGAAATATCTAGAGGGGGAGACTGGAGCCGCCCCCCCCCCCCCCCCCCCCCCTTCCCCCCCGTTTTTCCTATTCCGACGCTGCTAATACGGTAGAACGATCCTCGACCCCAAGTTGTGTCGGCTTCTGTGCTTTTTGCTTGGCGTTTCTTCCGCCTCCGAAAATAAACCTCCAAAACAATTACAAACTAAAAAATTGTCAAGGTGCAAGCGATCTGGTGTCTGTTGATCATGATGCAAAATCCCGAGACTGGGAATGAAATTCGAAAGAAATAGTGTAAGAAGAAAGAGAAAAGGGGACATGACAAAGTCTCAGACTCAGTTGAGTTGAGTTTGAGACGTTATTCCTGAGCTGAGTTTTCAGCCGAGTTGAGTTTGAGACGTTGTCCTGAGCCGAGTTTGAAACGCTGTCCTGTCCTCCTTTTTTTTTTTTTTTTTTTTTCTTTGTCGTTTTGCATTTTTTTTTTTTTTAATTTCATTCCCAGTCTCAGGATTTTGCATCATGTACAAACTAAACTTACTATATGCCAGCGTCACTCGGGCGGCGTTCGAGCGGATTACTACAAGCGTGCAGGGGGTGGGGAGGCAGTTTGCCAAATCGCTTCAAGGTTTTTCTGAGCCTCAGTGACCCTCAACCACCTGCCTGCCCCTGGCCGTTGCACTGGCAAATAATCCAGCACATCCGGGACACTCGTCGTCTAATTTAATTGCCTGACCAACTTCGCGCAATCTGAATATCACACCCGAACATTTCTAAACCTGATTTCGTGAAAACCAGTGAAACGTGAAAACGTTATTTGAAACTGAAACTGTGGCGGAACATGAAAACCGGACTTCGAACCTTGCGCACTTGGACTTTAAAAAAATTCGAAACCCAAGTTTCCTTTTCGAATTTAGCGCTAAAAGAGAATCGAAACCTTCGAACTTTTCAAACTTTATGTAGAAAAAAATTCGAAATCTTCGAATTTATCGAACTTCATGTCTATAAAAATTCGAAACGTTTTATTTTTCGAATTTCAGATCCAAACAAATTCTAAACATTCGAATATCTCGAATTTCAAGTTAGGAAAGTTCGAAATCTTCGAATTTCTCGAACCTCAAGTAAAAAAAAATATTTGAAATAATCGAACCCAACTTTTAGAAACCGTGAAAGCTTCGAACTTTTCAAATTCGAAACTTCACGATTTTTTTAAAGTTGCGAATTTTTCGAATTCGAATTTCCGTACGGTTGAAAATATTGAATCCTTTCGGATTCGTACGGTCGAAAATATTGAATCCTTTCGGATTCGAACATCAGTTCGGTTCGAAAATATTGAAATCGAACCTAGGGTGGTTCGCGGCATCCCTAGTTGGAAGGTGGTCCCCCTAGCTCCGATACCTCACCGTTTCTCCCAGCACGCAATTGCAACGCAGTGAAACTCGACGCCAGAGCACCGATGCAGAGCCAAAATGTGCATTCGGAAAAACTCATAAAATAAGTCAATGGTTCAATTTCGGCAACCTGATTGGCAGGTTTTCATGGATGTCGCATTACCTGGTTCGGGGGGGAGGCACTCACTTGATCGAATGACGTTTTAGCGAACGCCCACGTTTCACCGAATGACACTTTAGCGAATAGTCGGACGCCGCGAAGCGCCGATTTCGGGTGGGCCAAATGGGTTCACATTTTTCTAATGAGCCGCCGCAGACTGTCGCCGCGACGCGGCGTATAGGTTAACGCGCGCCCCCGTTATTCGCTAAAACGTCGATTCGCTCATGTGATATGGACCCAAAGCTTCTCCGAACACGCAGCCGGGAACTGGGATCCCTCCGCCTGCTCTGCATGCATCCCACGTGTCGTCAGCAGCGGCGCGCAAGCACAACGCAAAAGCACAGACGTCACGGTCGCTCTTTAGCTGCTAAGTTTAGGTGTGAAGCTGTGTTCAAAGATGACATTTCTCGACCCGTAGCTCCCACTAAAAACAATTTTAATACACATTTCATGTCCGGATTAAACCACAGTAGGTTGAGTGCCAATTCCCCTACTGAATTATGCCCGCCAAAATTGAAATAGAATTTGTAGTTACTTAGCTAATTAACCAATATCACCTCTTTTCTAGTGGCCCCATAACTTAGCACCAGCCCCCAAAGAAAACCGTGTACATAATGAACACTGATAGAAATAAGAGAACATGCAGGAGAGTTGGTGAACTTTCAACACCTTGAACTGAGGAGCAAGAAACAGACCTGCTCGTGTGCCATCCCGTTTCTGTTCCTTGGTCTTTAGTTTTCACAGTGCTGATAAAACACTGGTTTATGGATGCTTGTGCAACCTGGCACCAAAGACCTTGTAAAGAGCTGTCCCGACAAAACACACCTTTGTGCACTGCAGACTCCGTTAAGTGAATAGAAGCAGACATGTTCAGTCTTGCTGCAATTCCGGTTTCGTTATCGATCAGGATATGTAAAAATAACACTAAAAACACAAGACAGGGGACGACACAAGCACTTCTTCCAACTAGTGTGGCCTTGCAAAGTAAAAATATTGTTCGAAGGTGTGTGCAACAACAGCCGGTTTATTTTCAAATATTCAGCACACGCACGTGACAAATAATGGCACTGCAGCCCATAAGAAGGAAATGGATGCAAACTCTCGAAAGAAGGGTGCTACAAAATGCCACGAAAAAAGCAACTTTCCAAAAGTCAGAAAAAGAATTTCCCAAAATGGTACGACGCTTGCAATAAACTGCGAGCACCTTAGCTAGAGTTTCTTTCGGTAGAAGTATCTCTAATGAGGCGAAACACCTATGTACAAAAAATGTTCAATTAAAGTCACCCCCACTCATCCTTCCACAGCACACTCGACACGAGACGACAAAAATTCCCTTAAATGTGCGATGGAGATATTACATACACTACCTCGAGGCCAAGCCTCTCGAACCAGCTTGTTTCAAATGGTCACAAATAACTTGCCCGTTTTTCACTACACAAACAAGTCACTTTCAGACGGCGACCCATCACACACACACAAATTAAAAAGCCATTTGCTCAGCTAATGACCTGCTTTTAGTCTCAATTATCAATCTCACACCAACAAAACAAATTTTGAAAGAAAGATTAACACAGATAGTGTTAAAAAAAAAGTAATGGAACCCAAGAAAAAAAATATGAGAAGAGTAGGAGGCCCCTGCTTCGTCAGGGTGAGCACTGATCCTAGCCTTGCTAGCGACCATGACAGGCTTTCAACACAGTGGCACAACTGATGCCAGAAGCGTTAAACAAAACAATGACAAAAGTTCAAAAGCGGGAAGGACCACCGTACTGAAAACAATTCGCTGGTTCTTAATGACAAGTTTAATGGCAAGCTCCAAAGATGGAGATGGGATCTCGCATCACAGAGCACAAAGGCACCAAACTTTTGAAGATTCCTTCCCCGTCCCAAAAAGAGTTCCCGCTCGACACACGCAACACCTCATCTAAATACCCATCATCAGAATGTTTTTCCTTCAAGCACCAGGACTGGCTTGCTCGAAGCGAAATAAGTCAGTCTCACCCAGGACAGTCTTAAGAAAGATGTGTCGAGGCCAGGCCTGGGTGTTCGCTCAACGCCAGCTTTTCAGGAAAACGTCTTGGATAATCGAGGGATTACGTGCAGAGTGAGTCAGCCCTTAAACATTTTGAAGCACTCAAGAGGCCCGTGCCCTCAGGGACAACTTTTTATGGCATTTCAGAAGGACAGCCCAAGGTGCGCGAGTGCATGATTGCCAAAAGCTTCGGCTTTACTGTCAGAAAAAGTTGTCCCCAACACCTTGATTCGATCGGAGCCAGCATAGATTCTGGCAACCTAAACAAACATAATACAAGCAAACCGAAAAAAAAAAGAAAGAAAAACAAAAAAAGAAAGAGTTCTCAAGAGCAGTCACACACACGCAACATTTGCACACACGCCGGGATACGGAAAGGGTGCGGGGGGGGGGGGGGGGGAAGGGGGGCGCGTCAGTTCAGTTGTCCAGGGGCTCCTTCTTGACCACCTCAACCTTGCGGCCCAGCACGGTGTCCAGGCTGCCCAGGGTGGCCTGCAGGTGCTGCCGGCAGTTCTGCAGGGTCAGCCTGAGCTCCTGGGCAGTCTTGCGTGCCCCCGCCAGCTCCTCCTCGGCCGCCGTGAGCTGGCGGCGTGCCTGGTCCAGCTCCAGCTGGGTCCGCTGGGCGCCCTGGCGGGACACGTCCCACGACTCCCGCACCTCGGCTGCGGCCAGACGTCCATCGGTCACACGGGGGCAAATACGGCATCGGAAGTTCTAGTATGGTGCACGAAACGTATCTCCGACCGACGCGTTTACTTCATCCCAAAAGGCGGTCCCTCCGTTTTCGCCCAACGACGTGTCCGAAGCGACGGTGGCGTTGAATTTGGCAGACGCCTGTTTACTGCAGGTGCTTTCCGGCTCGACGGTCCACAGAGGCTTCGACACGCGGCAGTTAGGACACCGCGAGCGGTTGCAACGCTCGCATTTCCTCTTACCCTCTGCCGGAACTTCTACGCCCAGCCGTCAGGACTGCGCATCAGACGGTGCGATGCTCAGGTTTCAAAAACATCGCTCGTTGCCCCTTCAGAACTGCTTTCAACGCATGGGCGGAATGGGACGCCAAACACGCAGGTCGGAGACACGTTCTGGGCACTGTCGTTCCAGCGTCTTCACGGCCCACGTCCACCAAAGCCGGAGTTTCCGAGCTTTTGGATCTTGCGGAACCCCTCCCAATCTCGGCACCGGCGCAGTTTGGAGAGTGAGCTGCCCGCTTCTTGCGCGGAGGTTGCGGTGACGTCGGAATGAAGCCGAGCTCCGATTGGCTTTGATCGGAAGGATGGTGGGTAGACCTCGATGCTAGATGCCTCAAGGTTTACCCACTATTTGTTTTCCCATCGGCCAATAAGAGCTCGGCGTTCCGACGTGGTCGCAAAACCCGTGGGCAAGAAGCGGACAAACTTGCGATTTGCATAAAGCGGTGCAAAAGCGGACAGACCGTGTGAATAATATTGCACAAACTAGCCCTTTCAAACACCGCCCGCCATTTGTCTAGAAAACAAATTTTCTTCGCAATCTTTGTCTGTGAGAAAATTTTTCGCTAAAATGTTTTTCGCAGACTTTTGTTGCCAGACAAATGGAATTCAGCTGATTTTTTTTTAAATTACTCAGTATGCAATACATTCTTGAAAAATGTAAAGATTTTAGGTGCACACGCTTGTGTACATAGCGTTTGAGAGGGCTAGGAAACGTCTGGCTCATAGTTGTGCCCTGGTGGATGGCTCAGGTCTGCTGGAACAGTGCATGCACTATGGGCACTGAAACGCCGTGTGTAACGCCAATATTAATGTCGCAGAAGTCGCAGGCAAAGGTCACGGATTACTTTCACCGCAAATAAAGATAGTTTCTGGTGAGTGTTTGCACCTGTAACACAACTCATTGATTTTTTACGTGCTAGGCACCAAATTTTGATGTAATGAAATTTCAATGTAACAAAGTAAGTTGCAGACTTTACCGACTTGGTTAAATCAAGGTTCAACTACTACAAAAAAAAAAAGCCCGTTTAAAAGGTAACTGCAAAGAAAAAAAAGTGCATTTTTAAACAGCCGAATTGGAACAAGCATGTCACAAAACAATTTTTCCGCCAAAAACAAAAGTTTTTACAGCAATATTTATGGCGCGAGACTGATTTTAGTTTGCAGCTATTTCGTCAGTTTTAAATTGCGCGCCACAAAGTTGGTATTATACGTCACGTGGATTGGTATAGCAGCCACCCCGGGCGCATCGAAAGAGCGGGAGTTTTAAATGTGGAAAAGTTGTGACCCCGACTAAATTACGTCCTGTGGCGTAAATATTGCTAGAAAAATTTGTTATTTCACGGAAGATTTGTTTTGTGACATGCTTGTCCCAATTAGGCTGTTTAAAAAAACACTTTTTTTTTCTTTGCAGTTACTCTTTAAGGAGGCAAAATAAAGTCCCGGCCAACCTCCAATGCGTTCAATCTCTCTCTCCGGCAACTACAACAAATTCCTGTTTAACAAATATTTCTGTTTAACGAAGCAATTGCATGGCCCCACAAAGCAAAAATGACTGACGTTATGAATTTTCAAGGCAAAAGGTAATCAATTTCCTGTAAATTGTCGCTCTCAAGTGATGCGCGTAAAGAAGAAGAATACTGCGGCGGCGACGATGGTCGAAGCCGCCGCCAAACATTCTCGGTTTCGGGTTTAAATAATTTGTTAGTGTGCAACCTTGTGTCTAGATGGTGCTACGTGACTATGTTGCTGCATAGAAGGCCTGTACAAACCAACATAATTACGTAGTGCCATCTAGACACAAGGCTGCACAATAACAAATTATTTGGACCCAAATCCGAGAAAGCGCTGTGCGGTGGCGGCAGAAGCAGTGCGACGGAGGCAGTGCCGTGTCTCTACCTCGTGCAAAGTTTTGTTTTGCTCACGCCGAGAGTATGTGCCACTGCACTCCAAGATGAGATTTTTCTACACTCCGTCCGGGCAATGCGTGCACTCGTTATCTTGCTTTGCACATACGTCAGTGTACTTGAAAGGATCCAGCCCAAACGAGTATATATGTGTGTATATATATATATATATATATATATATATATATATATATATATATATATATATATATATATATAAAAAGTATTTTCATTGGCAGTCGCAACTTCTTTAAGCCGTCTTGGTATTTGTTCGACCGACGTGGCAATCTTCCTCGGGATCCAAGATTCCCAATCTTGCTCAATCGGAGTCCCAAATTGTTCCGCCTTGGAGCGATAATGTGTGGTCGAGGAAACTGTCTGCGACTTTACCTATGACGGCAAAATCTAGGCGAAATCGGTACAGCAGAGCAGAAAGAAACGAGCCACCCTTTTTGTGCCAGACAGATGCGCAAAAAGAGCTTGGTTGGCTCGGTTGTGCGCCTCTTCCCATCCTTGCCATCCGCACTGCGCCGCACGCTGCACCTGTCGCGTGCCGACTGTACGGCCGATTCTGCCGTATTGCCAATGCTACCGTACACTGCTGTGCCCACTCCTACGCCATCTTGTGACTATATATGTAATTGGAAGCAGCAAAGCCGCTTCGAGAGCCTCCTTTAAATGACATGTGGCAACGCAAGCCGCCCGGTTCAGGAAAGGCCAAATTTACACAGTCGGCAAAACGCTTTTGCCTTTGCTGCGTGATCCAGGGTTTGATGTCGGTGGTTCAGTGATTGTTGTGATTCATATTTTGGTAAGCCAGTTAAGTTTGCTGCGTGGAAGTTTTTACAGCGGGAAATTCATCTGCAGCTAAGAGTGCATGGTGTCTCAACTGTAGATGACAAACTCTGCCAGTGGCGGTACAACCGCTAGCCTGGAGTCTTTAAATTGCGTCACGCAATGGTGAGTACCCAAACATGCGCAAATACAATTTTTATTTGGAAAGAAGAAAAGGAGTGGTGATCGAGCCTAAGATGCCTGGATTCTGCAGCATGAGCTTTCGCCCCTTATGCTCCGAGCTGCGATGCACTAGCAGGCTCGGCCACCGTTCCTCCTTTTGACAAATCAATTTTCAACGTACAAAACCTTGTTTCTAATGTCGCTCACAGTATATTCGGCACCATACTGTTTCCTAAAATGTCACGCGGATGTGTCAACATGCGATAACACAAATGCAGTTTAGTGTGACCGACTTTTCGCGCTTAAGTACTACAACTAAGTTTTCGGTACTACAACAAACTTTGCTGGTGCTGCGGACTTCGTTATAAAGGCAACTGACTGTAGTAATATCTTTACGACAGTGCAAGAGTCATCCATGAAGCCCGATTCAGACAGTTGCATTGGTTGTGTTCAGTGACTGAAACAACAAACACCAGGAAACTGTTTGCCACACGCACACTGGCAACCAGCTCAAGGAGTAGCTTATGAAGCAATCACGCTTATTACAGTGTGCTGCCTTTTTGGTTGTCGAGGACCCAACCGAAGCACCTGCCCAAACTGGCGTCAACTATTGAATGCAGAAACCGGACCACATCTACCAGTTACGATGAAAGTAACATTAAAACCGGCAGTAGTAAAGTAGCCGTGGGAAACGAGAGACACACAGTTTGCACGGGTGAAAAAACGAGGGCGTACCCAGTGCCTCCATGACTTCCTTCAGCCTCGTCTCGGAGCTCGTGCGAGCTCGTTCGCTCCGTTCCACTTGCCGCAGCAACTTGGCCACGTCCAGGATGGCTCCTTCGTGAAACACCATGTTGGATGCTGTCGGCCCTCCGCTGGTCACCTCCACGGGCAAAACCCCTGCACGTGTACAAACATTGTTGCCACAAAGCTCCCAGCATCATACAAAGACGCACGCTGCCAGAACGATCGTCGGTTGTGCTGGTCGTCCGCCGAAATAAACGAAACGCTCGACCACTGGGGGTTCCCGAAAGGTTGGGCAAAAAGCGTAAGTCGGTAGTACTAGATTTACTTGTAAAGGTCAGGGAAGCAATGCAGCAACTAGTATCTGCACTTTGCCATAACCTGACATACATTTGCCTGAAAAATGCTAGGAGCTTAGAACTGGCACTTTCAAAACGGTGCAGATCGCCTAAATATGTCAATGGATCCACGACTGATCTATCATATTTATGTTGCGTGTTGGGATGTAGTCCTCGGGTTTCCTGCCCTATTCGAGCCGATAAATAATAGCGGCGATGTGATTGGCCTAAGCCATTTTGGAGCACCTTTTGGAGCAGCCAAAACAATGTTTTGGAGCAGCAAAAGTGGCTTTTGGAGCAACCGAAACAGTGTTTCAGAGCAGCAAAAGTGGCTTTTTGAGCAAATATTCTTAGAAAAATAATTGTTTTAGGATCTTTTCACTCAACTAAACATTAACAAGCTCGATCGTGTGCAGAAAAAGGCAGCTCGCTACATTTACAATAGCTTTGGACGTACCTCTATAACCAAACTTTTAACCAGAGCTAACTTAAAGTCATTATCTCTCAGAAATCAACATTCTCGACTAAAATTTTTGTATCAATTAATAAATGGACATTATAGAATAGATCTGTCTCGCTTAATAAACTTCTCATCAGGCTACGCTACTCGACAGAGGCATGTGCTAACAATAGCTCCTTTTCGATCGCATAATAATTGCTTCAAGTACTCTTTTTTTCCGTGAACGGTTACTGATTGGAATAGCCTTTCTGAAAGTGTCGCTATGCAGCCATCATTGTCTTTATTTGAATCCCTTCTAAATTAGTTTTGTCCCTCTGAAAAATATTTCTTCTTTTGTTTCTGCAACTTGTTTGCTATTTTGTATGCCTGCATGTCTTGTGAATCAAGTGTATACCCACCTGCTAAAATCCCTTTCAGGGATTGCAGTATCAATAAATAAATAAATATTCTTTTACGTGCAGTACAAATGAAGGGAACTTTGTGTTGTGCACTGATGCGACGTGTTGCCGAGCAATTCCGAAAAACCACTGGCCGCCGTTTAATGGTTCCCGACATGCCAGATTTTCGTCAAAAGTAAGCAAAAGTAAAACAATGGATTGCAAGAGTCCCGGCTGGTGCACCTGTCGTGCAATCACGTTCGCATGCACGTGAGGGCAACTTTGGCAGGCTTGCAGTTGCGCGTGCCTCGTCGCACGAGCAGAGACAAGGGCTGTTCGACCGAAACCCTGCCACTCCGCTCCGTTGCCAACTGATTCTCAAAATTGTATGAGAAATGTGCTTGCCAGGCTCTCAAACAAGGTACACGCTAAACACACACAAAAAAAAACCTGAGCGCATCCATGCAAGGCATCGTGAGCCAGGGTCAAAAAGTTCCTGGAGCGCTTTGTGAAACGACTGAACTCGAGACAAACAAGCGCGCTGTGCGGGTTCAGCGTTCAGACATTACCTTTTTTGCTTTAGCTCACTTTTCGTCACCAACTTTCATTCACGGTAGATTTTTCACGTACCTGGGCCCCCCTAGAAAGAAAGCCCACCGATAGAAACCTAGGAAATCAATACTTCGACACAGCAGTCTTTGAGTTAAAGATAAATTCTTGTAGTTACGTATGATTTAAACAAGAACAGGAATGTTGATGAACATGCGGCAGTACTTAGTTTCATTTTAGAAAGTGCCGTATCTGCAGCGATGTGGGGACGTCACCCGATGTCGCGCCACCACGGTGACTCGAAGACAGGGACCAAAATATAGTTTTCCCACAGCCGTTGCTTTCAGGAGTGAGTGCCTCAGCTCACAAAGTAACTCCCGCCGCGCAAAATCATGGTTTTTTTCGTTTCACAGAACGACGGCATGGCTGGTACCCGGATCGCTAGCGTCGGAGCGTCCGCACACACCCACGTCCGTCGCTGAAAATGTTTAAAAAAAGAGACGCGAGACGAGACGCTCGAGACGACGAGAGCGCGAAATGCGCGAAAGCCATGCAAGGCCGGATGGACAAATGATGCTGGGTATTTTGTGTCGGGCGGCCGCTTGCGCCACATAACTTAGGCATGCTCAATTATGGTACTCTGTTTAGTTTTGGTTTGGAAAGTCGACCAAAATAATTTGTTTCTTTTTTTTTTTTTTTTTTTCTTTTTTTTGCGCAGGCTTGGTGCAGATTACCCATACTTTGGCAAAATATAGCAGGATGTGGCAGGGTTCGTTCCTTGGCGCAGTTTGGTGCAATTGGTGCACCAATTGCATCACTGTACTAGTGACCACTGCTTTCTTGGTTCTTTCTGTGCCCACATCTGAGTGGCCTCAATCTTTTTAGGAAACTTCACCTATTAAATGCAAACAATTTCCGGTTGACTGGCAGGGAATCTCGTCCACCCCACGAGGCTTTTTGTGCCCTAGTAGAACACTTTATCCACCGTAGTTTCCTACGGGTTGAGAAAAGTGATACTTCAGAGCCCTTCTTCTATTTTACACCTGCACCACCCTTGCGTTCACGGATAGGCCAAATTGCTTGCTGTTGTTTTTCCTCTAATCAGACAGGGAGACAAACCTGTAGCTCCTCCTGCCTTGTCAGCCTCCTCGGTGTTTACAACTTCCAAGTTCAGCAGCAGACCCTTGTTTCCTGCACCCAAATGAAGGGCCCCCCCATTGTTATGGCAACCACAATACCACCCTTCGACTGCAATAAATATATTAAAAATATTTATATAATTGGGGGGTGTTTAAAAAACTCAATGCTGCGAAGAATAGTAAAATCGGCACGCTTGCATTCAGCCTTGACAGTTACATACAGAGAGAGGCAGAAATATATTATTGCTTTGCTGAATTTCCTCATCAAGCCTCTTGCATTGGCTACCTCAACTTTGATTGCACACCCCTTCACAATTAATTTTTGCTAAATGATTAGAACACCAAAGAGCAGGCTGGGTTTCTAGAACTAGTGCAGACTCTTTGTAGAGTTTTACAGAAAACACCTACCGTAAAATACCGGGCACGCGCCCACTCAAAATTTAGAGATAATTGCGAAAAAATGGGGGATGGGCACTTGTCCAGTCATCAATTTAACGTATCAATGTACTGTGCATATTTTCCCAAATCTTGCAAATTTGGGTATGGGCGCTTAGTGTGGTATGGGCGGATGCACGGTATTCTACGGTAAAGCAAATTACTGTCTCTATGATGCACAAATGATTACATGATCCGCATTAATAAAAGAAAGGATAGCATGTGCTGCGTTCAGAACTACGGTCCCAGCCTGCTCCCTACTGTTCCAACTATATAAGTTTAGATTGCAGTGCTCTGACCTGTACCTACCAGCAACATCACATAAAGGCAAAAGATAAAATTGGCCATTTGCGAGTGCAGAGTTCTGCGGTGCGTAGTACTACTACCGAGCTTTTAATGTGGAACAAGTGTTTTCGCTCGTGGCATCGCATCACAGACGTGATGCAACACCACAGACATAGCATACATTCTTTTCCCATCCAATTTTTAGAGCGCAGCTCCTAGGCGCCCGCATTCAGCTTGAACGGCATCAGCGTCGCCGTAACTGCGCAGTGCGAAATGGGTTCATTTCCCCGTTAAATTTAGCAACGAATTTCCCCGCTAGGTTTAGTGGGAAAAACTCCGCTAAATTTAGCGGAAAATTTTCCCCTAAATGGGAGGCGAGTAGGAGAGGAGGAGGGGCATAGCCTCCTCTCCGTACCTTCCCCACCTCCTCCTCAAGAGCTCTGCTCTAATTCGGAGTTACAGGGGATTGTAAAAGTCTCATTTGTTTTAGGAAATTTTCCTGCTAAATCTAGGGGGAAAATTTACAATGTTGCGTGACCACGTGACATGACATTACGTTATCATGCGACACCTGTGAACATATTCTATGTTCACGGGAGTTTGGCAGAAGCCTACCTTCTTTCTAGTCCATGTTTTCCGTTTTCATGGACCCTCGAGCTACAACTATCGAGAGCAGAGGAGCAAAATGATCACGAGGAGCCATGCCAACTGCCCAGTCACATTCTATGTGCCGGCGACTTGATCGTCGTTCAGACAACTTTGCAACTTTGAGCGAATGCGGATAGATAAAAACTTGTATTTACACACGCTGGCGCAAAGAGGGACCAAACACCTTGTCCGATCCGCCGTGACAGGACATTCCTTGAGCTTTTGTTTGTGTCGTGTGTGCTATACTCCGGCTCACCCTACAATAGACTAGGGCCCGAAGGCTGGCGGGCAGAGCACTGCCTCAGGAAAGCTTGCATACACATTACAAAAGAGTGTGCGAGAGCAATTTCGAAACGAAGAGTGTGAAGAGCACTAATGTAACACATATGGTTCTCTGTTATGATAGCGTGCTATTTTATATTGCTGAAGTAAAGGTACATGGTATTAGTTTCATAGACATTCTTGTCATATTTCGTAAACATGTGAACTGTATGGAAAAATGGACGGCCTACAGGCAACACTGACATAAGGTTGTTTGGCCTTAGCCATAACAATCCAATCCAAGTTTTGTGTACATAAAACACACCCGGAACCGCATCTCTCTTCTGCACGCAGCCCATACAGATGCTCTCGTGTCAAACACCCTATCCGACTTCTCTTCATTTCTTCAAGGACCCTGGTGCTGACCCCAAGTTCTCTTCGGCCCATCGCTTCCTGATGGTATTTAATCCCTTCAATAGTCTTCGATAAGCAGATGAAAAACTCTCATCCGCATGACGTGTCTTGGTGTACTGATACATAGTATGTACGACGAAGCAAATATACCCCGTGGTTTCTAACAGGCTCGTGACTGGACCCGGCAGCCTGTAGCATTGGGCTTTAGTTTATCGTAGGATGAGACACAGTATAGTGGGGCCATCTCTTGGCTCTCACGGGAAGTGTTTTGTTCCTTGCCGCTATGGCGCCATGTGGCAAGGATGCATGCACCCACCGCAGGCGTCACCGAAGAGAACTGCATGCAACACGAGGCACCTACCCAGAGCCAGCTCCTCCAGGTCGAGCTCAGACTTTTCCTCTGCGACCTGTGCCTCCTCCTCCATCTCCTCGTCTGCCTCCTCCTCCTCCTGCTCCTCCGCCATCTCCTCGGGGCACACGGGGGCATCCGTCAAGCTCCGGTAACGCACCACTTCCCGCTTGGACACCTTCTGAAGGAGCCTACGAACCTGCACAGACACCCAGGTCATCCCGTCCGCCAAGCATCGCCATGAAACACGCGCCGGACTTTGGTTACAGGAAGGGATAGCCGATTCCTTGCCATGTATATACGTCCATCTTTGTTACAGGGTAAGAACCCTACTATACACACCATCTCGTAAGTTGTGCACAGTGCCATCAAACATGCAGGCACAGGAGTGCAGCTCCAAAAAAAGCTGCTTGCAAGCGCATGTGTCCTACAAAAGTAGTTATACTTTCTAAAGTCACACACTTGCCCCTGCGACTTGCAGGCTGCTGCATCGAATTCCTGAGGCCAGTTAATGCATGCATCTCGTCGCTGAGGTAATGCAAAGTCAGCACTGTATCAGAGTTATTGCTAGTACTGACTTAGTGCTGCATGGTGTGTAAGCAAGAAAAGGCGGTGTAACATGCATTAAAGTGCTGATAAAACCCTGATACACCTAGTGCGAAGCCAGCAGTTTGTTTATTGTGTTGAGGTATATGTGTGAACATGCCTTAAAGATTATGTGTAAAATAAATTAAAATTTTTTTTTTTTTTTTCAGGGTGTCTATAGTTGGATGCAACCTAAGAACAATCTTTTAGCTCCACCCACAAGCGCATTGCGCCCATCTGAAGTGCCTCCGCCGTCGAGAAAGTAGTTCGCTAGCAACGTTGCTTTTTCTTCCTCCAGGAAACCTGTCTTAAACTACTACAATATTTATTTAATTCATTCAGGACATTTAAATAAGTTAGAATATGTTTTTGTCAACGAAATAGCTGTTTAGTAAAGAAAGAAAGAAATTCATGTCCAATGTACCGTCTTCCCAATTCATTTTCTGTCCAAGATACTGTCTAACACACCGTCTAACATACCTCTCAGCAGTGCTAAGCCTCGCGCCCGCTTTGAAATTTTCGTTGGCGATAGCGTCGCTGGATTCTCACGTTGTCGCACAAAAACTGCTGCAAACGCAAGCCGATACCATCAAGATTTCGTGGCGTAACCTCGGGCACGTAAAACACGGTGCAAAAAAGCAGAATAATTGTCACGAGAAACTATAGCATCGCGTTGCTAAGGCCAGCAGCCATGTTGAGCTTTTTTTTTTTTCAAAAGGATCGCGATTGGTCCACAGAATAGTGACGTCATGAAAACAATTGGCTGGCGTTTCTCGGCGTAGGATTACATTTTCCTCTGAGAGGCATTTCCGGTTTTTTCTTAGTTTGCAACCAACTATAGCAAATTATTTTTTTGAAATGACTTGACTTTTCCAAATTTTCCCTGAAAATTTCAGGTGAAAATTTCCTGACCACTGTAGAGGTGGTTAAATACGTAAGACCATTACAACACAATGCATTTTTTATTTATAAAGTATAATTATAATCAGCACAAATTAGGGTATGTGACTAGTAGTATATGCAAACACAATCTGCTCTTGCTGCTTAAAAAATCACCGCCACTACTGCGGCAGAAGTTAAACTGCCACTTGAGCCACCAGGTGGCACCGAATTTCGGCACGGGTCTATTCCTGGGGGTAGTGCCCACAGGGTCCTTTTCCCACCTGTCCCCTGGAGAGCTTGAGCCCGATGATGTAGAAGATGTCCTCCAGGTCCCTTTCCAGCACGTAGCCACACTGGTTCTGGTCAAAGTAGATGAAGGACAGCAGCAGGTGCTTGTTCACCGTCTTGTTCTGCTGCTTGGCCTCCTTCTTCTGGCGCCGCTCTGTGTCAAAAGCCACAATTGTTTTTTTACACATATGCATACCTGCCAAGTTCGGAGAAACCAAATCCGGGAGAATTTCTAAGCGGAAGTGGGGTTACGATTTTAAAAAATAAATACTGATAACAAATTTACATGAAGACAACTTAATTACATTTATCTTGCACTGCTCCTGCTAGCGAGACACAGATGGGCCTTGCTATCATTGCAGCTGTTCAAATGTGTGTTTAACCGAGTGTATCTGCCGCGTTCCACGCACAAGCCTTATTACCTTATGTGGGCAGATTGCAAAGTGCTAAAAAGTGAAAAAAAAAAAGTGAAAGCCGTTTACAACTTCTTGTGAGGAGGATGGAAGGGTACTGAGCAATAAGATGGAAGGATACTGAGGAATAGGTGACTCCCTGAGGTCACGTGACCTCAGAGGGTAACCCTCATGACCCTCGTGAAGGGAACCCTCGTGAGGATAACTATCCGGACCCTAGTGAGGAAAACCCTAGTAACCCTCGCGAGGGTAACTCTTGTGACCCTCGGGAGGGTAACCCTTTTGAGGGTAACTAACCCTCGTAACCCTCGTGAGGGTTACGAGGGTTACCAGGGTTACTCTCGCAAGGGTTACAAGGGTAACCCTCGTGAGAGTAACTCTCGTAACCCCCACGAGAGTTACGCCGATGCCGCTCAAGCGGGAAACGGCCACCTAAGAGCTGCGCTAGGGTGACCACCCGTCCCGCGACTCGCGGGACTGTCCTGCATTGACGGCCTGTGTCCCGCGTCCCGCAAGATATACCAAAAATGTTCAAAATGTCCCGCATTTCACGCTGTCGTGAAATTCACAATTTATCTCATGGCACTGCCGACCAACGGGGTGCGGGGAATCGTGGAGGCCGCTGGGTATCGTGTGAATTACGATTGCACGCTATTTACTATCCTAGCATCGCGGGAAGCGACCATCGTTCTTGCAGGAGAACGACGCTTATGTGCCGTTGTGCCCCTTCCCCTGGTTGAAATGTACTGCAAGAGAGAATTGCTATCCGAACTATGAAATATAAATTAGTGTAATTATTTTCAAATCAATCTGTGCCAATGCGAAAGGGTTGATGTGAAATAATTTTAGTGAAGAGTTAGCGCCCGTCTTGTGACCTTTGTGTCTTTATTGTCCTCGTTTTGTTCACGCCTTTAACCTTTTAAATCAGTAAAAACCAACTCGCCAAATCCAAGTTTTATTGAAAACACGGGGCTCTAAATTTGGCTAAGAGTACGTTGGCAAAAGTATATCGACAGGAAACAATAAGCCGAAAAAAAGTTTACTGTATATTTTTTACTTTTGATGCATTAATCTCTGTTGCAGTCAATTTGGGTGTTTTCAATTTAGACTAATTTAATAACTTACTTGTCATTAAAATAAAAATATACATCACTGGGTGTGAAAATTATTTGAACTTAATGGCCGCAATACAGTGTGCAGGTGTATAATATGCTTTCAGCCGCATTTCACTGTGTGCGTGGTAATACATTTCATCTCATGTATCCTTCTTAGATGCCTCAGTTGTGATGACCCCCCCCCAAGGTCAGCGTGTCCCGCATTTCGCAAGAAGGAAGGTGGTCACCCTAAGCTGTGCTCTAAAAATGTGTGCGTGTTTGTTGCAACGGCAAAGACTCCTTGTTTAAAGGCTGACGTACACTTCAAGCTTTCCACTTGTGACCGCCTCCCACTACCTTATATCCTCTCCACTTTTTACCCTGCCCCAAAGTTGGCTCCCCTCGCGGCTTAGGAGAGGGGAGCGCTAAGATGATTATTTTCCCTGCAGAAAACCAAGGTTCCACATACGTCGGCCTTGAAGTGCAGGGAGGGGAGGGGGGTAATTTGTGTTTTCCATAAGATTTTTCCTGTCAATCATACAAATCGGTCAAACTTCGGGAGTCTCCCGGGTAAACCGGGAGACTTGGCAAGTCTTCATATGCCCACTCATAGTATAATGCCCGTGCGGGTCCTTGAGAAAAAAACAAACAAGGATGATGGCCATTGAACAGCAGCCCAACTAATCAGCACAGAAAAGGAGAAAGGACCAATCTCAATGAAGAACTCTAGTATACAAGGCAAAGATTGCAGCGAGAGAGAAGTCAATGAAGTGTTTTGCCTAGCCTAGTACCACCCATTGCTCCAGGTCGGCACATTCTTTGGTTTAAGCCTGCTGAGATGTCACCCCAACCTTTCTTCGAACACAAATTTTACCATTTAATGGAGTAGTTTGAAATGTTATGTATATCCACTTCACAAATGCTTTTCACTAACATGCATATGCCTTTCTGCTAATAAAATAACTCGAATTGAACACAACCAGGCACCTTTGGTCTCTTCAGATTCAGCGTCTGCATTGGAAGCCTCCGAGCCACCATCGCTGTCCTCTTGGTCAGCGTCTGCTTTCTTCTCCTCGTCCTAAAAATTTAGGAGAAAACGATGACACACAGGGATGACTGCATTAATCGCGATTCAGCGGCAGACAGCGATCTGAGAGGTGGTCAATGAAAGTTAGGGATGTCTCTCGCACCAGCGAGGCTTACCTTACGCTCCCTCCTGTCGGGGCGCCTATCTGTCTTCCGGTCATCCCTGCGATCTCCTTTCTTGTCGGCGTCTTTCGTCGATTCTTTTTCTTTCTTCTTTTCCTAGGAGCCCAACCAAACTGTAAATTCTCTAAAACCATACACTTCAAACCTAAAAAAGAAAATTCAGTTTCTCGCGATGGCGCGCTTGCACGAGTAAGAGCTCTGGGCCCTACCTCCTTGGGTTCGGGAGCTTCAAGTAAGGCTCGATAGATGTTGAACGCGCAGTCCCTGATCAGCATCTCGTTGAAGAGCTCGGCAAACAGCGAGACCTGTCAAACGCGTGAAGAGAAGAAAACTCGTACCAAACGTTCACACACTAATTACGACGACTACGTTACGGCGACGGACATGCACATTTTGTAAAACTTCAAGCACAATCCTAAATCTCTGGAACTGCACCAAAAACACTTAAACGAAGCATGCCAGAATGGCTAGTACCAGATACGAAAAAGAAGGAACAGGTGCCATGTCTTAAAGATTATGTGTAACATAAAAATGCTTCCTGCATTACTGCACCCTTCGGCATCCAGTAAAAATCTCCACACAAGGGCAGAGTCATGTTTGTAAGTGCGCAACTACCAGCCTACAGGCTCAGAGAAGTCCATAAAAAAATAAAGAAGCCGGTTCAAGAATCTCCTGGCTCCACTGCAGTCTAATTATAACCAGCAGCTTAGAAGTATAGGGTTTGACAAGTTATGTCTTTATACTTTGCATTAAGATTAGATTTTCTCATTTCTTACTGATATATTCTGGCACAGCAATGGCAGTGCATCCTATCGTAGGAAACGGTCACGCGCGGTTGCGACGCAGTCGACCAAATGCAAATGCGGAAATGAGCCCTTGAGGAGGGCAGGGTGGCCCACCTCAAAGGAGTGCTCTTTGTTGTCCTCTTGCCGGTAGTCAAGGAGCACGGAGAGGGACATGACGCTGCAGTCGAAGCGGCCCCCCTTGGCCTTGCGGGACGGGTACACCAGGATGGTGGGCCGCTCAGGGAGGTCATCCAGGGACAGGGCCTTCCCCGTGGGTGCGGGGGGCGTGGGGGGCGCGGCCGGGGGGGCCGGGGGCGACTCTTTCGGCCCGTCTTCGGGCTCCTCCTTGGCCGGCTTCTCGTCCCCCTCCTACGGTCAAAAGACAGATGGGGCTCGCAAGACTCTGGTCGGACTGCCTAACCAGTCAAAGATCCGAGAACGGTTCCACCGCGTACAAAATATGCATTGGGCAAGGAGCGAATAGAACATGCCAAATCACTTCAGAAAAAAGTTGTCCATAAAAAGGAAGACCCATTGGTGGATTTTTAGGGAATGCGTTAGCATGACCCATGGGAAACGTCACAGAAATCCCCCTTTGGGAAACGCTAATGCTGACTCTGTCGCTTTGTAGAGCGCAGCTCTTAGGGGCCCTTTCCGTGTTTCACAGCGTCACTATCGGCGTAACCGTGCTAAATTTAGCAGGAAAATTGACGTTGTGTGACTTCAACAGCAATTCAATTCCCCACTAAATTTAGCGGGGAATTGAATTGCTGTTAAAATCACGTGACATCAATTTTCCCGCTAGCGGAGAAATTGAATCTGCTTATACGTGATGTGACACCAAATCATGTGACGTCATTTTCCCCGCTAAATTTAGCAGAGAAACTGAATTGGTGTTGAGGTCACGTTGCGTCAATTTTTCAGCTAAAATTTAGCGGGGAAACTGTGGGAGAAGGGGAGGGTATGGAGGAAAATGAGAGGATATAGAGGAGGATGGGAGGGTGTGAAGGAGGAGGAGGGGAGAGGAGGAGGAGCAGAGGATGAGGGGAGGGGTATGGGAGAGGAGGAGGAGGGGCCTACCCTCCCCTTATCCTCCTCCTCCTAAAGAGCTGCACTCTTAATTTCGCATTACAGATATTTGTAAACGTCTCATTTTTAGAGCGCAGCTCTTAGGCACCAGTTTCCAGCTTGAGCGGCGTCACCGTCGGCGTAACTGCGTGTTGCATTATGGGAAGTTTCCCATAATGACGTCACTAGGGTTACCCTCGTGAGGGTTATGAGGGTTACTCTCACGAGGGTTACCCTGACGAGGATCACGAGGATTACCCTCACGAGGGTCACGAGCGTTACCCTCATGAGGGTTGCGAGGGTTACTTACCCTCAAAAGGGTTACCTTCAAGGGGGTCATGAGGGTTATGAGAGTTACCGTCACGTCACCCCCCCCCCCCTAAGCCTCAGTACGCTTCCATCCTCCTCCTCAAGAGCTGCGCTCTAATTTGGTGTTAGAGGGAGTTGTAAACAGCTTTCATTTTTTTCTTAAAAATACTTGCCTCGATATCGAACCGTATTGCCACCATGCGGCCGAAATTGGAGACATGCGAAAGCAGGGATACCGCTGTGCATTGTCTACTACGGGCGAATGTTCAAAAGCATGGATGTCGACGATGTAAGCCCGGTTTCGGCTGAGCTGAGCCCTCCTTAAACGCTTGTCGTTTTCGTTGTCTTTTCTTCCTACTACGGGTTGTGTTGTATCGTTTCACAGGCGCGGAAATTAAGCAAAGCAATTATTATTAAATCGGATGCTTCCATAATCTTAGTGTTGTGGTTTGTATACAACTGCTGGTCCCACATATTTTTGTTATCTCGCACAAACCATAGCTTTCATGAAACATTGAATGTTGATTGGAGCTGTGGTTGGACTAAAAAATTAATCTGACTGGTCGCTACCCCCTTTAATAGACTACTCAATTAATCAATCTGTTAGATGATTTTTCACCAGTCATATTGCATGAAAGACGTTAAAACTACACTTTTTATTTTACTATTTTTACTACCGAAAAATTTTGAGCAAGCGCTCCCACCCGAGCAAGAGCAATATATCTTCCTTCAATTGTTTCCAGCCTTGGGGGTTCTCGCTTGTTCGCCTTGCTTGCTTAGCAGCGGCATCTGCTGCCTGATGCTGCTTTCGCTCTTTACCGGTTTTGGCAGCCAGTCTCCTTCTATCATAATCCGTCTTCTTTTGCCGCCTACTTCGACCAGCACTAGTACTTGGTTCACACTCCACTAGTCCACTAGTACAAACCGAGGCATACGCGCTCCGCACACATGCAAGTTCAAACTTGCCCCAGCATCCGCGCATGCCTCGACTTTCACTCTGTGATGTCGCCTCCCTCTAGCCTTTTATCTTTCACTACCCTCCTCCTCTCTAAGCGGTGCACTTTCCTTTCCACAGTTTGGTCCACAAACAGACGCCATCTGCTTTTCCTTGTTGTGTGGGTGCTCATGCTAACTCATTAATAAACAAGTGCGCTGCACTGACGCTAAGACGGCAGATGAAAGTTAAAAGATGCTGGAGAACGTCTTGTCGCCGCTCCAGCGCCGACACGCACTCCCTGCACTCTGCAATGCTTTTAGGTCCCAAAAGCTTCAGTTGTGAAGCGCAATCCAATAGTCATTAAGGCAGCAAGCTCGTGCTCGGCGAAGAGCACCTATAAAGCGTTGCTTTATAGAACGGGCTCTCAAACTGCGTTTCTGCGAACCCAGGGGTTCCCCACAGTTCTCTCGTGGCTTCCCCGAGCACCCAAATTTCCTCGACCGTTCCTGCCCCCAAGTAGAGTATTTTTTTTTCAGTTTAAGCGCTATTCCGGCAGATCTGAGCAACTCCTCTGAACAACTCCCCTACAAGGCCTGTAGACTTCCACTTCGTCACATTAATGTTGAGACAAAGAAAGGAGTCGAGGCAGGTGGGCGTTCCCAGAGATCAACAAGTCCGAGAACCCCGCCAAACCCGATAGCACCAAAAGCAGAAAGCAACAAACCACCGACCTTTTTTTCCTCCTCGTCCTTGACGGCATCCTCTTCGGCAGCCTTCCCGTTGTCAGCAGCCTTCCCGTCGTCATCAGCCTTCCCATCGTCGGCAACCTTCCCGGCGTCAGCATCCTTCTTGTCTGCAGCCTTCTTGTTAGCACATTTTTTGTCGGCGGACTTCTTGACGGGAGCCTTTTCGTCGTCGGTGGCACCCTTGCCGACGGTGGCGCCCTTGCAGTCGTCAGCTTTCTTGTTGGTGGCAGCCTTCTTGTTGGGGGCCTTCTCCGTGGCAGCCGCCTTCTTCTTGCCGGCCTTCTTGTCGACCGGCTTCTCCTCCTCCGGCTCAGACTCCGGGGCCTCCTCTTCTACGGCCTCCACCTCCTCCTCCTCCTCGTTGGCTTCGTCCACCACCTCTCCCCCTTCCTCCATCTCTTCTGCCTCCTCCTCCACTTCCTCTTCCTCCTCCTCCTCCTCTTCCTGCTCGGCCTCGGCCTTGAGGGCCTTGGCGAGGCGCGCCACCAGCTGAGACTTGAGCCCCTTCGTCAGCAGGCCCCTGGCTTCCAGCTCGGTGCGCAGGTCTCCCACCTGCAAACGCAGAGCACATGCAGGCTCGGACTGTTGTCTGCACGCTCATAATCTAATTCAGACGGTGTGCAAGTTCGTCTGCTCCTGGCGCTGCGTTTGTTTGCCCCCCAGATGCACCCCCGTGCTCATGTTTCCTCCCGACCTCGACCAATGACGGCAAGCGCTTGGTCGTCTCGTCATTGGGCCTTCCTCGAACGTTCTCTAAGTTGCCCTTTGATTGGCGTGCCACTCACGGTGTTCCAATGTGCCAAGGACACATTCTGGAACATCTGCTTATCGCGTAGCCACTGAGATGATGAGAAGGGCATCTCTTTTGAATGATCGCCCTCTAGCAGACGCTACAGAAAACGTTATTGGAGGCGAGACGACTGATGCTTCTCCCTGCCGTTCTCGTCCTGCTGGGGACTATCCGACCGCAGCGAAAAGCTGGGATGCCCCCAAACCTCATAACGACTATGAGAGGAAAGTTGGCAAAGGAAAACCAGATTACCTTAGACTCTCGCATGGGATCGCCTCGTTAAAACGCCATTGGGACTTTCGAGAGACGTGCCCGGCTCAAAAATTACCATTAAATGCAACATTTCTTTTCTTTTCATTTTTTTTTTTCCTTGCTACCTCAAAGGCCTAACGTGTTCCACCAACGGCAAATTCGGCAATGAGAATTGCGGTAAAGCCTCTCTTTAAGTAAAGTCGGCTTTTCCACGAAAAATCCATTCCCTCCATTCCGCAGAAAGACTGGGTAGCCAAGAAAAATAAAAGAACACGAGCTTAAAATTACCGTAAGCAAATAAACCCCGATGCTCCTTTCCTCGTTCCATGCTTAGTGTACATGGCGTTTACTCGAAGCACTTACATCACCCCACCTGGGATGCCCCGATTTCCCTTCTCGGCTAACTGCATGCAGAAATCAGCTTGTCTTGCAGATCTTCGTGCTTACCTTCATCGTCTTTGGATCCAATTCAGAGTGATGCGTAGGCTCCTTGACATTGGTTTCCTCAGCCACAGCAACTGCACTTTCTTCTTCCTAAAGGCGAAAAAAAAACATAAAAATCGAGTTAGCCTAGTTATGAGACAGTACAGTCAGGAAAAAGGAACTAGACCAGCCTCCCCTTCCCCCCCCCCCCCCCCTCCCCAATCCCCTCCAACGAGCCATTTAAAGTATACAAGTTCAAACAGCCCAATTGGACAAATTCCCACATTCCAACGGTGAGCACGCAGCTAGTAAAAGGGAGCACAACACGGTAAACCCTTCCCTGCCCCCTGTTTCTCGAGGTCTCCCAACACCCTCCGCTCGCATTAGTACAGGTTAAGAGGTCAAAAGGAGACGAGTCTCGAGATGTCATTCCCAAATCCTGTCTCTCCCCCCCAACCCCAGTAAATTCCAAAGAGCCCAAAATCCCCTCCCCCAGATGCCTTCAAAGTATGATGTTTGCACACTGAAAAAAAAAAAAAAAGACTAACAAATATATATTAAAAACAAAAAAGAAAAAGGAAGAAAGAACCAGCGAGCCAACCCGTCTTTTCTTCCGCAGCCGAGTGGGTGGTAGCACCGTACAACACGGTGGCGACAATCGTCTTTAAGTAAAGGTAAAAGAAATAAAAAAACAGGTCGAAGATAGCTTGGCCTAAGAGGAAAAAAAAAGCACCGAACAGTGGCGAGAGTGGGAACGAGGGATCGCTTCTTCACGATCAAAGATCAACAATGCAAACATCGCTGGCTGGCTGGCAGGCCGCTGGGACGCTCTCTTGCTTGGCCGCTGGCGCGTGGGGAGGCAAATGGAACGGGGTGCGTCGGCAGCTGGCAACAGCGGCGGGCAAGAGGGGGAGTGGTAGGAAGGGTGTCGAGTGCCTGAGCGGGGGCGTCTCCGGCAGGGTCCTCGGCGCCGCAGAGGCTGATGCTGCGCAGTCTCAGTTCCAGGTCGGCCCACTCCTGTCGGGTGGGCATGCAGCGCCACACGTCGGGGAAGAACAGCACCACTCTTTCCAGGGTGGCGCACGACGAGGACGACGACTCCCTTCGGTAGCAGATCTCGGCGAAGCGATACCTGCGGGCCAAACAGGGGCCGCTGTCACGCTCGCCCGCCCCCCGCCCCCTCCCCACCGGCACAGAGGCGGGACGTGGGAGAGGGACGCTGCCTCCCGCACCGTCTGCCGAGGGGGGAACCGGCGGGCCGTGCCTTCCTCGCATCCCTCGCCGGGAACTTCCGTGGCCGGCGGCCGCGCGGTGCCAAACCGTGATTTAACGAACGACCATGCCGCGCTGTTTTTCTGATTTGTGGAAAGTCTAAAAGGTTTGACGACTGCCCTGCATGTAACCGAGTGTGCTCTTGTTTTTGCAATTGAGTCACACAATGAACGAGTAAACGACAATGTCATTCATTCATTTGTTACCTAAAGATCTCTCGGCTTCAAACGAGCTCGATCAATTACTTTTAGCGTACAACAGAACCCAATGGCTTACATTATTTTTCTTGTCGCGTCTAGTAGAGAACCTAACTTTGTGCTTTACCCCCTTTCCTCTCTTGTGAGATACCGGTACTGTGATTTAGTCTTAAAAACGCCGGTGAGCAGAGCTTCCAATATCCTGAGCCAGTGATCATCAGTTTTTTCGGGCTTTGCTTACACAACAAAGATGCTACCATCAAAATTGAGTTATTTGGAATGTGCTCTTGAGCGGCATGATTCTGGGTACTTAGGTTCAGGCACCAACCCCCGTCCCTAAATTGTGACAAAGTGCCAAAGCTGCATTCGGGCTAACGGTGAACATTCACGTCGTATTTCCAACAGTTGATGTTCCAATTATCCGTGCGCCGTAACACCGTCTTTCAGAAAGCAGTTCCCACCCTATATACTCCCCTTCGAGGCCAGGATCAGCAAACTAGCAGACGCTTCTTACTGCGGAACATCGGAAACATAACCACGGGGCACCGGAAGAGCTCTCCAAGCTCCGACGCGGCAAATAACATGAGCAAAGGCACGGACTGCTCGTTCTCCTCTTTGCTCGCAGTTTCGAAGCAATCAGGAGGCAGCACCCCCGCACTGCTGCGACGAAAAGTAGCTTCGGCCGAACCTAGGAAACACTGCAGGGTATTGGCACCCAACCGTAAAGAAGTGCAGTCCACCAAGCTGAAAGCAAAATCCGCCAGCATTTTTCAGAAGCACAGTCCTCTCACACAGACAGACTCACACACACACTCGCCACAGGCACGCAACCACATACACATCTTCCTGTTGCACTGGAGCCCCCGAAAACAGATGCAGATGGTAGAACTGGATGGTGGCAATGTGATGACGAGTTTTCAAAAAGGTAGTGCCTCATCGTTGCAGCATTCAAAACTTTTATGCGCTCGCAGCACAACTCCTACTACAACAAAATCTCTGCTATGTCACTGGAACAGAACTTCAAAGAGGGAGGGCAGCGATTTAAAAGGCACTGCACACGACACCCTAGGAAAAAATATTCATCAGGAGTTGTCCACAATGTTGAATTCTATCACGGTATGGATTAAAGCTTGATTCAATTGGTTTGGTTGCAGCCCTCTACGGGCCAAAGTTGCACCCTTCGTGGCATGTGACTGCAATTGAGATAACTTCTCAGACTAATAACGATGAAGGTGGCTAAACTGCCTCGACCATCCAACAATGGCCAAAAATAAAGTAGCTTTACCAAAAAGAAATGCTGTAGTCTAACAGCTGATCCACTAGTGCAAAAAACTTGCAAACTTTACTTTTTATAAGTGGAATCATGGTTTCTGTCCTTTACAAGATGTAAGGAAAACAGCATGATTTATCCTACAATGTTTATTAGTCTTGTGCAAATAGTGGATTCTGAGTTGAAAAAGAATAGTAATTTTAGCCGAATTTTTTCGAATTGAATATAGAATAGTTTCTCCAAGCCTTTCACTACCGTGCACCATGCATAAAGGAAAATTCAGCTGAACTCTGAAAGTTGTTCCCAACCTTCCATTTGTCCACTTCTAAGCTCGGTTAATTTTAGTATTCGCGACTCCAGCGACCTATAGGGGGCGCCACCACCAAACAAACATGGCGGCTGAGTCCAGGTCGCGTCGGCTCGGGAGAACAGGCGGTTGCTAGGCCTGAATGGGTGGCGCATTCAATTTAACAAATTTTATTTTGTTGAATGCCCAATTTTATGGGTATTTGAACTGAGACAGTTAAGTGTAGCCGGTGCACATAAACTTGCCGATCATAGTTTTGTTTTGCCGATGTTTTTTTTTTTTCTTTTCATGTCAAACTTTCGTTTCGGAGACTTCGATCAAAACCAAAACTATGGGCTCCGGAGAAACGGCAATAGACTCTAATTAGTTTTGATCATCTAAGGAAAGCGGCGAGGGCTACAAAATTGTTCCACCGAGAGGAATTTTTAGCTAACTCGCATGCCTCGACCATGCGACTTATCTGTCCGCGAAATGGAGCTTTTGTGCCTGTCCACGTTTCAAGAAAAAACTCCAGTCGTGTGCTCAGTCAAGAACACAGGCTGCAGGAAAACTACGAAAATTAAGCAAGCGCTTCTTGAGCCAAGGAGCATGTCAACTCGCTGGCGCTTCACTAAGCAGCTGATACTCGTATTTCAATTCAGGTTTTAGTAGCAATCGAGAAGTCACTTTGACGAATATGCGGATTATGTATCATATTACGTACTATGTCCCTAAAGCGATATTAGTATATTCTTCGGGTTGAAATATGAACTTAGTTAACTAACTATTAGGTGAACTGCTGAATAAAAGTATATTTGACAGACAGAGAGATACTACTTAAACTTAGCCAAATGGTTCTAGCCGGTAGAACGGAGACGAATGCGGACAAACTGAGGAGAGTCTTCATCGGAGATTCACACAGACCTCTCTGCATTGAACTTGACTTCGAATCCTGAACGGATAAAATGAGTATTTTTTTGTGGCCGGTCAACCTGAGCGATGTAGACGTATATTGCTGCTGGCCTCGACAGGGGTTATAATATAAATATTGGAGGCGCGATAGATTCTAATGACGTGACAGCTTCCAACTTTGCGAGAAGCGTCCCCCACCTTTTGAAAGCAGATAATTTCCCTGATTAATCATATGCAGCGAGCAGGTTTTCTGAATCAAGTAATTGCGAAATTAGCTCAACTCTTTCAATGTGGTCTTTTTCGGCGAAAAGCCGCCAAGATGAATAGCCAACGCACCGGCCGGCGTTAGTGGCTCAAATTAACTTGAAGCTAATCGAGCACAACCAAACTCAAGGAAAGCAGCTATCGAACCTTCCCATTCACTTGACTGCAACATTGGTGTTCCCTCCAGTGAAACACTTCGTCTGTCGACCTCAGTCCACTGTTCTACATCCTTATAAAGAAACCATTTATCAGTTACCAAGCAGTCGTCACTTTGAATGTGATTAGAGACAGACGAGAAATCAAAACGTTTTTCCGTGATTCCTTCTCATCCAAAAAATTGAAAGCACGCGACCGTGTGTTGTGGAGTAAACGGGCTTTCAAACACGTGATGGAAAGAAACAATCTACTGAGGCTTCACCACACTAATGAACACTCAGGCAAACTTAAGCAATTTTCGGACCTTCGTCATATTACATTGCTCGCCCCCGCGCCGACACCACGCGTCCGCGAAAGCCATCAGAGACGCGGCGGGGCGCGGAGCGACCTGGACCGACTGGTTCCCGGTTTTCCCGCTTGGCGGCGTCCGTTTGGCTGGAGTCGCGAATAGCTATATTTATGGACTGTGGCATGTAAACAACAAAATTGTTGCAGCTATCCTAATCGAGGGGATTTATAAGTCCGCTTGCTATATGCAAATGTTCTTTATTTCAAATTAGAAGAAAAAAAAAAGCACAAATGATGAGCGCAGGTTGTCAAGACATCGCTGCCTAACACATACTCTTCGCATAATTGTAGCGGGCTAGCCCCATTGAGTGTTTCTCACTAAGCACCTGCGCACTGCGGAGAAGCAATGCTCGCAGAGCCCACAAGCTTTGCGGGTATTACTTCTCTGCAGTGCACAGCTGCACGGTAAAAACCGCACTTAACAGGGCTAACTCGCTGCGACTAACACTTCGAAAAGTATGAATATCGCAGTTCATCTCAAAGCAAATACTAAATAGCGTATTATTCTAAATTACTATTCAAGAATTCAAATATTCGCACGACACTAGTCTTTATCCTTATTGAAAATATTATTACCACCTGTTGTTATCATTATAGTGTTATTATAAAATGTTTTCGACCCTTACTGTGATCCCATTTGAATCTCCATACTGTCCAACAAAAGCTATAATTATTGTCACAGTTATTCATAGTACCATATTTTCCAGTTTATAAGACACACTTTTGTTTCAAAATTTTTGGCGGCGCGTCTCATACAACGGTGCGTCTTATATGTAATTGTTTTTTTCTTTTTGGCAAACTCTGAAGGAACTCCTCTTGATGCTGATTTGTCTTTTTTTAACTAGTATGATAGCTCAATGCAAATGATGCATCATAAATGCAAGTCAACCTCCCAAAAATAGACTTCCATAACAAACAAACAAAAAAAAAAAAAAAGTCAAGAAAACGAAAAGAAAAAAAAGAAAACAAGTCACTTTGCTAGCCCTCAAGTCAGAAAGGCTGCACAAGTCTCGGAAGCCGCAAGCGGTGAGCTCGCATGAGAGCAAGTGCAAGAATATAGGTGCGTCTTATACACAGGTGTGTCTTATATACTAATTTTCACTTCGAAACTTGCAAAAAGTAGGGGTGGTGTCTCATACACCGGAAAATATGGTACTAACTCATTAAATAATAAGTTTATCTGTGGAACACATGAAACATTGTGAGCCCCATGATTACAACTAATTTCAGACTAAAACAGAAATGTGGTACTCAAAGGGTCCTGCAGTCTTTTCTTCGTAGTCCCAGATTTGTCTGAAAATATTCTGAACACGTCGACACATATCGCTGAGATAGCGTCCCGAGTATTAGGCCAAAATAAAGATTTTTTGCACAGTTGTTGAATTAACAAATTTGGTCCTCATCGTGTTTTTTAAACTAAAAGTCTCTACCGGCAACAACAAAAAAAGCGATGCCTGCATCAGGCAGAGGTTTACTCTTTGGACTGTAATTTTGTTTCCAACTGATTACAAGCAGTTTGATGGTGACTAATGAATGCTTTGGAAACTTGCTCCTGCACCGCGCAGCAGCCCGAAACAAATGCTTGGCATGGTCCATTTCTTTTCATTTTTCCAGACTGCCTGCTCGACTGGCGAGCCTGCCTGCCTCTGACGTCACGGCACTGAAAAACGGGGGTATTTTTAAATGTTGGTTTGGCATCATTTTCGCTTGCCGATCTCACAATAACTATTATGAATTTCGTGGTACTAAATAGCATACTCCAAAGGGTGAAAGCAGGAAATTCACAAAAATATAGTTAGTTGGGGTAGCTCAGAAAATCATAGGAGTACCCCTTTGGTAAATATAATACCTTCAAGATCTAGAAACAAGAAAGCATGGGCTCACAATATGCCCTTGCACCTTGTTCTCTATTAACAAATATGGATTCATTAATTCCTTTAACTGCAAAGCATGAGTCCTTGAACGCAGTGCTCACAAAAAGCTAAGACCGGTCGGGTATGCCTCAGGCCCATCCGTTGATGTGAATCACATTACAGGGCTAATTTACTGTGAGCACTTGTATAGACGTCATCAAATTTATTCTTAAGCTATTAGTAGCTTCAATGCCAATGGCCACTTACAGATTAATAGCTGCAATCTGCAAGTGGCCATTAACATTTCTCCAGCCATCGGCCAAGTGACGTCCGACACAATCCTACGAGTTTTGAGCAATGATAGAATACTTTGATGCAGAAGCATATGGCTCTGGAGAGCTCTTCTAGGAGGACTAGCCAGTGCGCACTAAAAGCATAGCTTCATTCTTGAGCTCCCCAGAATGCAGCACAGATGTCTGCAAGTAAAACAAGTTTATTGACTGAAAAGGGCAGACATTCTGCCTATTCAGACCCTGTGCTCACCCTTATTGGTGGCCACTTACCTCACATTCTCTGCATCTAACATCAAGCTCAATAAAGCCTGAATATTTCGCAGATCCCGCATGAAAAGCTTGCTTAGCCTTCTTATTATGAAAGTACTGCTTCTAATAGCGACTACACCTAGAAGACAATTCAATGAGCACTTAAACTAGCCCTTCCTTCAAGGTTGTAACCGAGCCAAACACCTTAAAAAAGCAAACAAGTCCCTCCCTGCGGTGTTCTACCATTTTTCTTTTTTTGTACTTCCCACTCTTTCACTTTATACCTTTTTAAATTTGAACTAGTGGTTTCCTCTTTATTACTATTAGTTGTAGAATCCCAAGAATGATTCTTGCAAGCAAGGTGGTATAAAGGAATAAAAAAACAATCCAAAAGATCTTGCAAGCATATCAAAAATGAACCTATAGCCCGCGACAAAAGGCAAAATAATTTGCCACTGCATTATTGATCCACTGATCAAGCGGTCATAATTGCATTTTACGAGAAATGGAGTTGACGCTCACACTCGACCTCTGCTTTCCTGGCACCTAGTGACACCTCGTCATCTTCTCCTACTTTTAAATGTTACAGGGTCAAGTTTCACGAGGGAAGTGAGACGCTTGACCGACGCACAGGTCACCAGACCTCGTGACCTTGCGTGACCCTGACTTGACGTCAAGTTCAGGTGTCACGAAAATGTTACGTGACATTATAGACGCACACCACATGTACCCAGCTCCTTTGCAACACATTATGTGCATGTCCAAATTTATCAAGGTGACAGTGGCGCAGCGCACAAGCTGCCGATAAAACATGCAGAGAGCGAAAGGTGCAAATCTGGAAAGGACAACTCTACTCTCTCCCCTTCTTCTACCTTTATCACTCCCTTTGGGGTGGTAAACCTTCCTCCTTCGCAGATGCTGCCCTCCCCACTCTTGGGGAGACTAACGCCAAGTCAGATACGCATGCGAAACCCCTTGTTAGCTTTCATTAAAATACAATCCAGCATTTCTCATGTCACGCCGTTATTATTATATACAGTTTCAACATTATACTGTATAGAATATTCGGCGTACAAGCTTGCAGTGCCCACGTGCGGCCTTCAGATCGATCACCAATCCAACGTCGCGCCGCGGTGGAGACGCTAATGGCATAATCCCCGTGCAGACGCTTCACCCCTCCCGAAGCCGATTTCCGCACGTGCCCGTTGCCCGTACCTGCCAGGCAACTACACGTTTATTGTGGACAGACAGCGAGTGCATATTCGTCGTCGAGGACTGCGTCAAATTGAGGAATTCTGAGATTTCAGTTTGTTTTGCCGAGGACACTGACGTGGCTCATCGGGGCTCCCCCGTCGTTCTCTGCACTTGTAACGGCATCGTGCATCGAATATAACTGTGAGCCCAAGCACTACCCAGTGTGTGCATTATTCTTTAAAAGGTCCGTAGCCTTCTGTACTGCTATATCACAGCAGTGCCAAGACCGGAAGGGGGTTCATCGACTTCAAATCAAGAGAAATACGGGTTTCTCGAGCTCAAAACATTTCGGAACCCTTACCCTAGAAACAGAGGCATCGGAAATATTCGGGAGATGGGGGGCGACAGAGGTGGAGGTGCGGGGGGGAGGGGGGGGGGCAGTCAAGCCTTTCAAAACGGGAACCCCGCGGGACGGAGATCCCGCAAGAATAGAGTGCCACCAACCACCGGGTGACCACGCGCGTCAAATGCCGGGGGTTTGCCTCACGTAACAAATGGACAAGGCCGAGCCCTTCACATCGGGTGGTGGCCCGCGCCACTCGTCCCGCATGGCGCCGGCCACCCCAGGGGAAAAGGAGATGCTGGAAGAGAGCTCCACTGACCACTGGGTGCACGCCGAGAGGTCGATGCCCGTAAGTGCGCGGCAGGTGCGCACGGCCGTGCGGATGAGCACCCGGGGGTCCGAGCTCGGGTTGGGCCCGTCCAGGGAGGGGGACCAGGGACCCCCCAGGGCCACCGTCTCGCTCTTGCCCTTGAGCCCCACCAGGAAGGAGAGGATACGGGCAGGGTGCATCGACCCCAACCGGCCCTCCTCGCTCTCCTCCGCCAGGGCGCAGCTCTGCTGGTACAGCTCCTCCAGGGCCGGCGCTGACAGCAGCATGACCTGCAACGGGGGCAATGCCACCGTTACCGGGACAAATCGGTGGGACTGTCGTGCCTGGAACGCGTCTTCGGCTGCGCTGCGCTCCAAAAAGTGGCCCGCCAATTTCCGCCTATGGATGTCGTACAAGTGAAACGTTGCTGGCCGCAATCTTGGCGGTCTCACAACAGCAATGCTAAATGTAACACTGCTGCTTTTTTTTTTTTTTTTTCATTTTTATAGGGAAAATGGTGGTAGATGCAGATCTTGAATGCATAGAGCTCAATGGCACCAGTTATCGAAAACGGGTCCAATATTCTCATTAAAATTTCCAGAAAATCACATAACTTCTGACTGAGATACCGGTTAGTTCTGAAACTTCGGCATCCGGTTTGGACCGCTAACGATACATTTGGGTGGAGAATGAGCGTTCGGCAATTAGAAGTTTATATGAAGAAAAAAACACTACAGTGGAATCTCCATTATATGTCCCCAGTTTATGCGACATCCCGCATTTTACGACGAATTTGCCCAGTCCCGACGAACTCCCCACCCATAGAAATAATACATTAAAAGTTTGGTTTACACGACGCGTGATTCTATGCATCCCGCGTCATACAACGTTCCGGTGGCAGTACGGAACGCGGAAGAATTCTGCGCGCCATTTTCAGAGGGTCCAAAAGCATGCTGCCGGCAGCCCAAGACAGCCGCGGCGCCGGAAAAGAGCAGGAGACAGCACTTTCCCTTCTCCTCCCAGCGTTGTGAAATGCCTCAGCATTTTCACGCTGCATCCTTGCTCCGCTCATCTCATCGTTCGCTTGTCTCCCTCGTTTACCCTCGCTCTCCTCTGCGTGCCACTTTCTCCAACTCGTTGCTTCTCCCAGGACAGAGCATGCTTCCGCTGGTTCCCGCCGTTCCCGCTTTCGAAAAGCGTGAAAAGCGACAAGGATCCTATCGTCACGATTGTGCGCGCCTGCGCTTGCGGCCTTCGAAAGGAAGCTGATGGTGCGCGACAGAAAAAAAGTCTAGCAGGCGATTACTGATTTCCTTCGAGGTGAGAATAAAGTTAAGGCCCGTTCACACTCTTGCGACCTCTTAAAACTGGGTTCTTTAAAACCTCTTAGAACGAGAGGACACACTGGCGCTCTCTATTGGGTAGCAGTGTAAACTTGGCGGTCCGGCATATTTTCTATTTCTCTCGCGCATTATCCTTTCTTGGCTCTAAAAATTTTTTTAATGTTTTAAACAAGCCTTTCTTATAGGTATTACGCACATTTAATCTCGGAAATCCCACAAAACTTTCGCTCTTGTGAAATGCAGTTCCAGGGTCACCGCAAAGGTGGCGCCAGTGTGCCAGTGTAATCTCTCGTCTTAAAGGACACATGCAAAGGAAAAAAACATTTTTTTTAGACAGCTTAGATGGAAAAAGGATGTCATAAAACGATTTTACAACGAAGAAACAAAATTTTTAGAGCTATATTTACGGCGCTATACGAATTTGTAGTTGGTGCTCGCGGGAGCCGCCGCTAATCACGTGGTAGGCCCGCGCGCCGCCGCGCTGCGTCGCCGCCGCACGCTGAGCGTTGTGCGAACGCCGCTTCAACGCGTTTCTCCAAGCCGCCGTCGCCGCCGCCGCACAAGTTCGTCTGCTTCGGGGCGCCGCCGCCGTCGTCTGACCGGCGCACAGGTCTATCACGTCTGCTTGCGCTTTTTCAGGAGTTTCCTTTGGGCTCTAAAAGTTACTTATTCGTCTTGGTTTTTTGTTATACTTCAAACAAAGATGAATAAGTTACTTTTAGAGGCCATAGGAAGCTTCCGAAAGAGCGCAAGCACCACGTGATAAATAAAGACCAGTCACGTGATAAATACAGACCACTTTTCCGCGGTGCCCGCGGGCGCCAACTACAAATTCGTTTTGCGCCGTAAATATAGCTCTAAAAATATTTTTTCTTCGTTGTAAAATCGTTTTATGGCGTCCTTTTTCCATCTAAGCCGTTTAAAAAAAATGTTTTTTTCCTTTGCATGTGTCCTTTAAAGGGACACTGACACCCCCCAAAAATTTTTTTTAATTTTTTGCCAGGCGCTTCATTATGGTGTCGGAGGACTACCCAATTAATATTTTACAACAGAGTAGCGTATTTTATTAATAAAGCCAAAAGACGCAACTGCTCGAAACCGAAACCGAAACCCGAAGGAGGTCGGAGAAGTGGAGAGAAGAGAGTGAGTGGCGGAAGTCACGTGGCTACACCCGACCGTGTGTTTTTTTGTTTGTTTTTTTCTCCTTCCCGGTAGCAGACGACATGCGGCGTACGGGAACTGTTCGCCGTGGGATTCTTTTGCACTTATGTATGTTCCGCTCGTTGTTCTGTACTCCAAGATGAGTTGTCTTGTACATTGAGGAGTTGGAGATGAGTAGTGAGTGCCCGTGGTGAATTTTGATCGGCTCCGAAAAGAATACACCCAAGATGTTGCGTGAAGAGCTGGCTCACATGTCCTGCGTCCGAAACAGAAGTGGCATTGTGCGACAGAGTTTCCGAAAGGTCAACGGGATCGGGACCAATGGCTGGCTGCAATTCCTGTAGAACATATACGGGCGCCTCGGAAAGCGGACGCTACCTGATTTATATGCTCCTTGCATTTTGTGGAAAGTGATTACATCGAGTTCACAGGTATCAAAAAGGAAATCCCATACCATTTAATTCAGCGACGTGTCGTCCACAACATTTGTTTCTTATTATTATTTTTTTTCTTTCTTTCTTCAGTAATAATTGTAAAAAAAAGCCACGTAAACATCGAAAAAAAAAAAAAGAGGTTTCACGGGGGATTGAACCAATACTTTTGATTAAACCCGGTCCTACCGCGTGTGAAACGGACGTCTTTCCCACTGAGCTACTGGGGCATATCGAAATTGGGGGATTTCTAGTTGGTCGTGGGATTTCTTTCCTTAGTAATAATTCAGCTGATAAACTGTAAGTTGGAAAGTTTGCTGCCGATTTTCCTCTAGCAAAAGCACTTCCGGGTCGAAGTTGCGATGCACCACGCATTGGCGACATTCTCACCTTGTAAGGAAATCGTACGCGTGCATATTCAAATCGAAGTAGACACGTCGTGCTTGACGTTTGCGCAAGCGATGTCTTCAGCCACGAGAAGGAAGCGACGGCTCGGCGACGTCTTCGTGCAAATCGGCTTGGTGGTCGGGCGTGTCATACGGGGTGAATACCAATTCTTTTGACCAGTCCCAAATTTCTTTTTTTAAGGCAGACAAAATTCGCCGGTACCGTGAACGACAGTTCTGAAATACAGGTCCCACGCCCGTCGTCGCTGCCATCGCCGTCCCCGCGAGTTCCATGATACGCGAAACGACGCACGCACAGAATGCTTCCGGTTGTCTGTGGAACTTTTTTTTCAATCAACGTATTTGCAGCTTTTTAGAAGCCACAAAAAATGGGTTTAATATTTTTTTCTATTTTTAATATTGAGTGCAAGCCTTCAGTGACCCACGACTTTGATTAAATTTGGTGGTCGCATCAATACCTTAGAAAACGGCCCGTGACCATGGGAAAGAGAGTGAGCGAGACTCGAACCGGCCAGTTCTTGATCAGCGGTTTTCGGGCGGAAAGAAACCGAATTTCGAGCCGCAAATTCTGTTCTGGGTAGTTGAGCTCTCATATGTCACGTACAACTAAAAACCTCGGCGAGCATAAATACCCTGTCAGTGTCCCTTTAAGATATTTTAAGAGGTTTTAACAAGTCTCGGTCTCACTTGGTCGTACTCGGTTGCAAGAGTGTGAACGGGCCTTTATTCGCGCCTTTACCGCACAATTGTACGGTTTCGTTTCAATTTAGTCTGATGGTTTTTACTTCGTCAAAGTATGGCAGATTATCAGCTTAGACATCATTTAAAGGGCCCATGAAATGAATTTTGGGCTGGAATAAATCAATTTATATTGATATTTTACTAATAGCACATTGTTCAGGGGGCCAAAAGAATTTTTATTGCTCATAGGTAGTGCCGAGTTCCGGGTTTGTTTTCATCCATGTCAGAAAGAGAATGTGTGGTATGGAACGTGGTTATATACGCATTTGAGCATTTGACCGCAGCGCCCTCTCGTCTATAAACGTTGAGCCAATGCATGCAAAGTTTAACGCGATTATATACGCATTTGACCGCAGCGCCCCCTCCTGTATAGATCATTCCATTTAGCGCTCTCTGGACGGCACCATTTTGTTTGACCGCAGCGCCCCCTCCACACATCCGGGAAGTTCAGCGGGTTCGGCGGGGTAAAACGAGAGAGAGGGCACGCGCCCGACTCCGCTAGCAAACGACAAACCGGGAGGTTGCCGTTCTCCATCTTTGGGCTGTATCGGCGGGCTCTACCGAACATCGAACTCTCGCTCGTGGCCGCCGTTGTGAAGTGGTTTGCGTTCTTAGAATAGTTGTGGCTACTCCAAAATCAGCTTATAGCTCTCTGTTGTTCTGTTTTGCTAAATGATCAACTAGCATATCTTTTTTCCGTTAATTAAATAGCAGTTGAGTCAGCCGGCAGTACTACCCTCAACTACTGCATGTATTGAGGCAGGAGAGCACGTTTTATTTATTATTTCAGACTTCCACTCATGGTCGCTAGAGGCCTACACCAGTACAAACTTTGTATAATAAAAAAGGTACAGCAACCGGATTTACTTTTCGCCAAAGAGACCGGCCAACCTGACACAGTTTTCCTTTTTTTTTTATTTGCACGCAGCTAACAGCGCAATTGGACCCTGTGAGTCTTTTTATCGAGCATAATATTACACGACAACTGGCACACCAAAATCTGCGCATCTGCGCTTGAAAGTTCCAAAATGACGCGATTTTAAACAGAGTTTGCACGCCAGCCGGACGCTAGCTACAGCCCACTCGGCGGAGCGGAAGACATGTGGGGTGAGAGGGGGAGTGCATTTTTTTCTCTTTTACCCTCTCTGCTATGACCCTAATGGAACGGTCTATAGACGTTAAACGGCTACATGCAACGTTTCATCCATGACATCCCCAGCTCTTGAATTACTACCACATCTCAGAACCCCCTACTCATCCCGCAGTCGTGGCCGAGTGGTTAAGGGGGTCTCCCCGTACAGGTTCGAAACCTGTCGACTGCGGAAACATTTTTTCTTTTTTTAAGAAGACAGATGGGATGGATATCGATGTGAGCACGGACGCCGGACAAGGCTAGACCCTGAGGAGCTTCGACCCTAAAAAGGTAGAGAGTCAAAAGCCCGACTATCGGTACGAAAATTCGAAAACGCAGTGGACTATTTCGTACCTCCTTCCCTTCGTAAGCTCTCTGCCTTTTCACTGTGATACATCTGCGGACCCCACAGCGCATCACTGGGCCCAAACGAATGTCACGTGACACCGGAGCTCACTCATTCCCTTCACCCCTAAGCTGACATTATGGTGGAAGCTACGCACTTGCCGGACCAATCAGCCGCCCCCCTTTCATCAACTGACCTCATTCTTTGCGCGTGGGTATGCGCGAGAGAGCGTGATCACGTAGCAAAAGTGTGGCTGGCCCAAGGAGCAGGTAGCTTCCACAGCACTGTCAGCTTCGGGGTGAACGGGGTGGGGAAAGCAACTTTTGTCTGAATTTTGAACGACAGGCTAGTCTTCTAGGGGGACAATGGATGCGTTCGGCTTACACAAACGAGAGTCCGAGCAAGAGTTACTCCCGCTTTCCGTCTTCTTGAACTGTTTGGTAGAATGCACGATTTATGAGTTGAGGAGGAAAGCTAAACAGGAAAAAGTTGAAAAAGCGTTTCATGACTCCTTTCAAACCTCCGCTTGTCTTTTTCGCGCAAGGCCAATCACTGTATTCATAATTAATGTTTTTTCCGATGATACGACTCACGAATTATACGACGATTTTGTGCGGTCCCGCAAAAGTCGTATAATCGGGGCTTTACTGTATATGTTTTTTTTCTGGGACAAACTATACATTGCCCTGCACTTTTCTGCACAGGTGCTGGTAAATCGAATAAACTATCTATATGCTGCAAAAGGTACATGCTCAGCAGCAATACCACCCCGACGGCAGCCAGTGAGATGTCAGTGCAAGCCAAAGAAACACTATGTTTGTGTTGACATCAATGCATCCGGTAGGCGAAAAATGTCTGGGGCTGGGCAATTCCTCGTCCCAAGCTTTGTCAAGTGTGCGCGCTGCTCGGTTTCACGGTTGATCACTTCCGCAACTACGCACTTACAGCCATTACGAAAGCGGCTTGGCTTGGCTTGGCTTGGCTTCACCTGGCCTAGCCACCTGGCGGCAAAAGAAAATTGGCGTAGTGGCAAGCTAAATTGCACGTAATTCGAGACTTGCGGAGCCAAAAATTGGAGGTGCGTTGATTACACGAGGGAAAAAAAAAAAGAGAGTCCAAATATTGGTACCCGTTGTGGTACCAATATTTGGACTCTTTATGCAAGTGCGTTCATTATGCGAGTAATTTCGATATTATAGGTGAGGTTATTGAGACCCATTCTCTAGACGGCGAAAATCTTGCAGTTCTCCGGAAAAACTGATCTCGGCCCAGCCCAGTGTCGAGCAAACGGCACGTGCCGGCTCCATTTGCTTGGCACAACTTTTTGTGGATACGAAGCCAAAGCTACACACCCGTGCAGCTGGGCAGCTTCAGCGTCGCTCAAATTGGTACACATATGCTCTTCACTTCTTCAGAAACGCCCCGCATCCCAGCATGCTCGCTCACTTTGCACACAAACAATAAATGTATGGAAGAAAGCCAATAATTATGAAAAAGTCAAAAGGAAACCATTGTTAGCATCTTGATAGGATGCTAAATATAATGTACAATGGGTTGCTGTTTTTTCATTGTTTTTTTTCTTTTAATCTTTTTTATGTTTTATTAGCACGGGTGAGTGGATGCTGAAAGATGCTTATACACCGGTTTTATGTTCATAAACTCACGGCCTAGCGTGCTATCTTTAGAGGCCAGTACACGCTTGTTCGCTGCTTCAAAAAGCGAGCAAAGCGCCCGCCATGCTCACTAACACCGAGAATCGCAATGACCAGAAGCTTCGTTTACAAAATGCAGCGCTGTGAAGATCGCACCGATCAGCAAGCAATCTTCACAGTTCAACATGTGCATGTTCGTTGGTTCAGAGAGCAAGCAGAGCATGCGCTGTACGTACGAGCACTGAAAATGGCACCACATTCAGAAGGCTATTTCTACTTACGACAGTGATTTGCCCATGATCCGACGCTAATCCTTACACGCTTGCATCTGAAAGGCTGAACCCACTGGAGCAAACATTACCGACGAAATTTGCGCCGCAAAAATCTATTTCAACACGTCGCTGCGCATTCGTCGGAAACTAAAATTCTACGCGACAAACAAGCACGCACGCCACCAAGGCGTCAGCTGCACGAGCGACTTCATCTGCACGCAAACGATGCACTAGCAAACGCCGGAAACCCGATTGCACTACCGACGCACAATACCATCAGCAAATGGGATGTTCAGAAAACATGCGTAAACGGCCCGAACGTGGTTACAACTTCAAAGCCGGCCGGAAATAACGGCCAGTTCCTTGGCTAGTTCGTACCCCACATCGGCCAACGGCCCCTTCCTGTGGCAGCGGACGCCAGGCAAACAAAAGCCAGCTCTCCCAGATCGGCGCCGAACGGCCCGTGGCCCGAACCCACCCAGAGTGCATCGAGCTGCACGAGCAACTGCAAGCAACTCGTTCGTTCCGGAAAAAATTGGCACAGTCTACAGGAAAAATGCCACTGCAATGGTGCGGCAAATTGTTCACAAGTACCCCAACCGGCTTCTCGACCTCACCGCAACTACGGTGCCTGGAACGTGTCTCCAACTGGCGCGTTAACCACGTCCAAAAATGCGGTCCCTCGGTTTCCGCCTGACAATGTTGAATAAGTGTCGTGCTGCCGCCGTCCTCGATTCCGGCGGCGTCACGGCAGCGGCAGTGAATGTGGCAGACGCAAGTTCTGCTTCAGGTCACTTTCCAGCTTGACAGTCCACGGAAGTTTCAGCAGCCACGAGAGAGTGCGACGCTCGCATTCTCTCGTGCTTTTTTCTCTCCAGACCTTCTATGCCCAGCCGCCGGGATCACGACGTCCGACAGCGTGACACTCCGGCTTTTGGGACGTCACTCGTCGCCACTTCGAGACCTCATTCGATGCATGAGCGGAATGGAAAGCTAAACGCACCGTTCGGACAATCGTTCCAGGCACCGTACCGCAACTGAGACGCTCGCGGACGGACTCCATGGCGCACCCGTGCCCGCGGGAGTTCTCGGAAATCGTACCTTGGCACTGAAGGAGAAGTCCAGGTCCGGGGGGTTGAGCACTGCGGGGGGTGGTGGCGGTGCGGGCGGCGCCTCGGAGCCGTCGCCAAGCGCAGCCAGCGGCTCAAGGGGCGGCGGAGGCAGCGTGTCCTTGGGCAGCACTTGGAAGCCGCACGGGTGGTTCAGGCTGAAGGGGCGGTGCAGGGGGAAGGCCCGCTGCCAGCAGATGTTGGCGTGGAAGAAGTCGGACGGAATGTACAGGTTCGGGTAGCGCTTCTTCAGGTCTACCACCCCCATCTCACACCTGGGAGAAGGGACAGCAACGACGCAAGGTTGGGAATGAAGAACCTCTGGGTGACTTAAAACATGACGTGTCTCCACCCCGAAAAAATTAAGAAGTTCCTTGCATCGCCGATTGCTCGGTGGCCACCCAAATGTACTGCTAGCAACCTGGACCAGAAGTCAGTTGCAGAATCGTTAGCTTATTCAAAAGCTTAAAGCGACTTTAGCGAATTTTCAATGGGAAAATGGCAGTAGACAAAGCTGACGGACACGTGGAGACGAATGGCGTCAGCTACAAGAAACGGGCCCCATTTCTCCACCGAAAGTTTCAGAAGATCCCTTAAAACCTTTTAATGAGTGAACAGTTAGATTTCAAATGGGCATCTGGTTTCATTAGCTTTATCGCTAACGCCACATTTGGGCGAAGAGTGCATTCGGCGATGCACAGCTTATTTTTGCGACAAAAAGAAAAGTTGTTTTTGAGAAATGCACCGTACGGTAGACTACGGCAGGAATTCTGGAACTTGTAGACATCGGGGAACCTCCCTTACGCGAGGAATCCCTCCCAACCCCAGCATTGACGATACGAAGCAGTCAAGTCCACAAATCGTGTGAACAATAACGTATTGAGAGAATGATTTCGGGATTTGTACCGTCCAGAGGGCTTGAAAAAGCCTCCCAAAACCTTAGACTGACAGTCTACATTTTTCTAAAAAGTGACTCGTAGCAAGCCACTCGCTGACACTGTGAGGCCTCTAGGAGGCAGCTCCAGCTCGTGTCTAGTTCGGACCATCCAAAGCTAAGTGAACAAGTGATCATTCACTCTACCCAGCAAAACGAGGATCATGTTCAAAATCTTACTCGAGTAGTTCCGAGCTAACCCTGCAAGCGTGGCAGAGTTGGTAATGCACGCGGCGATGTGATGAGATAGAGCAACGCTGGACTTCGGTAGGTTTCCCAACGCCAAGGTACAAAACTCTTAAGACCGGTTCACACATACACTGCAGTGCTAAATCAGCACTAGGAACAGCACTGGTGCAGCGCTAACTTGAACATAACTTGGTAATAATTCACGGCTACATTGGCGCTCTATCACTAATATAGCGCGAAGTCAACGCTGCATGAGCAAGGTCAGCGCTACAGTAAACCTTCCTTAATTCGAGGTCATAGAACTGGAGAACTATTCTAGATAAGCGGAGTTTCGAGAAAAGCGAGGCACCAACTTTTCAATGCACTGACTGCGCATTCTGAAAATGGAACCCTTCCAGCAATCACTTTAAGGGGAGACACTGCCCAGAAAAAAAAATTTCTGCGAAAAAAGTTGATTTTGAAAAATACCGTATTTACATCCACCGACATCTAGAGAGTATTCCCAAAAAGTTTAATTAATTTTCACTGCATAGTTAAATTTTTATAAATTATTCTCTGTCCACCAAAGCTAAAGAAAAGGTAGGGTTTGGAGCACTTTGAACGCATTTTTCTCCGTTCCACTTTTTGGTATAAATTCCAATTTAGTCAATCTATCGTTTGATAATGGCTAAACAGGGAAGGCTCATTCTTCCTTTTTCCTGACTGAAATTTAATAAGGAATGCGGCTATGGAGCTTTTTTGTCACTTTACGGGTGTCTTGTATAAAAAATGTTGACATTTTGTCGAAGACACAGAAGACCAAAAAGTTGTCCAAGTTTGCAGAAGAGAAAATTTATAGAAGTAAATTACTTTTCAGAAAAAACGTTCCATAGCCGCACCCTCTAGGCATTCTGCTACATATCTAGCAAATAAAAATCTTGAATATTGTGACAGTTTTCTGACGATAGATTAACTAAACAATGTAGGCGTGTTGCTGATAGAAGCTACTCTAATTTCTTTCTCATTTAACCGACAGACCTGAAATTTTGTTATACACCCTCTAGCATGACCGCCAGCCTACCCTGTAAATTTCATTGGTTTTAATACAAAAGTTCAAAAGTTTACCCCCCTAGGGGGTGTGTCCCCTTAATAGACTTGACACTCACCCGTGGGAAGAACTAAACGACTGCAACAAAATTATCAACAAGCAACAGTCAGGAGATGAGACAGCAATACTAAAAAAACAAGACCGGAAAAAAACAAAAACAATATCCACGAAAAAAAAAAAAAAAAAGATGAAGAGCCGAAGACAATGTTAAGCGCGAGGGAGAGAGAAAAATGGTGGTACCAAATGCCAAGCCAAGGTTTGGGAGAGAAAAAAATAAGCAAGACAATAAACACACTTGAGGCGTGTACTGCTCCCGGGGTTGCCACGCATGAGCACAGCACAACTCTCTTGCTTGTGATGGATGATGCAAAACTTGGTTATTTTTTGCGTTTTTGTTGGTGGATTGCCGTTTTTTTAGTCAGCAAAAGTTTGGGCCACCATGTTCATTGTTTGCTGTGCCCTGCTTGGTTTTATTTTTTTAATTACTGTTAACATAATTTTTATACAGCTACACACAGCTCTGACGTCATGCCGCTGTGGTGGTGCTGCTATAGACCTTTGCAAAAAGAGAGCTCTGGCCGCCGCCATTTTGCGAATCGAGCGACCCCTATCAGCCAGAAATTTCTGGCACCCGCCCGAGCTGTAAAAAACCCGGTCAGCGTGACTCCCCACCTGCATTTTGCATTCGGAGTTCGCCGGCTTTTCTGGGAAGTTTTTACTTTATTCGCCTGTTTAGGATGCTTACCCTTTGTATGTTATCTTCCACTGTGACAACCAGAGAATACCAGCGCTCGTAGCCTGAGCGGCCTTCGCAGGAAACAAACGAAGAGAGCGAACGTCAAACAGCCCGCGACGCAGGCAGTTCGACGTTCTTGGAGGATTATTTCCGCCGAGATAATCTCCAAAAAGCCTTCCCGGGTGTGTTCCGGGTCTTCGCGAAAAATAGCTGATAGGGTCGGGTCCGGGGTGTGGGGACAGAATAGACACGCTTGTTCATTCGCTTTGAAGCTGTGCAAAAAAGCTGCTCCCTTCTACATGTTCCCCAAAACACGCCAGATTCCGTCAGACTGTCGTGAAGTGACTATCGTCGACACTGCATATTGGATATGCTGTGTTATTTGAGACCTTTCTCAAATCCTCTTCAGATAATGCGGCACCGTGGGGTATGTACAATATATGTTGTTCGATTGATGAGACTCATTGAATTTCATGTTGTGGGCGGGGAATATCCATGCAGTTCGGATATATTGTGTGGTCAAATATTTTGACCTATATAGATTGACATGTCTGAGTGTACGGTGCCGTAAAACGACGAACATAAAATGAAACAAACATTCCGGTTGGATTTGTTCTGTCGCTCACGGACTCACCAAAACAGCTTTCATTTCTTTGTTTTTGTTCCCAAAAATAGATCACTGCTTTCTTAAATACCTCTATAAATTATGTTCACCACAGAACACAAAATAAAAAAGAAAACGCAGCAATTCAGCCGCCGCCAGCGTCCGGAATTGCGCCCACGCAGGCTGCCACAGCCCACTGACGAAAAACTCCACATCTCAGCGCAGTCGGGCAACATTGACGTACACTCTCAAAACCAGGAACGCGCGCTGTAAATCGCTTCTTTCGAGACTGCCGCTGGAAAGGTCTATTGGCAGGGCGCATGCGCAGACACTTAAATTTGCGCAAATCTGGTTCCAGTGCTAGCGCAGTGCCCGCACCTCTTGTGGGCTAATTTGTTAGCAGCGTACTGGCCTATACATCCGAGATCCCTCCTGAAAACCTTTCAAGATATCTGATGAGTAAAAGCCCCTTCACACACTTGCGGCCCTTAGAACCAAGCGCCTTAAAACCTTTTAAAAACTCTTACGACGGGAGATCACACTGCCACATAGGTGCCATCTAAGCAGTGACCCTGGAACTGCATTTTACAAAAGCGAAGGTTGGGTGGTGTTTGCGAGGCAAAATGTACATACTACTTATGAGAAATGTTAGTTCATAACAATGACAAAAGTTTTTCAAGCCAAGAAATAAAGAATGATGGGCGAAAGAAATTAAAAATATACGATACCGCCCAGTGTTCCATTACTACCCGATAGGTGGTGCCAGTGTGTCCTCTCGTCATAAGAGATTTTAAAAGGTTTCAAGGCACTCGTTCTTGGGAGTTGGGCCTTAAATGCATTGTGCCTATGGGAGTTCACTCCATGACAAGGAAATCCTTCGACTTCACCAATATCTCGAGATAACCGAGTTTCAGTTATCAAGCGATTGCTGTATTTCCAGCGCCGACTAATAGTGCCGAGGTAGCGTTGTGGTGTTTGTGTGAACCGGCCTCTCTTCCGAAGCCAGATGGAGCAAGTTTTGAAAAGAGGACCGAGGTGGCCCAAGGAGAGGGAAAAGAAGAGCAAGGGTGCCACTTCACTGGTCGAGGGAGATGGCGGGGATGTCCACCACGTAGCGGGGCATCAGCCGGGGCTTGCGCCTGGGAGGGGGGCTGCTGCCCCTGCGGCTGGGGGACAGGGCGTGCTTGCGGGGCAGGCCTGAGCCCTCGTGGTCCAGGCCGCCCCTGAAGTCCCGCTCGGGTGTCAGGGCGCCGCCCCGCAGGTCCCGGTCTCGGTCCCGGTCGTGGTCCACGTCACGGTCTCGGTCCCGCTCCCGCATGATGGGCGAACGCCGGTCCCGCATGGGTAACCTGAGAAACGTAAAATGCGCTTACGACAAATTCAACTTCAAATGACATCCAATCCCACATAATATTGGCACTTGCTTGAGGGGAAAAAACAAAGAGGCATGTGCTAGACTAGGGGTCTCCGAACTTTTCGGCTGAAAGGCCAGAGTAGCGATCTGTCACAGTCTCGAGGACCGGAACGAAAAAGAGTACATATTTGGTTTGAATATAAGTCTACCTTTTTTCTCGGAAATGTTGCCAAAAATTAAGGGTTGACCTTTTCAGTCAACCCTAAATTTCGGGACCCTACCGAGAGCATGAAGCTATGGAGCTACCGAGTCACTGAACCGGCGTCACTGTAGAGCCGTGCCGCTTCTTGTTTCAGGAAGCACGAAAACAACCAAAACAGCAGCAGGCGGGGTCCTGCCGTGACCGCCGCTTGCACGCATCCCTTGGGCATTGTGTTTTGCGCCTGTCTGTGGCCAGCGCCGCTCACTAATGCCCCTCGCGACGTAAGGGGGGAAGGAAGGGAGGGGGGACGCGACGCACCATGCACCTTGCCCCCTCCCCTCCAAGCCCTCTCCCTTGCAGATGCACACCAAAAGAAAATATGGAGGTTACTTTCGCTTCTTGTTGCTCATGCGGTCGCACGCTGCTCACGATGACTCGCGGTGTTGCTTGTGTCTTTGTACATACTTTCTTCGCTTTGCCCGTCTCTATCTTCTTTAGTTTCTTGTTGTTGGAAGTCCTGACGATGATTAAGTCGTTGCCATTGCGCTGCAATTTAGCTGAGAGCGCTGCAAATAAAGTTTTGTTTCATTCTTCTGCCCAAACATTCCTCTGTTTAAAAAAAAAAAGAAAGAAAAAAATCAACCCACATTCACTTTTTTTATTGTTTTATTTATTCTCGGCGAGTTCAATATAAAGGCATTGACCTATATTTGTGATCGGTTTATGTTGGAGTAAATACTAATCATAAACAAAGTAAAACTAAGTAAATAAACCTATATAAGCATTTCAACGCAGAAATGAATGTTTGAGTAAGTATTAACAAGAAACCTAATGTGGACGAATACATATACCTACTTCAAATTGAAGTTTAAGATTTTGCTAGGTAATTATGACATTATAGAGCAGTTGTGACCAAAACAACTCACCAGGCATACATCAAAGTGCATGGGAACATTGGCACATTCAAGCAGTGCAAAAGACTAATGAGAATGATGAGACTAATACTGACAATATGCAGTAGTTGTGACAGAGGACACTAAGCACAATGTACAGAAGAACGAAATGGAATTATAACATAGTTACACAGACATGAAGCAGGGGACAAAGACTGGTAATGCTAGTGATGAAAATGTCCAATTAATAATAGGCACGAGGTCCCAAGTTGCACTGCAGTTTCTCTCATTCTTTCAGGTAACTTGGTTTGTGCATCTGGAGTGCGTCGCAGTGTCATTTCTTTACGCACACTTCTTTTTGCGACGTTAGCAGCAGGTCTGCTTGGAAACGGGCCACGGATCAGGCTTCATTGGAAAGACCACCAACAGCCGTGGGCCGCATCTGTCCCCAAGCTGGGTTTGGAGACCCCCATGCTAGACCACTAGTCACAGAATCGAAACACAGTCAAACCTTAGCGATTAGACACCGACAGAAAGTCAGAACGACATGTGTAGGACGCATCATCCGAAACTCCTTGCGTCTACTCTCTATTGCACGTGATGATGCCACAAAGGCAGAAGAGATCTGGTGGTAACCGCTGCTCCCGATGCCAGAAAGGGACCAGTGTCAACGCTCCCACAGTACAGATACAAAAAATCCCCAAACCTGGAGCGGTCCTGCATTCTGTCCGGCATCCGGTCCTGCATCCTGTTCATGCCACGGTCCTGCATCCTGTCCAGGCTGCGGTCTTGCATGCGGTCGAAGTTGCGGTCGTGCATGCGGTCCGGCATGCGATCCACATTCCTGTCCAAGTTCCTGTCCGTGTTCCTGTCCAGGAAGCGGTCCCGCGTACGATCCTCCATGCGGTTGTACGGCCTCCGGTCCCGATCAAAGTCCCTGTTGCTGTTCCGGTCTTGGTACCGGTCCCGACGGTCGTCGTGGCGCATATCACGGTCTCGCCTCAGCTGTGCCGGCGAAACGGCCCGTCTCATTGGCGTCGGTGAAGAGGGCCTCCTCGTCTGCGTCCTCGTGCTGTTGTTTCCTGAAACCGTAAAGGAAACCCATTAGCGTCGGTAAGATGAATCTCTGGTTAGATCAATTAGACACGCTGTAACAAAGCGTCACCGAGCGTGTACGCACAACGTTGACCACGGTTCTGCATTTTCGCAGCTCACTCAGACTGAAGCATGATGCGCTAATACCTCCCTATTTAGTAGATCAGTTCCTTTATAGTACCACAAAGGCATCTAGCAATGCATTACACGAGGGGGAAGGCAAAAGTGTGGGGGAAGTCGTGATATACACCGTTAAATATCGAGCATCTACCCATTCCACAATGAGCACCCACCCCTCAATGTTGTAACATTCAGAAAATACACAAAAGGCCTATCTTTGCAAGGCGTTAACCTAAGGAGCACCCATCCCCCAGATTTACATGTTTATCTCCAAATCTTTTTTGCGGGAGCTTGCTCGGAATTTAAGAGAACATATGATAGAATACAATACAACGTGATACTGCCAGATCTGCGAGCGAAACATTTTCATCTGGGTGCGCAATACCGGCAGAGGAATCTATGAAGTTAGATCTAGCAATCGTAGTTCACTACTCTAGAAAGGGCGAGAGCATATCTCCAAGAAAATAAGGGAAGACAGGCTAAATTGCACACCTATAACTGCCGACGTAGAATCCCTCAATTATATACGGGTTTGTTCGTCTAGCCGACATCCCTCGAGGATTATTTCTATCTTGAAGTAACAAGCATTTTGCCGTTCTAAGCGACATCGGAAGCACGGCGCAGACCTCCTCTAATTTTCACTAAAATAGAGAGGTGTCCCAAGTGAGGAACCCCCTATGTATGTATGTGCTAAAGCCTTATATAGCGTGCTTGTACGCAAGTTAAGGTCCGATCACACACACGCGACTCCTTAAGCGCCGTTCACACTCTTGCAACTGAGTATGACCAAGAGAGACAAGACCGGTTTTTAATCCTCTTACGACGTCTTAAGACCAGCTCCGCAGCAGCGCGCCTGATCCTAAGACGTCGCAAGAGGCTTAAAAACCGGTTCTGTCTCTCTCAGCCTTACTCAGCTGCAAGAGTGTGAACGAGCCTTTAGGCCCGAGTGCCCTAAAACCCCTTAAAATCTCTTGCGACGAGAAAAGATCCTGGTGCCATATATGCGGTGACCCCGGAACTACATTTCAATAAAGCGAAGGTTTTGCGGTATTGGCGAGGTCTAATGTACATACTACCTACGAGAAGCGGCAGTTTACAACATTGACGAGAGATTTTCGAGCCAAGGAAGAAAAGAATGATGCGCAAAAGAAATACAAAATGTACAGGACCACCAAGAGTTCCGAGGCTACCCGACAGGTGGCGCCAGCGTCTTTTCTCGACCTAAGAGATTTCGAGGTTTCGAGATGCGCAGTCCTAAGAAGTCGCAAGTGCATGAACAGGCCTTCATACTATACAGTTAACACTGTTTCACAATGTGCGCTGTTTTCCCACAGAAACATGGGTGCGACACTGCCCAGTAATCGTAATCGCTGGCACTAGGAGAAGGGATTGACGACGGTGCTCGCGCATCGTTGCACGCTCGATTTTCGCTGGAAAATCGTTTCAAGTAATCAGCCCTTCCACTAAATCTGCCCTTGGAAAAAGGTTAGTTAAGTGTGCTCGGGCACTCGTAAGAAAGCAAAACCACTACTCGGCTTTCGCCCACCAAGCGGGGCATGCGGTGACAGGGTAACGCAGTAAACGGGAGCGGCTCGAGTGTTACACAGCCAATCCGGTTAGACCACTCATCATTACGAACCAAGAAGACCGCTAAACGGCAAATGCTCCCTCTTCCGAAGTAAAACGGAAACTGCCCATTAGGAAAAAAAACATCTTTAAAAACAAAATCTCAAAAAACAAGAAACATTAAAAAAAAGAAGGTAGGACTGTGCAGGGGACGTCTGCATCTTACCGTAGGCGTAATCCCCCCGGTGGCGGTTTTCGGTGTAGGAATGTTTTTCGTTCTCCGAGCGCCCACCCTTCGAGAGCGAATTCTCTGGACAGACGAGATAAGGGAGAGAGCGCAGGTTGCAGAAACGCACGCATGCGAGGCAACCTCTGCCGCGAGTGCAAGCATCAAAGCAACATCACCTAGAAAGACAAGGCCTGTTTTATAACATTGTTGTTAGTGGACTCCCAAACCGCATAAAAGCGGCAAACACACCCAAGCTGGACAAGAGGCGTCGCAAAACGGCAGATGCGTCCGTCCCGGCTACCGTGCCTGCAAAGCGTCTTCGACTGACGTGTTTAGAGTCCTATGTGGAGCGCAAGTTCATCTGCTTCTTGAGCAGGGGTTGCGGTGACGTCAGAACACAGAGCTCTGATTTGTCCCGATATGAAGGGTAGAGGGTAGACCTCAGGTAGCTAGCATTGAGGTCTACCAACTATCCCTCCATCAGAGCCAACCAGAGATTGGCGTCCTGATGTCAGTGCCACCTCCATGCAAGAAGCAGACGAACTGGCACTCCGCATTTCGCCCGTGCATCAAAAGTGGTCTCGAAGTGGCAACAAACAATGTCACAAGAGCCGGAGCGTCATGCTGTCAAATGGTATGATCCTGGCAAGTAAGCATACAGTTCTGAAAAGAAAAAAAAAACAGCCGCATCTCCACGTGGTGAATGATGTTGATTGGGGCGAAGCTCTGGTGGTGCTTGTCTGCGTAGACGCTGAGCCGCAGCATGCCGAGCCTTTCGTTCGTTTTCATCCATGTCACGCTGTGGTCAAAAGCTCAAATGCGTATATAACCACGTTCCATACCACACATTCTCTTTTTGACATGGATAAAAAACGAACGAAAGGCTCGGCACGCTGCGGCTCACCGTCTACGCAGACAAGCACCACCAGAGCTTCGCCCCAATCAACATCATTCACCACGTGGAGATGCGGTTGTTTTTTCTTTTGCCCTACACGAGCACGGGAGCACATGCTCACGTGCTCGTGAGCACGTGAGCTCACGAGCAGGAGCACGTGCACCCGACGGTGGACGGACACACGGGCATGGCTAGCCCCTAAGGAGCTTCGCCCCTAAAAAAAAAGTGTGAGGGAATGCGAGTGTTGTTGTTGCTGTGGCGTACAATCCCCTGGTTGCTGAAGCTCCCGTGGACACCATTTTCACGTCGCCAGGGTTTTGTGACATCACCAAGAGACCACTTTTAGACACAGTAAGCACACCAGTTGCAAACGCATTCCAGGCACCAAAGTTCCGGCAGCGGCGTGTGCTAGCCTTGTGCTATCGCGAGAGCCGCGAAACATGCCGTCGACAACACCAACACGAGCTAGGCGGTGCTGCGTGGGTCCGCCGGCAGTAAAGTTTGGGGGGGGGGGGGGGGGGGGGGGGGGGGGGGGAGGGCGCAGGCCTTGTCTTTTAGGTTACAATGGTTAAAGAGGAGGACAACAAGAGGAGCGTGGCACACGCAGCTTTACCCGAGGTGATGGAGTTGATGTACTGGGTTTGGGCCGCCATGGTGGCGCTGGTATTGGCCTGATTGCCGGCGGCGGACGTCTGGGTTCCGAGCCGCACTCCGACCTGGGCGTTCATCTGTACAAAGCGGAGTGACTTACCCTTATTGCAAAACTACACTTGCTACGTGACGTTCAGCAAAGAGAAAGCAAATTTGTCAAAAAAAAAAGCTATAGCAGAGCCCATCCACACGTTACGAGAGTAAAAATCTCGCCTTGAAGATCTAAAATACATTCTCAGCCCAGAATATGGCACACAGAAATTAGACTAGCATAAAAATGCTGCCAGGCACTATATTCCGTTGCAACTCAAGAAGGTAGGGCGAGGGAAAGGAAGGTAGGGGAGGAGGAAGCAGACGGAACATAGGAGGGAGGAGGTTTCCCCTTCTCTCCACCGTTCTCTCTGCTTCTTCCTCCCTTTGATTGATTTTCCTGTGCCCTACCTTCTTGAGTTGTAGCTTATTCTTTTTTTTAACTTAGGAAACGTAGCATTAGAGAATACTAGTATAAATTCGCTGATATGCAGTCATGAATGAAAATTAATTAGTGAGTCAACTCATTCACTGCCCTGTTCCGATACCGCAAGAGAGGAAGTGTGTTCTAATTTTTAGTGCCAACAACTCTTAACGTTGAACGTAAATAGGCATACCTGATTCGCCAAGAGCTGGATGCGGTAGGCGTTCCACTTGAAGGGCATGTTCTGGTTATAAGATGCCTCGACAAGCACTCTCTCACCAACCTTCGGCATGGTGCCCTTGATGGCACTAAACATGAAAGAAATACATGCAAAATACTAAGAGTGAGCTCATGGGCAATGAACCAAACATGGAAGGCAAAACAACAGCGAGTTTTGCACCCAAGTTTTGCAAAAGGTGATACAAAGAATAGTGTATTTAGTAAATATGGCACTTTTGTGAGCTTGAACGAAGTTTATATGTAAACCGCCGCTTGCAAAGACATCTCTCAGCTACAGCCTAAGGTAGGAAGTTATATAAAAAAAAACTTCAACTAGTATTAGTATTTTTTTTCTATTTTAGTTCATATCTAAAACTTAACATAAATTAGTATTCAATAAAGCACTAGTGGAAAATCTATTTTAACTTAAACCAACAACATTTGTTTATTAAGTGATACAGCATGCTAACACACAAGCAACAGACAGAAATGCAAGAATATCACACAAACATATATTATTACCTTAGAAATGGCCAGACGACCACACACGCAACCACAGATGCTGTTGCCACCCAAGAGCAAACTGCATTGCGCAAGCTTTGGAGGCAAAACATTCCGTACGCCTCGCAGGATACATAAGCAATGACCGCTGCATTCACCTTTTATTATTTATTTGTACAACTGTGTTAACTTGAGTTTACCTCCCACAGATGCTGTTGCTACCCAAGAGCAAACTGCATTGCGCAAGCTTTGGAGGCAAAACATTCCGTACGCCTCGCAGGATACATAAGCAATGACCGCTGCATTCACCTTTTATTATTTATTTGTACAACTGTGTTAACTTGAGTTTACCTCAGTTCACCTTAACTTAACTAAGTTCACCCAATGCACATTTGAGTTCAATCGAGTTGTACAATTGTTGCCTCACCTTGTCTGAAAGAAGACGTCCTCGTCCACGAATCCGAAGTTGTCGTGCAGTTTGGTGACAGTGCCCGTGAAGACCCGCTGCTTGGCAGACGGGGCGGGACCCGGTGCAGGTACGCCTGTAGGGGGTGCCCCCAAGATGCGGGCTTGGGTCGGATACGTCAGGTTCGCTGGAGTTGTAGCCAAGCCAAGACCCGCCTGCATGCACGGCCGCACGAAGCACAGGTCACTTCCCACGTGACCTCAGTACACGCGACACCTGGGCTTGCTGCTAAAAGCAGCGTCGTGTTCAAGCACGTGTGAAAGAAAGCACTATCGGGGCTAGAGAGATCAAACACGTTTGAGATCTGAATCAAGTGCCCCTTGACTCATGTGCTAGCTTTGGTGGTGCCTTCTTTCAGGCACTGCTTCTCGCAAGGCTAGGAGCAGTGCCTGAAAGTCTAACTTGACCAAGTTCACGTCTTCAAATTTTTTGTTCGGTCGCTAGACCCGGTGAAGTGCAGACTTGTTCTGTGTTCTTCGAAGAAACATTTTTCAAACGATTGGTTTGAGGGTGCTTGGCTAGGAAACAGGCACCCCCAGCCGCACCAGCTACAACCTGTTGGCTCACTTAATTACAGTGACCTAGAGCGATGCCCCGAAAATCGCTTTGTCACCATGCTGAAACACTTTTTGCCTTGAAGTTGATGAAAAAAACAGCCTTCTTCCATCTCTGGATTACCCTAGTGGACATGTCAGATAAACCAGTTACATTATGTTAAGAAAGCAATTTTACCACTCCAGATTGACTTCACATAAAACTTTACATGGCTTTGTTGGTAACAATAAATGCAGCTAGAGCCCAATGTATTAAAGCAGTAAAACAAAAACTGAAAACTAAAATATTTAAAATCTTAAAAATGCTCATGTAGAGGCCCATTTGTGGTCTCTACTTCTAGCACAGGAGGCAAAGAAGAATTATATGTATGAATCTCGAAGACAAATCTTGCACTGCATCACGGTTTTTACCCTTATATTGTGCTACTCATTTATTTACGTACAGTGAATAACCCTAGAGCAGGTCTCAAAGATGCGGCCCGCGACTGTCTGGGACGCGGACGACAAGTGTCCCATGGCTGCGAGTTCCCGTTCCTATACTTTGAGCGCTGCATGCGCAATAGTGACCTCTTGTCGTCTATTCATTCACTGTACATAAATGAGAGACACAGACAGGTAGAGTTCTGTGTTCCTTCTTCTACTTGTCCCTGTGTTCGTTCGCACTGCTTTATTTATAAGTTTACAATATTCATTTCCACTGGAAACGTAGCTCTGCCCTTATGACGTTTTAAGATATTTGGCACTAATCCGTTATACTTTAAATCGAGGATTGTTTTGTCTTACATACGGTAGAGACAAGTATTTTCTCTTAATTCTGCTATAAAAATCACCAGGAAAGCACAAACTACCGTATGAAAAGATTTTTCTTTCGAGACGTACTGGACTCGCATAATTCCCGACTGAACGGAACGACAGAGTAACGATTCTATGCTTGGTTTTTAGATTGAAAAATTCCAGCGCATTGGCGGGATGGTGCTAGATTAAATCTTGTAATCATGTTAGTATGAAGCCAAAGTAACTGTATGAATAAATGAAAGCTAAAAACGGCACTGGCAAAACAGCTATTAAAAAAAAAAAGCTTCAAGCCTTTCCACTCTGGTGAAAAAGGAAGACCAGCGAAGCTGTACTATGGTGGGAATGAAATAATGGCCGGCCGTAAGTCGGCAAGCTGGAGTGGAAAGGCTTGAAAGATTGCCGCCATTATGAGCGATAGCGGCAACCAGACAACCGGCAAGCCAGTTGTCTGGCTGCCTTTGTCGATCATAGATGGTGGTAGCTGTGTAGAGTTCTGTGTCATCATCTGTCCGCTGACAGACACGATCCTGGGGAAACTAGCCCTTAACAGCAAAAGCAAATAGCATGAGGTTTCTTCTTTAGGAAATTTCCGGGTGCCGCTGAAAGGCTTGGCTGCTTGGCAACGTAAAACACCATCGCTTTTGTTGTTGCTTTTCTGCTGTTGTTTTTTTGCCCTAAAGTATATTACTCCCCCTCTGCCCTATGTCAGCCCTCAACATTTCGGGGGTGGGCTATGTGGCCCCTACACTCAAATGAGTTTGAGGTCCCTGCCCTAGAGCATGTTACATGAAATACTGGCAAACTAGAGAAAGGAATAAATAAGGAAAAAGCCGAAAATGCCCTAAATGCAAATGTAAAAAAAAAAAAAAATCCATCAATTTTGTTTTTAATTAGGAAGGACCATTTTGTTACGGATTGAAAAAAATATATATAGCTGTCATTCACACACCTTTTGTTTTCTTTGAATCATCAGCTTAAAGGGGTATGGAAGCAAAATTTTAGCACCTATTCCTTTGTGTAGACGTGGTTTCCCTTATGACAGCAGTTCAAAAACACCAGTCTTTTGTACGTAAATGCCAGAAAAGCAATTTTAAAATGAATAAAACAATTTCCCATTACCACCTGGTAGTCAAGGGGCCAAGCTTCGTTGGAATGTCTCACATCATGGGCCCATCAGGAGCGGCGCCATGGCACGGCGCGTCCGATGGAGGCGCACGGGAACGAGCGGCGCTTGGCACACCTCTCAGTTCTCGTACACCATACCTCGGGAATTCCCACTTGGCGGGATTGTAACGCGTTGATGATAAAGCTGGCACCCCCTAGCGACGACGATCGTAGTTACGATACCCTTGGCCGTTATGGGCCCGTGACCCTGCGAGCGTGACATCACAGCCAAACATTCCGGGACGCATCGCGCCACATCGATGGCTGATTTTGAAGCACTTGCACGAATCCGTCGGTTGGAACGAAAAATATAGCCATCCGCTAAAAATACAAGCGTGTGATTATCATTTATGGATATCATGGATCATATTTCACCCATTTAATGTTCCGGGGATATTTCGATTCTGTACCCCTTTAATCAACAAACTTACATTTTTTTGCAACAGAAGGTTGCCCCGTCTCGAAACTAAACTAATCATACAATTTTCCCAAAACCACAACACCACAACACTAAGTAAATTCATGATGCTCTACAAGGCAAACCAAGAATACTAGTTAAACAAGTAGTCTATACCTAAACCCATGTCAGTATTGCCATCCCCGCTCACAAACCACACCAAACTGGCCAAGTTACGGGTAAACTCTCAACCCCCGGACGCCACGGGCCCACGCCAGGTCAGATAATGGGACAGATGCTGCCGTGCAGTAACGCCCCAACCAGGAACAAGGAATTCGGGCAGCCTACCGCTCCAACCTGGGCCGAGGTAGCCAAGGAAGCCGGGATGGCAATGCCGGGCTGCGCAAACAAGGAAATGCTGCTTGTCAGCTGGCCGTGATTGATGACTGGGACGGCCAACAAACGGGCTCAGAACACGCGAGCCTTAGTCTGAATCGGGTGGGGACTAACGAAACCTGAACTTAGTTTAGGCCAACTTCCAACTGCAACTGTGTCTAACCTTACAAAGTGCCACATAACCCCGAATCTGGGTGAAGCCTTTAAAGTGACTGCATAAGTCGGCTTGGTAATGCATTGTGCTACGATTTACCACAGAGGTGCCTGAAGATGGTGGAAGCATCACATTGAAATTTGAAAGAATGAACTTACTCGAATAGGAAGTAAAAAAGAATACCTGCTTTCACATGCACAGAACACGGAGGAAGAGAAAAGGACAGGTAGAATCAGCGCTCTATCGTTCTACCTGTCCGTTTCTCTTCCTCCATGTTCTGTGCGCTGTTTTATCATGTTGAAGTACCAACTAGCTCAAATTACTACTTTAAATACTCACTTTTCTTTACCTATGACATCCGTCTGCTAACCGCACACCCTCTGACTGATGCAACAACTGACAGATGGCGCCAGTGCGGCTTATAACAGCTTGGCAGCCTCCCCATTTCACCAAAAGCAGGCAACCTTTTTTGATCATAAACGGTGCGTGCTTTTTCGCTACTATAAAGGTCAGTGTACGAGTCCTTTTTCGTTCCCAAAATAAGACACATCAATTGAACACAAAAAAAAAAAAAAAAAGGTAATTTGTCAAGTAATTTCAGCTACATGTCGTCTGTTTTTGGTGCAACAGGACTCCCTAACTGCTGGGATTGCTGCCGCGACCTGTTAGTTCTTGTGCCAGTCAGAGAGTGCACAATAAGCAAACCGGCACCACAAATTTAAAAAAAAAATGGTTATTATTTTTTTTTTTTTTAACTTTACTTGGATTTGGGGGCACGCAGTAAGTGAAGCTTCATCGGGTTCAGTGCTAAAGCAATGCACAGGATGGTTTGTAATGGACATGTCCACTTTGGACAGCTTAACTAATGCACAGAACCCTTTCCCTTTCTTATAAAGGGGGGGTTCGGGATATTATGTTTATGACCGGACTGTCTTGCTGTGTGTTATTAATATTGGCATTTTAATATGACCAGTGAGAGCAGTACGAACGGGTTTCCTGTTAAAACTGGAAATCGACGCTGAATGAGAATGTGTGTGTACATCACCTGAAAAAGCTGTTTGCAATGGTTTATAAACCACAAGACAATCTCGTATCACAGCAGACTAAACTCCACCCTCCAAACCATCTCACACTACACACTTAAAACATCTAGCTTTTCTTATGAAATAAAAAAAAGCAGCGACTATTGCGTAACTTATAAATCGGTACAAGAGATACAAACATTTTGTTTGTTCCTAAATGCACCACACCCTTGGTTGGTGGTCAAATCATGGTTGACACAGCAAAGCAGCATTTACAGCACTGTCAAGTTTCTACTTGTTGCTTTTCCAATTAAAAAAAAAAAAAAAAATTAAGCTACAAACAAAACTTTTCACCCCACTCCAGTGTCAATCAAACCTTACCTGCGACAGGACTGTTGTGGCCTGCAGGGCATTCTGCAAAGTCATTGAACACTATCAGTGAACGAACAGCTGCTCACACGTAACTCAACTGCACCCAAAAATAAAGTGTGAAGAATTTCTGAATATTGTAAATTTTAATCTCTCCTGGGTGGATGCTACACACATAAGAACTGACACAAAACATCTTGAGATATAATCCTGTAGATTCAGAATTTACACATATGAGGACAACCTGCCAGCATGCAACTTACTAAAGAAAAAATACAAACCAATCCAGCTGTTTACACTAGGCGGCACGACTACAGTGCCAGACTCTCCCCTAGTGGTACAAGCTCGTCGGAGTGTCAGCGATCTGACACGTTGTGCCCCTTGCATGACAAAACATGGTGCTGTGAAGGCAACACTTTGAAGATAACATGCAATCCCCCCCTCGTTTTTCTGCTTCGTCAGAAGTGATGTGCAACATTTCTTCAAGAAAAAAAACAGTGGCTTAGCTCGGCTACGTCAGGATATACGTAGCGTAAGCTTAGGTTCAGCTGGTTATTCTGAGCTTTCCTATAATTGTCAGGATTAGCTTGATTATCATGCTTACTGCTGCTTCAATGACACACACACACGGTATACCCATTATGTGACTACTTCGGGATCCGATGAGTTAAGCTGTGCGCCGTGTTGTTACGTATCAAGCAACCAAGCTGCCGCCCAGAACAACCGGACAGCGCGAGCCATGATCTCGAGCAAGTGCATGCGCACGGTGCGTGCATCAGGGACTGACACGTGTGACGTCGCTGCTCCTCGCGCGTGCGCAGCACAACTCTCCAGGAGCCACGCGAAACTGCTAAACCTCGGCCAATGTAGCTTACGCCACAAAAGTTGTTCACCCCAATAGACTGGGCCTTGTAAATTCATGTAGTCCTTCTATTGTTTCATTTAGGATCTTTGCTTACCTCCATCAAAGACTGTACAGTTAAAGCGTCATTAAAGAGGTTGATCACTTAACCACTGCTGTTTCCAGTGGTGCGATTGGCCAGAGTCATTTTGGAGCACCTTTTGGAGCAGCCGAGACTTCATTTTGGAGCAGCAAAAAGTACTTTTGGAGCATGTGCACACTTAATTTTTATTCATACCACTGAGGATAATATATGTCTAAGGGGCACTGACACCCCAAAGGTCGTATTTTTTTTTATTGTCTAAAACGATGCAAGCTGCAGTCATAGCCACACAAAAAAATACCTCATGGCAAAATAAAATTTTTCCATGCGCGCACTCGCCTTTTTATTTTTGGCGCCCTTCTCTCCCGCTCCTCACCTCCTCGCTTGTTTTGATTTGTGAAGTCAAATATTGTAAAATTTAGAAGCATTGTAGGAGACATTTCTATAATATTTAATAATGGCAATCATAAAACATGTTTTTTAATGCAATTGTGAACTCACTACAGCCCTTCTTTTTGAAATACCAAAAATCAGAGTCTGGTGTGATGTCGACTCCTGGATTTTTATCCTCCCTCGGAAAACATGGCGGCGCTCGACGCATATAGCAGAGGATGATCGGTGAGTCGGGGAATCGGACGAAGTGCTCTTGTTTAGGTGCCCGACGCCCTCTCAAACTTCGAAAAGGAAATCGTCAAACAGTCAAAACAGCTAGGTTTGGTGTCTGTGTATCGTATTTTCGGTTGTAACTAAGCCGGGGTAGCCTCTCATGCAGAACCTGCGAGATGTCAAGCGTCGTCTGCTCGCAGCGATACCGGGCGGCACAGCACGCACGGAGGAAACCGGTTTTTCCCATTACGCCGGCGCCCTTCTTTCCCACTCCCCACCTCCTCGCTTCCGGTCGCAGTGGCAACGGCGGTTCGGAGCAGGGGCGTGAAAAAAAGTTGACTCGCAGGGCAGATCAATATTTGACGTTACTGCGCTGGCGCGGATCGCGCGGGAACTTCAAATTCAACATTTGGAAACTGTTTCTTTTACTTCACAAATACTGAATTCCCAAGTTTCGAATTTTGAGGGTAATGTCTGGGCTTCGTTTTTAATTGTTTCGGATAATAAAAAAAAAAAAATTATTTTGACGTGTCAGCGCCTCTTTAAGACTCTTGTGTTGGCCTGTTTAACAAAAAGACATACCTACTTCACCTTGCCACTTCTGTGCAACCTTTTGTTAGTATCAGCCGCACGGCAGGTTTGATTCCCACAAACACGAAAATACCTGTTTAATTGCACACAGAAACACTATACATGCATGGCAACAAGATACTGGTTGATAAAATAACTTTCTCTTTCTCCACCTCTATATTTCTTCTTCCACCCCCAGTCCAGTTTCGATTTTGAGCAGCCATTTTTTTTTTTTTCCTTTATTAAAAATATATGTGATTGTAGAAAAATATTGATTGGGTTGTCTTTTGACACCATAATGGATCACCTGGCAAAAAATTAAAAACATTTTTTGAGGGGTGCCAGTGTCCTTTTAAAAACAATCCAGCCAAACTGGTTAAGCTTACTCCCAAGCCTCCCTTACTGCTTCTTCTAATGTAGTTTTAATTCATTTTATCGACTGTACCTCCAATATGTAAAAACTATATAAAGGTGTAACTAAACAAGATAGTTCAAATTAAGAATGAACCTACGGACCAGCGCATATAAATTTACTTGCAAGTACCCTTGCAAAAAGATATCACCTAAACATTGCAGTTTATCATAAATACTAGCAGCAGTTTTATTCAGAAATTTTTTTACTAAAAAGTAGTTGTTACATTAGCACTGCCCAAATTCTTTTTTATTGTTATTTACATACTCGGTGTTTGCACGTTTAACATATCCCGCTTAGGGGAAGTGCTTTCCTCTTAGCACGCGGGCACGCTGTGGCGGAGCAAAGATAAGCAAAATCACGATGCTTACTTTGTGGTTGTTTCATTGCAGTACATAAGAGAGCGGGTGAGAAGCGCACTCAACAAGGCTAACTTACCCACCAGGGCAGATTGCGAACATGACTTGATATTGCGGAAATTCAGAGTACTGTCAGTGTTTGACAGAGAGATCAAATAAAATAATATGTTATTGGCAGCGATAATCGAAAGTTCTGAAAATTTGCTCGAGCCTACCATAATGATCCGGACATGTTGGGGAGGCCTCAGCTATTATATTTCCAGTATTCAGTGAAACTAAGTTTTGGCACAATGTTGGCACAGATTCTTCACAATTTGGCTAAATGCCGTAGGATGTAGGAGGGTAAGCCCTTTGGCACAGCTTGCCACAAATGGTGCAGCAATCACATCGCTGAATTTTTAATACCAGCAATGACTTTTGGCAATACACTGCGAGGGAAAGAAGAGGAAGAGGGGGCAGCCAACGAAGGGTAAGGAGTCGTCAGCTCACCTGGGTGAGTCCAAGGGCAGCCAAGTTGGTGTTGAAAGTCTGGCTCTGTTGCTGCTGAACCGCCGTCTGCGGCTGGCTGAGAGCCGACGCCAGAGTGGCCCCGGCTTGAGCCAACATCGCGCTGCCCGCCAGGGGGAGATCTGGGCACCAGAAAAGAGTGCATACAACTTGTGTCACTAGTGATACCTGCTTGAAACTTGAAGGCAAGGTGGCACAAGCTACCGCCCAAAACAAGCGGTGCAGCAGTTGTCCGCTTGTCCGTAAATTTATTGCGGCAAAAAAAGGCACTGTTTTTACATAGCTCCTGTTGCTTCAGACGCTATGAGCATGCATCACACCCACGAACTGTCTGTGATCTCAACAGTTGAGGCAGAATGACTCACCTGCCGCTCTCATCCATGGGGGATTTTTTCCAGCGGTGCCGAACTGAGACATGCCTGCAAAAAAAGGGTGCTGGTCACTGCTATGCCCCAAGGTTGTGCATGCCTGAATGAAGTGAAGATGCTAACAAATACAGGCTTCACAACCTTGTTGCCAGTACCTCCTGTGGCAAGAAAACAAAAGTGAAACATACAAAGGTGGTCAGAGAATAAATTAGGATGCCACATATATAAGTAAGAGAATAACAAGATAGAATCACAAGTAAATTATCAATAGAAAGTGGCCAGTGTGGTAGGAAAACCCCGAGTAACCTGTGTTGAGTACACAAAGGATCTTTCAAGAAGTGCTGGCCAAGATTTTCATGATAAAACTACCTATGCATCGCACGAAAAAGAGGCTAATGATGAATTGGTCTCTGCCGAAGGGTCCATGGAGGAGGTGCATTGCATGCAAGATAATTAACTGGATAATTATTTTTTAGTCATTGCCTTTTTTAAGGAGTAAAGACAATGATATAGCTTCAATTAGAAGCTTGTGAGACACCATACAAAACTAGAAGTACCTTAACTTTAGAAAGGCATAAAGCAGGGGCAGCATTTTATGGCACGCAATAAAGACCATTGTCAGCACACTTTGCTTCACCATTAGCGCGAGCAAAGGAAAAGCTACAAGAATGAACACAACGCATGAGCAGGCCTGCACCTGCTCAATGCTTTGCGTGAAACAAAAGAGCCATTTGAGATAACATGGTGGCGTGCGTAAAATGAAAAAATTGTTTTAGTCAACATGTTTGGGATGACAACTGCCTACCCGCATTTGCGCATAAATCCCCATCCATTTACTAAAAATATGCTGCTTTAAAAAAAAAAAAGAAATTCAGATCAAGGCATCTTAAAATTAGACAGCCAGAAAGTACAAGTTCCTTGATGAGTGACAAGATGCCTTCAAGAACTTAAATGGGTACTCCGGTGTTTTCTTCATGGTCCCCAATTTGACTGAAAATTGGCTAACCACACCAAGATTGCTGAATCAGTAATGTAAATATTGGGCCAAAACAATTTTTGCTTCCAAAGTAGTTAAATTTACAATTTTGGTTCTCTATCTGTCCTTAAAACTGAAAGTTTATACTGGCAACAATGAAAAAGTGAAGCCGGTGGAAGGCAGGGGTCCACTCTTTGGACTGTAGAATTTGTTCCCAAATGACTGCAAGCAGTTTCATGATGTCAAAATCAATGCTTTGGAAGCTCGCTTCAGCTCCCTCCTGTGCAACTGCACGAAACAAATGCTCGGCATAGCCGATGTTTTAGGCTATGTGCTTGACCTATAAACCTATCGCCACTGACGTCATGGCATGGAAAAGCGTGGATATTTTTGAATGTTGGTTTTGGCATCATTTTTATTTGCTGATTTCACGAAACCTATTCCGAATTTCGAGATACTAAACATCATGCCCGAAAAGATAAAAGCTGAGGATTCTGAAAACTTAGTTTTTTAGGGTAGCTAAAAAATTTGCCGGAGTACCCCATTAAAGGGATACTACAACAAAATTTCAGCGCTCATTTTTTGGACTATATGTGTTCAAAGGAGCAGTATCACATCGAACATACCAATATCTTGTTAAAAAAGTCTCGAAAAGGAATTTTAAAACGAATTAAACGATTAGCAAAGAGCACCTGGCAGGTGTCGCTAACGCCTCGCTTGTAATGCTAGTTTAGGAACCTTGACAACTAGTGATGGAGGTTGTCTCGCCTCCGTCCACGACGAAAGAAGAGGGGAAGGAGGAACTCTCCTCTTCCCGAGAATGCCTTTTGTGTGTCGTAGAAGTCGCTATTGTCCCCTTACAAGATTATAGAAGATTAACCCGTCACTCAAAATTCGTAGAAAAGCAGCCGCTTCGGTGGTTGGAACGACTAGGCCATCCTCTCGACGTCCGCCTCGTCGTAGCTTTGCTCGTCCTGAGACGACCTACGTCACAATTGCGTTGGATGTCACGTGGTCTCCGCTGGGCTTTCTCCGAGCACTTGCCAGAGTAGGCCGTTTATAACGAAAAATACAGCCACCAGGCTCAAAATACAAATGTGCGATTATCATTTACGAATATTGTGGATCATATTCAACCTATTTTTGAACAAGACGGGAATATTTCAAATTTCGATGAAGTATTCCTTAAAGGCTGCTGCCATGAGTACAGCGTTCCCAGTCGAACAGTGCTAAACTTTTTGCTCAGGTATATTGATTTAGGCAATGTTACCAAGGTAAAGGAGATTTATGTAAGAATAAATTTACTTCCACCGGAAATGGAGCACAAAGTGCGCCTCCTGGACGTAGAGTGGACAGACGTCCTGGTTTAAAGCGCGAAACACATGTACACGAAACCGTCCGATCCGACGTGCGGACTACCAGAATGACCTTGGGGGAGAGGGTTTTCGTAGCATCGGAGAGCGTGGAAAACCCTCGCCTCCGACCGTCGTATTGCGCGGTCGGACGTCGGATCGGACGGTTTCGTCGTACATGTGTTTCGCGCTTAATGCTAAAGCATATCCCATAGAGCAAAGCTGGCAGCGTCTGTAACTGCAAAAAAAAAAAACGCAAAAGAAATGCCCCTTTTTCCATTGGCTGAGTAAAACGGCTCCTAAATAGCCACTGCCAGCCACTTCACGAGAGCGCGCGCTCGGCCGCCGCTTTCGTGTTAGGCATTGCTGGAGGGGAGGGGAGGGAGGGGGGGGGGGGGTGGCTCGGCAACCTCGGCAGTAGCAAAACGTGGTCGTCCACACCAGTACACCATAGACAAACTAAGGAAGCGGAAGAAATACATTCATGCTTTCGAATTCACGGAAGAATGACATTCAATGCTTTGTATTTACAACTCATAAGAAGTGCTTATTTGTCCTCAGAATTTTTTTTGAGTGGGACAGTCCCGTTTTAGAGGGTCATGTCTACCGTCTCGTCATTTTGTTTCAATAAAGCCAAATGTCCCGTTTTCATCGCAACTTGCTTGCAAAATCAGTACCAGGCAAGTGGAAGAAAATAAACTCGTGACAGTGTATTAGAATAAACATAGTATAGTATAATTTTTAGCTGTTTCTGCGACTCCACTTGCCAATATGTTTCGTTCGCACAGACCAGTATGGGGAACTTTTCTATATTACTACATTTGGCATGCTTAGGTATTTTGCAAAATGGGTAAGAAAGGTGGTTCTGTACTCACAAGGTAGAATAATAAAGCAGAGCTTTAATTAATCTGTCTCGCTTTGCCTCCCCCTCTTTCCCCCGCCCCCCCCTTCCCCTTGATGTCCTGTTTTCAACACTGAGAAGGAGGGTCACTCTATCAAGATGAGTGTCTCTGACAAAAATCCGCCTGGCCTGAGATTCAATCTTGGGACCTCTCCAAGACTAGCAGAGCACTCTACCAGCTGAGCTAACCAGGAACTGGCAGTCAGTAGAGCAAACTAATATTAGCAGTTGTAACCAGTCTTGATAGCAGCCACCAGTTGCTTAAAGGGCTTGCGTTGCACTCCATTTCAAGCGGAAGTCAATTCATTTTTTGCGTAAATTTGCTGCAAACACACACCCAGTTAATGTGTCAGAACAAAAACTCTGTGTCTTGGATCTATACCCTGGTTAGACATAATGGTTTTTGGGGAAAGTCCCCAAGGTTGAGAATTATGTGCAAATAAATTGACTTCCACCTGAAATGAAGTGCAGCTCATGCCCTTTAGGCGACTGGTAGTCACTGAAAAATCTGCCTTGTTTGGGATTCAATTTTGGGACCCCTCCAAGACTAGCGGAGCACACTACCAACCGAGCTAACCAGAAGCCAATGTCTGATCTCACCCTTGCAGTGGCTACAATAAAGACTGGTGGCAACTGTTAACATCCATTTGCTCTACTGACAGCTAGCTCCCGACTAGCTCAGTCGGTAGAGCACTCCGCTAGTCTTGGAGAGGTACCAGGATCGAATCCCAGACCAGGCGGATTTTTTTCAGCAGCCCCCAGTCACTTAAGACGGGCTAATTTAGTGCTCTTCAACAGCGTGCACTTTGCCTTTAGTGTCATTTGTGTAGTGTGCCACACGGCTTCTTCTTGAAAGAACACACTCAGCTTCAAGCGAGTTTGCTTCTTCATCTTTATCTTTGCTTGTGATGATCGATAAGAATCATCCAATAGACCATAGGTGATAAGCACAGTGCCAGCTAGTGGGGTGCCGAAGAAGATGCTCGGTCTCATTAGTTGGCTTCGGCGCTGGCAAAGGCCAGGGCGCGAAAGCGTAGTTCTGAAGAACCCTTCGATCGCACAAACACTCCTGCAGAGAAAGTGCTTTCGAAAACCAGGTGCCTGTGCCCGTGACTTTGCCGGCACTCAAAGCCAAATTTCGAGCTATAGAGGCTTTGCAGAATGTCGGGCAACACTGTACTCCCTATGGTGGCTAGACTGAGCACATCCCCACGTGGACGCCATTAGAAAGAAAGCTCGTCTGCTTTGCGAGCTGCTCATGCAGTTTCGACACTGAATAAATATGCCTACCCACTGCTGCATTCCACTCTGTAAGCAGTATAGGTACACGAACGAGTCCGGACGAAAGGTATGTATGCGTCACGTTGTTTGCGTCTTTAGTCGTGCGATTTATTTGGACAAACTTTTAAGCTGCGTCGCTCGGTTACTTTCTTGGTACTTCAATTTCTTTCCCTTTTATTTTGTAAAGAACGTACTCTGTGGGACGAGGCTATTAGTGTGTCGCTACAAGACAGGCCGTTCAGCTCGCCGATCACGCAGCTAGTGCTTTTGCCGGAGTTTGTCCTTGTGAACAGAAATTTTCGCGAGTCGCTGTGTTGCTTTTGTTACGATCAAAATTTAACGCGTTGGCACGAGACGTTTGTGTCGGGCACCGCACACAGAGCGTGATGACCTGACAATTTCAATGCGTTTGTTGTGTCTTTCCGCGTGATCCTGTTTTCCAGCGATGTCAACATTGCACCGCTCCATTCCGTGGACGATCTTCCCGAATAAAAATCGCGAATGCGCTGCTCACTGAGTAACGGCAAGGTTATTCTCCCAACCGGTTATAGGAAAGACGACCTGGAGCGAAGCGCAGGCCATGTCGTCGAGTTCGGAGATTTCTTTCTCTAAGCCTTCCTTTCTCATGGCGGCTAGGGAGCATCTGCACAGAGTTGCCAGACTGACGCATGGCTCTTCGGCTACACCCGTAGTATTTTGCAAAGCCCCTATTGTGCACGTCTGCCACGTTGGTTGTGGCGAGAAATCAGAGATTGGCGAAGCGACGAACACGTGCATCCACGAGAATAGCATAAGGCAATACTAACCCTTAGCTCGCAAGTGTGGGTAAGGATCGATGACGGTGAGCAGTAGGCCTCGATTGTTACCGACAACGCTACAAAATTGACCAACAGCAAAGGGATCTTGACGCAACAAAGATGGCAGCGCAGTGTTGCCAGACGTTGAAACAATTCCGCATATGGTATATTAGCGTAAATGTTGTTGATTAACGTGTCCATATTAAAAAGACTAAATATGGCTCAGACATTTACGCCTTTACTTCAACATTTTAGATGCCTAATAGTAATTTACCCATCGTTATTGTCATCATTTCCAGAATGACACCAATTTATCCCGTGTGGAACTGAAACACTTGAAGTGACATTCGGTGAGCTAAAGTGCACTAAATTAGCAGCAAGACTGACAGGGGTAGAAAGGGCGCGGGTTCACTCATTTCATATCGAACTCAATTTATTCTTGCATGAACCCTGTTTGGTTAGTTCAATGCTACATTATCAGCAACGCTGCAATTATTAACTGAAATGCAGCACCATTTATTCTGATATGCCAACGAGTTTTACCAACCCCTCTTTTTTCACCTAAATTTTCATTAATTTTACTCCCCTGGCAGCCGCGACTCCGCAAATCGCGTCTTTTCTTCGTTTTTTTTTGTTTTTTTGTTTTTTTTTAGCATTGATTCCTGGACCAGAACTTGTCTGTGCGTAGCCCTTTAATAATAATCTTAACCACAAAACTCGTTTACGCAAACACAAGCGGTAGCCGCTTCACCGCGTCACCGGCCCGTCGTCGCTTTGCGCAGGCATCCGGTTAACCAACGGCGACACTATGCGAGCTTACGTCCACAATGCTTCTCATTATTTGCATCTTTCATGCATTTATATAATTAAACACAAAAGCCGGTGATAAAATTTACCATCGGCGACACGTATCAAAGTATCGTACCGTGAATCTGTAGTAGGCCTAACAAGGCAAAGGCCGAACGGTAGGCCTAGGCTTTAAATGTGATCAGGCATCATATCTTATTTTTTTTTATGCTTATGTCACGTAACGTGCCGATGCCCGAGACAACGCCGCAGACGAGTGATCAGTATATTTACAAAGCTTTGAGCGGTTTCAGCAAGGTTACAAAAAATCAAGCTGCGTCCCGACGCTCCAACACAAAACACCGACCCGTGAAACAGGGAACGAAACAATGCGCACTTGCCTGTCGTTTTATTCCGGATCCCAAAGCAGCTTGTTACTACGCTGGTTGTTTAGCACTGTAAATATTCCGTCGATGTTTTGCTAGACATAACCGAAATGAAATGTTCAAGGAGTCGGATTATCAAAATAATTACTCCACATTCGACTTGGATTGGATTGCATTCCAGTCAGCAGTTGTATAGTCACGGCTTATGGATTGGATTAGGTTAGATGATAAACCGGCTACGACGTTTCTGGAGGTTTTGGTGGTTTTGGTTTCGTTTCTAGCGTGCGTATCTTGGGGGCGTGGTTTTGTTAGTTCATTACGAAATTAAAACTTTCCTCAAATTTTTGCAAGTCCAATACCAGCAACATAAAATTAAAAAATATATATATACTATAATTATTGGCTACACCAGCTCGCTTTTTTTTTCTCAACAAAAGCAAAAGCTGCTGATAAGCGTTCACTGCAAGTCGGGACTCAGAACTCTTGCTGAATTTCAAACAATATTTCAAGACCGTTAAAAAATATCGAGTTGCAGTCGAAAACGTCAAAACATGACTAACGAAGAAAGTTAAAATACGCAGGCGAGTTGGTAAATTAACTCCATAATAAAATAATAATAAAAAAATGAAAGTCGTTAACAATTTTCTGTAATGCCGAATCAGAGTGCACCTCTTGGGGAGGAGGAGGCGAGGGTACGTCAGGTGTGACGTCACGTCTGACGTTATACCGTATACGTGAAGTTACGAGGATTAGGGGAAACTTCTCGTGTAACGTCACGAGAAGTTTCCCTGCTAAGTTTAGCGGAAAAATTTCCCTCCAAGTTTAGCGAGAAAATTTTGCCCTCGTGACTATGGTGGCTAGAGCCACCATATCGTGACGTCATTATGGGGAACGTCCCGTAATGCAACGCGCGGCTACGCCAACGGCAATGGCGAGGCCGCTCAAGCCGGAAACGGGCGCCTAAAGGCTGCGCTCCCCCCCCCCCCCCCCCCCCCCCCCAAAAAAAAGAATAGATCTTTTTTTTTTTTTTTTGGTTTAGTGTTTTTTTTATTATAAAGTTATGACTCATGCCAGAAGGCCGCCGTGCTTGAAACCCAGTAATAATTAATTTTTGTCCCTCTCCTGCGTGTGAGCAATAGATTTATGACTGATTGAAACCGTGAGTTTCCCCTTACTTTGTCGGTTCCCGTGTCGTTGATGTTATTTCCGTCGGGAGGACGGACTGTTTTCTGGAACTTCGTAACTATTCTGCTTTAAAAAAAATAGACATATATAGCTTTTATTATTATTCTTATTGTTATTTATTTCTCGACTTGCATTTGAAGCTTGGCAAACGGGGTTGGTTTTCCCCACAAAGCCTGGAGAACGCGGACCAGAAAGTCTTTCTGACATTCGTCTCAAATAAGCGTTAAATTTTTTGCTTTATGTTGTGCGCCATCTGAGTAGGAGAGTCAACCAGATGGTTTTCGCCATTTTACACTCCGTGTGTCACATAATCGTAAAACCGTGTTTTCCTTTTAGGCATATATCTATTTTCCCTTTCAAACCTACACTCATAGAATTTGAGTATGATAAATGTGCAAGTCAAAAGACACCTTTGTGAAAAGGTCCATTGCATTCGGTTCATTGGTGTATTTATACTTACTTCTTTTTTTCACGCCCGAGTGAGCGCTTAATAAAAAACATAAATAAACATTTATTTATTTATTTATTTATTTTTTTGCAGAGTTGTTATTGGTTAAGAAAAGTTTCCGAGGGAAAGGAGGGCAGGGGAGGAGGAAGCGGACAGAATGCTCGAGAGGAGAGGAGGAAGCCTCCTCCTCTCTTCAGCATTCCGCCTGCTTCCTCCTCCCCAACCAAAAAAAAAAAAAAAAACTTTTCTTAAGTTTGCGCAGTGCTGCAGCTCTGAAACAGCACGTAGCTTCGCCTTGCCCCCCCCCCCCCCCCCCCCCCCCCCAGAAAAAAAAAAATAAATAATAATAATGGAGTTAAATAAGAAAAAAGAAAACCCTACGCCAATTTTAAGCAAGCTGTCACAAAAACCACTTCCTCTAAACAACAATTGACGCACTTGGACCGGGTAACTTGAAAACAAACAAAACAATGTGAACGAACAGAACGTTATTCCGAACAAGGATGAATAATACAATAATAATAATAATAATTATTATTATTATTATTATTATTATTATTATTATTATTATTATTATTATTATTACTATTTAATATGCTATCGCCGTGTCAGTACGGCTTTGTTGCTGGACGTGGAACAGTAATGGAGTTCTTCCAGTAATTCTTTACTGGAAGAACTCGTGGACACTTTGCATGGAACTTTTGAAAATAACAAATATGCCTGTGCCCTCTTTCTTGATGTCTCAAAGGCATTCGACTCCATTAGCCATAAGATACTAATGAAAAAAATATTGGACCATGGTTTTAGGGGACCATTTTTTTCTTTACTCAAAGACTTTTTAACGAACCGCACACAGCAAGTTTCAGTGTGTGATAGCCGGAGTGCCAAAGTGCTTTTGAAAGCTGGTGTACCGCAGGGCTCTGTTTTAGCCCCCCTTTTGTTTAATTTATATGTCAATGACCTTTCTAAAACTATATCCGGATGCGAAATATATCAGTACGCTGATGATACGCTGCTAGTATCTAGACATTTAAATCTGAGCAGTGCGACTGTATCATTGCAAGAGAATTCGACTAAAGTTATGGACTGGTTCGAAGCAAATCTTATTAAAATAAATGTTCAGAAAACAAAAATTATGTGTTTCAGTAGTCCGTCGAAACGAAAAAGCCTTGATATTCCTTTTATATTGCACTCGTCGAAATGCACTCACTGCTCCTGCCTCTTGAATATGTAAACACAACAAAGTACTTAGGCATTTTCTTTGATAGCGATTTATCGTGGAATTCACACCTCAGCTACATAGCCAAAAAGTTAAGGAGTGTATCTTGTATGTTATATACTACAAAAACGTTTTTACCGCTGTCTGTCCGAAAAATGATAGTCAATGCCTTAGCCTACGGCCTGTTACGTTACGGAATTACTATATATGCGAATTGTTCCATGCTCTGGTATCAAAAAATAGATAGCATCTTAAAAAGTATTTTAAAAAGCGTAGCGTACACCTCTTTTGATCTGCCAAGTGAAGAGTTGTTTTCTTCGTTGTGTCTCCCGCGTTTTTCAGCACTTTATAAAAGATGTGTAATTGACAAACACTATTGGCACAGCCCTTTCAAAACGCCCCGTGTCCTGCAGCGCAACTTAAGGGAAAGTGAACGATTTTTCATCCCTCGTGTATACACAAAATATGGAAAACGTATGCGCTCTTTCTATGTCCCTGAACTTTTCAATACATTGTCAGAGTCATTCTTGAAACTCAGGTCAAAGCGTCAGTTGAAAAAACAGCTAAAAACAATTTGCTAAATATCCTGCTTATGAACATGTCCTTTTTGTGCATCTCGTGTTTTTTTTCTTTTTTTTTTTTTTTGCTTTCACACTTCCCAGTTCTTGAATAGAAGATTTTTTGTGGTCAAAGAGTGTATTCCGTGGCGATCCGTTCTTAATCCCCTTTAGTGTATGTATTGTGGTGTATGATTACATGTCAGTAATTTTTTTTAAGAGTTATTTATGTATAGTTCTTGGATTTTTTTTATTAAGTGTTTTTTTTTTGTTGTTTTTTTTTTTTTGTTTTTTGTAATCAAGCGTCAGAATTTGATTTTCTTCACGCCGCTGCTGGGTCCAGTCCTACAAGCCTCTTTTGGCTTTCGACGGACCCGCATTCTTGTATGTTGTTATGAAATACATGAAATAAAAAAATTATTATTATTATTATTATTATTATTGCGACGAAATTTAGTGATGTTTCGCTCAATATTTGTGACACATCAGTTAAGGACATAAAAATTCGGCGCAATAAAATACATCCTTGGAAAAAAAACAAAAAAAAACAGCCTGAACTTAGGGAAGAAGTTAGAGCTTGAGATTGGGCGAGTTGGTTGTTCATGTTGGTCAGTGTTGCAGCGCACTAAAAAAACTGTCACTCAAGCTTTCACACACACAGCGAACAAAACTCGCACACAGCGCTCACTATAATATTGCGTGGTTAACTTCTGCTTCTACTGCAAGCAGAGAAATTTCGCAAAAACGTAAAGGGGAAAAAAAAAAAAAAAAAAAAAAAAAAGATTAGTCACGAAGTTACAATTTGTCGTCCCGACGGAAATACCATCAACGACGGAAATTTCGGTCGTTGACTTTAAATTTGAGTCATAATAGAGCGCGATCACCGCGGTGCGAGGACCGACAGAGGAAGGGGAAACTCGCGGTTTCAATCAGTCGAGAGAGAAAACAGGAGAGATGAGACGAGACGGCTCACTGCCAACGAGTTTTAGTAAAAACTGCCAAAAACCCCCAGCCAAATGCATTAAGAAAACTATATATATATATATATATATATATATATATATATATATATATATATATATATACGGAACAGCACCTGAGAACAAAAGACGGCACTCGAGAGAAATATGTTCACAGAAATATTTGGAGGAGGTTGCCAAAAAGCTCACTTTTTTGGCAACCTCCTCGACCAAATATTTCTGTGTATATATATATATATATATATATATATATATATATATATATATATATATTAAGTAAAGAGGAAGATACTTTGTTTATGCTGCCCCACTCCAGCTCATGATGCCCACACGTTGGGTAGGGCAAACCGGAGAAATCGTTTTTTCTGAATGTGCGCTAGCGCTATATACGTTGGGTAGGGCAAACTGGAGAAATCGTTTTTCTGAATGTGCGCTAGCGCTATATTTGGCCAGAGACTGCGTTAGGCGATGCATACTTTATTCGCGACAAACCAAAAACCCTAACAAAAAAAAAAAAAACGCCCCCCCCCCCCCCCCCCTCCCCCTTTCCCCCGATAATGTCCACCTCAGAAATTCCCGGGGAGAACCCTGAAATATATATGTATATACATATTAATGAGAATTGGCGGTTAATTGGTTTTATTTTCAATAATATATTTGGCACTTTGTTTTTGGACTCCCGAGAGAAAGGTGCTTCACTGAACTAAAAGTAGCAACATTAGACATTTTCCTTGCATTCGATACCTTTTGCGCACGTGCTTTATGCTGTGAAATAAGTAAACATTTTCGAGTATATATTTTCTCTTTCTCGTCACTCAACTGGTTATATCCAGAACGGGTCCATATCACACAGGGAAATGACTTTTTAGCGAACAGTGACGTTTTAGCAAATAACGGGAACGCGTGCTTACAAAAATGTTAACCCACTTGGCCCACTCGCAAAAGCCACTTCGCGGCGTGTCATTCGTGTCATCGGTCAAACGCCGGACGCGAAAGACAAGTTTCTTTTTCCTTCGACTTCATTATAGCGCGCTTCAACATTGTGTTATTCCAAAACAACTGCCCTAAGATAATGATAAATCACGAAAATCAAGCGCATAAAAAACGAGAGGTCTACGTTCAATAAAAGCGAGTAATGTAGCTGCTGAAAAGAGCAGGATGCACTCAAGTTGCCCTGCTGCAGATGCACGCGATAAAAGCGCTGAAACACGACCGGTCTTTACTTTTTTTAGGTTTCTTTTATTTGTTATTTCGACGTTTTTCCGTAAAAACCGCGAATTTGCGAAAATATGATTAGACCCCACTGCACAATGGCGGAACAACTGCGTCGAACGTCAGAGCGCGGTCAACGCTAATCCAGCCGACGAGCGAATCAAACAGCGCCGAAAGTGCAACGTCACTGCGCTCATCACATTTTTCTGTAGGTGTGCTTTCTCCAGTGTGCCGTGACGTTGAGGTTTTAGTCCGACATTGTCACATTGTGCAGGATTCCACAGCTGTCAACAGAGAGCAGTATTATATATATATATTTATATATATATATATATATATATATATATATATATATATATATATATATATATATATATAGTGTTTTTTTATGGCAAACGTATGCCACAATGACCACATGGAGCTATTTACGTTCATGCGTCCGTAAAGACGAAATTCGTACATTTTACGAAGTTCGGTTGGCATTTATGTATGCACACGCAAGCACGCGTGTCAAAGGAAAGGGTGTGTGATTGCGCCGGAGGGCGGACCCGTACATGTTTTTGCACACATGTACGCGACTTCAGAGGACGTCGTCGCGTGCCAGTTTGCCGTCAAGGGCATATTTCCTAATCGGCCAGTATCGCGGCCGCGCTATCTCGCAAGGACGCGCGCCAAAAAACGCGCCCCACCGCTCCGCTTTAAAAAAAAAAAAAAAAAAAAAAAAAAAAAAAAAGAAGGAATTTGCAAAGAACTGGATTTGCAACTTTTCACGCCAAAAAGAATCGAAGACATATATTACTGCACAAATGTGCCTTGCGGTACGGTGTACTTGCGAATCGCAAACAGCGGTGGTGTCCCGTCGCAGAAGTCACGTGGGATGCGGCGGGCATCCCGCAGGCGCAATTCACCATTTTAGAAATAACTGGCGCCACCTGGCAGGAAACCGGGTTCGAGAGTAAGTAACCAGGCGAGCTGACGACGTTTTGTGCTTGTCCCCTTCTGCGTGTCCGTAATCTTCGTTTTTTCTTTTTTTTTCATACATATCAAACAATGTGCGCGTTAGGAAGGAACGAAGAAACGTCTTAGAACAAACTTGGGGGCCAAAGGGTAAACTACAAATCGCTGGTTCAGGAGGTTTTGGTATAAATACACGCGTGAAGACGTACCGCGAGGGCACTCCCCCGACCAAGAAGAGTTCAGGAAACCCCTCCCACTTGCTTTAACAGAACGAACGCTAAAGAGGAAGTCGCCTCCTCTCCAGCGTCCGCTCTGCTCTGCATTGCCGCTCTGCCCTGCATTGCCGCTCTGCCCTGCATTGTTTCAACCTGGGAATCCTCGAACACCGTTTTCCGCCAGGTGGTGCCAGAAATTGTTCGCTGTTTGTGAACAAAACTAGTATGACAGGAAGCGAACGACCGAGAGAACAAAACAAGACCTTGCGCGCAGCGGAAACTGAACAGTCGTCGCGCATAAAAAGACGATTTAGCGTCATTTGTGCCGTTTGCGCCGACGGGGCGGTCAAGAAGGCAAATTAGTTCCCCGGGCGTCCAGCCTCGGCATTCCTCTTCCCTTTTCATTTCGAAAGCAGCAGTTTCCTTCGTCCTTGCCAATACGAAAGGGCAGTTCGCTCAGCGCAGGCCACGTGCTTATTGACAAAAAAGAAACATAACGATCTGACGGGCGACACATGCGCGCCAGCGTTTCATAGACGCGACCTCCCAGACAGTGCGCTCTTCAGACATCGCTTGTATCTGTTATCAGGCGCTCTGTTGAACGTGCGTTCCTCTCCGCCTTATCTCATCGCCTTTTACCTTTACTGGCACTTTTCTTCTCTCTCTCTTTTTTTTTCTCCGTGTTTTTACTGCCCGAAATAGGATAAGGTTGTTTTACTTTTAATACACTCCGAGGTCACGTGCCGCGGTCACGTGAGCACGCGCGCTCTCTGGTCCAATCAGAAACATTTCGCTACAGAAGCAGATTCCGCGGTCTCTATCGGCTCGGTTCTTCAGTCTTCAGTCGGCTAATTGACTTGCTCGGCTGGGTCAGAGCCGCCGTGTGTGTTTTATTTCGGCCCCGAGGCGAATCTTCAGCTCCCCTCTACGCGGGACTCGTATTGCATCGCATCTGGCGACGATACCGTCTGCTACTTTATTGAGCTTGGCGCGTCGTCTGCTATCGTGCGGTTAAAAATGGCGCCCAACAGGAACCCGCCCATCAAGTACACGCAGGTAAGCGGGGGTTTTCGTTTTGTTTTCATGTACGGTCGCGAAAAGTCGGCGCATCAAACGCGGATCGAGCTGCGAATCTATATACTTACGTCACATCCCATTTTCTGAGATATCTAAGAAAAATGCATACAGCCGGAACTTAGTCAGCCTCAAAGGGTGTCTTTTTAAGTGTATAAGAAATTCGGCCAGTGCAGTAATGCAGTACACGCCGGTACGATGCTCATCCAGATCGAAATGGGCAAAAGTGGGGAATTGAACTGCAGCGCGAACTCCATCGACACGCCCATCGACTTCTCATAAAAAAGAGCGTGTCGCAGCGTCTTTTTTTTTTTTTTTTTGTAGTCTTGTTTTTAAGAGCGAAAAAGGCCACGCGTTATTATAATTTGTGGTTTTATACAGGGTGCGTTGATAGTCTGCGCCATAAAAAGACGATCATTGTGTGTGTGGATTATGTTCGTAGATAATAAATAGGTGTCTAAAATAACGAGTCTCGATCTGAAATGGGCCGTACGGATTGGCGCTTCTAAACTTTTCGTCAAAGGTGTATTTTACAAGTCGGCTTTATCTTGCAAAGTTACAAAGCGTAGCTCCCTTTCTGTAAAATTGGAGCCAAAAAATGAAGGACGTTTACAAATCTGTAATGCGAAACTAGAGCGCAGCTCTTGAAGAGGGGAGGGTACGGACATGGTTTCGGAGGACCCTCTTCTCTTCTCCCATAACTTCCCCTCCTCCCCGCTAAATTTAGCAGAAAAATTGATGCCACATGACCTCAACACCAAATCAATTTCCCCGTTAAATTTAGAGGGGAAATCTCTAGAAACACGCCAGGATCCACGGAGGACGGCGACGCAGACGACCGAGTCGAGTGGCGCGGCGCGTTTGGAGCATACGGCAATACAACTCTAAACTTAGGGCCTTTTTTTCTTTTTAGTCGTGTTTTTATTTCTTTTTTCGGAGCACGTATTGATGGGTGGCGTCGGGGGCGGTGTCGGAATAAAGCAGGGAACACATGAGCGTCAAAAATGGGCGCCGCGCGGCAGTGTCCGTGGCAACTTGCGCGCACGCTGTGACGTGGCGGCGGCTTGGCATAGGTCTACGTCACAGCGCCCTGGGCTGTTGTCGCGGGTCGGAATCGGTGTAGCCGACCAGCGAAAGAAAGCAGACGTCGCGCCGTCGTTACGCAACCGCTTTTTACTTTTTTTTTTTTTTTTTAATCTTAGATATTTGCTTTTATTGTCCGCATTTATGTTTAAACCAAAGGTACAGTCGGTCAGATAAGTTTACGGACCACGCGAGTCGTGGCCGAGCAGGAGGGCCGAGCTGCATATTCTAGCATTGAAATCTACCCACAATCCTTCCAATCAGAGCTCGGCGTCGTTCTGACGTCACCGCCACTCCTGCGCAAGAAGCAGACGATTTGCACTCCGCATTGTTTTTCCCAGCTCGGCCACGAAAAACGGCCATTCTGCGTTTTCCCTGTTTTTTGTTTTGTTTCAGAAGCCTATTATTTTCTCTGCACTTGCTGCCCTATCAACCAGTCAGTGATAATCCAAAAAGTGCAATTTATAATATGTTGCATATAATATTAAATAATAAAATAACTTAAAAAGGGTTTGACAAAAAAAAAAGTAAATAAAACTATGTTCATTTTTATATACCACGGTCGTCGCGAGCAGTCTCAATGGTCTCAATAAGGAGGTTGCGGCCTCCAGGGGTGGATCCAAGAAGGGGGCGACCCCCCCCCCCCCCCCACCCCCCCAAACATTATCGACCCCTCCCCTTTTCCCCTCTTTCTCGGAGGGCAAATGGACATGGGTGGACCCCCCGGTACACAGAAAGAATGGGAGAATAGTATCCTTACAAATTTTCCCGCCCCCCCCTCCCCCCAAAACAAAGTTCTGGACCGCCCCTGGCGCCATCTATTAATATTTGCGCCAAACACGCCCCGCCACTCAACTCAGCAGCGTCGTCGTTCGCCATTGACCATAGCAAATTGTTTTGGTCCATTTTTTACAGAAAGGGAGCTACACTCGGTAATTTTGCAAGATAAAACCAACCTGTGAAATACTTTCCAAAAAAGTGAAAGCCGTTTACAACTCCCTGTAACGCCGAATTGGAGCGCAGCTCATGAGGAGGAGGAGGGAAGGGTACTGGGGGGGGGGGGTCAAGTGACCTTGGGTGGGGGTCACGTGACGATGCCGATGACGTCATCAGTAACGATGACGATGCGGATACCGATGACGTCATCAGTGACGTCACTGATGACGTCATCAGTGATGACAATGACGATGCGGATGCCGGTGACGTCATCAGTGATGATGGCAATGACGATGCGGATGCCCGTGACGTCATCAGTGACGTCCTGATGACGTCATCAACGATGATGACGATGCGGATGCCGGTGACGTCACTGATGACGTCATCAGTGATGATGACAATGACGATGCGGATGCCGGTGAAGGTCATCAGTGACGATGACGATGCCGGTGACGTCATCAGTGATGATGCCGATGCCGGTGACGTCACTGATGACGTCATCAGTGATGCTGACAATGCGGATGCCGGTGACGTCACTGATGACGTCATCGGGGGTCACGTGACCTTGGGTGTCACGTGACCCTGGGGGAGGGGTCAAGTGACCTTGGGATGACCTTGGTTACGCCGACGGCGACGCCGCTTAAGCCGGGAACGGGCCCCTAAGAGCTGCGCTCTAAAAGTTGATTGCTACGTGCAGACGCCGATTTTTACAGCCCCATTTAGATAGAGCCTTATTATTTCAGACACCCTATATATATTGAGTATATCAATGTTTAAAAAACGTCAAGTGTTTTATTTTGTATTTTTTGTGTGTGCACATGCACTGAATTGTCTATTCATATTGTATTTTGTTTTGAAAGGAGGACGAGCCACTGGCTATAGATCCTGATTAATGATACACATTTCCATGTTTTCACAATAAAAATAATAAAATGAATGATCTCAAATAGTGGCCCTTCAAAATAGATGACGCTGAACAAAAAATAGAAGTGTGCAAACGAACTGGCGTAAATTGGTACATAATTACGAAAAACCCCATGGCCAGTGTAAAATAAGGACACTCCGGCCAGCGGCTTGGCTTTTGTTTGTACTGTACCTTGTATGACCTTAGCTTTTGGTTTTTTTGTAATTATATAGATAACACCTCCGTTTTTAAGGTCAAATGAGACCATTCAACTGCAATCAAACATTTATGTGTGAAATATACTTCTCTGTTAATATAACTTAATTTTTGTTGCTAAAATAAAAAAAAAAAGTGCAGTTAATTGTGCAAGTGCCTGTCACCCTTAGACAGTCAATAAAATCTCTTGCCCCTTCCTTCTTCTCAAACTGAAAACAGCTCTTCATCAACAACGAGTTTGTGGACAGCGCCAGCAAGAAGACGTTTCCTGTTCTGAACCCTGCGACCGGTGCAGTCATTGCCCAGGTGCAGGAAGGCGATAAGGTATGCAGGCACTGCCCCCAGACCTCTCAGGATTGCACACCCCTGACGTCATCCTTGCACTTTCGGTGACAGGCGGACGTCGACAGGGCCGTGAAGGCAGCCCAGGGGGCATTCAAGAGGGGGTCAGCATGGCGAACGATGGACGCCTCCAAGCGAGGCCGACTGCTCAACCGGTTTGCCGACCTCATCGAGAGGGACAAGGAGTACTTGGCCGTACGTGCACCTCTTCAGCATAACTCGGAGCTTGAGAAGAGACAGGGGTGGAGCTTGTACTGCAGAGAAAGTTTAAGCTGTGGTCTGCTGCAGGTTAAAGGCTGGCCAACACACTTGCGACTGCTTAGAACCGTGTACCTTAAAGGGGCACTGACACCCCAAAGGTCGTATTTATTTTTATTGTCTAAAACGATGCAAGTTGCAGTCATAAACACGCAAAAAAAACCGCATCGCGAAAAAAAATTTTCCCGCGCGCGCGCGCGCCTTTCTATTTTTGGCGTTTGATTTTCCCGCCTCTCGCCTCCTCGCTTCTTTTGATCGGTGACGTCAAAAATCAGGAAATTTAAGCTTTGTAGGCGACATCTCTATAACATTTAATTACGGCAATTCTAAAACATGTTTTTTAACGCAATTGCGAACGCACTACGGCCCTTCTTTTTGAAATACCAAAAATCGGGGGTTCGTTGTGGTGCCGTCTCCTGGATTTGTATCCTCCAACGGAAAACAGGCGACACCGCTCAAAACCGGTCCGCCGCAACGCCGGGCGCTCGCTCCTTTCCTCCTCGCTTTGGGTCGCCATGGCAACAGCAGGGAGTGGTGAAAGGAAGTCTACTCTCAGGTCTCCGTAATTTTTGACGTCAAGGCACCGGCGCCGATCGCGCGGGAACTTCGAATTCGGCATTTGGAAATTGTTTTTTTACTTCACGAATACTGAATTCCCAAATCTCAAATTTTGAGGGTAATGTCCCGGCATCGTTTTCAATCGTTTCGGATAATAAAAAAAAATATGATTTTGATGTGTCAGTGCCCCTTTAAAACCTCTTAAGAGGTAACACACTGGCACGATCTATCAAGTAGCCATAGAACATTTGCCCCCCCCCCCCCCCCCCCCCCCTCCTCCCCATTATGTTTTCTTTTTTGGCTTGAGAAACATTTGACAATGTTATAAACAACCATATCTCATAGATAGTACATACATCTGATCTGTTAAATACTACAAAACGTTCAAGTGAAATGCAGTTCCATGGTCACCTCAGAGATGGTGCCAGGGTGTTTTCTCATTGTAAGGGATCATGAGAACTCTGTTCTAAACAAATGCAAGAGTGTGAAAGGGCTTAAAGGATAGCAGGCCAAGCCCTCGCATAAAGCAGCTCTCTGCTAGCCACAAATGGGAGTTTCAGCCTCTCCAGCATTTGCTCTGCTAAAGTGGAAAGAGTGGAAGGCTTTCTGGAAGGACAACCACTGGAAGCAGTTGTTGGCTGCGTCAGTCCCCCTACACAAGGGCAAAGATAATGAGCATGGTTGGTAAAATTCTGATGAATATTTTTTCAGAAGTGTGCCAAGTGGACTTCACTGGGAACTTTAATTTATCTTGGGCATTTCCCACGGTGGTTCCTATATACTTCTAAAACGAGGATTATTTTGTAAATGGGGGACGTTTCTACATCAATGGCTGCATCAGCAACTCCAAGGCAAAGTGATCACCTGTGGATACCCACTTAGTGGGTTCAAACCCCGGTTAAGGTGCTTGCATAGCGACGGAGACTCGGTAGAGTGTAGCCGCGGTGAATAAAATATTTTGAAAAAACTCTCAGCTCAACGGGACCGATTCTGGTCCCTTTGAGCCTGGAATTGTAGAAAAGAGACTTGCTTTCCCTTGACAGAGCCTGGAGGTCCTCAACAATGGAAAGCCCTACGAAGAGGCTTTGTTCGACATGGACTGCTCAATCGACTGCATCCGCTACTACGCAGGGTGGAGCGACAAGGTTCACGGGAAGACCATTCCCACTGGTATGCTGTTTCCCTTGCTTTACATACACTAGTGTGCACATATGTGAAATGCGTTACTCATTTCTAGCGTTGTGTAAATATTCAAAATTTTGAATAGGTAGTTTTGAATAATACATTATTCGATATTCGCTTCAAGATGAACTGCGATATTCATAATTTTTGAGTGTTGATCACTGCAAGTTAGCCCCACTGAGCACGCTTCTTATGGAGCACGGGCACACTGCGGAAAAGCGACACTTGCTGAGCTCCTCTGCGGAGCTTCTCCACGATGCACCGGTGCTCGGTAAGAAGCATAAATTTTCGGGGTAACCGTCAAGATCAACACTTGGAAATTCATGAATACCGCAATTGCGTGCTTGGGAGAAAAGCACATATTCAAAGCAGGATGGTGCATGTGCATGCCTGGTGTATTTAAAAATAAATAGAAACTTTGTGAATACTGATATCTACATCGCCGTAAAATTTTCAAAATTAAGCTGTAGCTAGCTGTATGTCATAGATTATGTTAGGCTGAGATGCTCCGACAACCTGCATTCATCATTTGAGATACTTTTTTTTTCTTTAAATTCAAGATTGAAGAAAAAATATTTGCATATAGCAAGATTTGTAAATCCACTCAATAAAGTATAGCTGGGCCTATACAAGTTTAATTTGACGTCAAATCCATTTTTTACTTGCCATCCCAAGGCATTAGACTTTCTGAGGACAATTCATACACATTTATATATTAAAATTAGATAATAAATGGACAACTGGAAGCTTGGGAGCAACCTTCACAAAGTTTAGCTAGGTTTTCATTTGAGCATGGTGCAGCAGTAGTGAAACCAACTATTCAATTAGAGAATATTCGGCCGTCTACTATTCACACCTTACTACTCGTTTTAGTTGCACAAACCTGGTTGTCTCAATAACAACAATCTGTTGAATGTTGCAGATGTGTCCCTAGTGTTCTAGCCTACTAGCACCTTAGTGTTCTAGCCAGGGCCGTACCCAGAAAAAAATTTCGGGGGGGGTTTTCGGGGACAACGGCGGCCATTTTGTCTTATTTTTGCCTATGAATCATGTGCATCTGTGGCATATAATGGATAGTTATAGCAAACCGAAGAACCGGTCCCGGTTTGGTACCCGGTAGCCGACCGGTGCCACTGCGCGTGCGCAGAGGTGGAGATTAAAATCGGCTGGCTGCAAGTGCACCGACCAGGGCCGTACCCAGAAAAAACTTTCGGGGGGGGTCAGAACCCCCTAACCCCCCCCCTGGTTACGGCCCTGGTTCTAGCCTACTAAACTAGAACTCTAAGGTTGCTTGGTGCATGTAGAGAATGGCACTTCAGTTGAACCATCACGTAATAATGAAGTGCCTATCCATATCCAATCGGTGCTTTCTATCTGAAAGATACTTGTTAAAATTTTGACAGAAAAACTTGTTTGGTTTTGCAGATGGGAATTATGTGAGCTTCACGAGGCACGAGGCAATTGGTGTGTGTGGCCAGATTATTCCAGTGAGTATTTTGTGCTTTTAGGTTAATGTCCTACTCTGGAAAGATTGGTTGTGTGATCTACATTTATAAAACCACAGAGATTTAACTACAGTACTGGTGGCAATCTCTTCATACTTGTGGGGGGGTATGGTGGGGGGGGGGGGGGAGGGGCTGTAGTTCCACAAGTCCCCCCCTCGGCTACACAACTGATACCTGTTTCAATTTCACTAAAGGTGTTTTGTGCACAAGGGAACTGCAACTGCCAGCTTGTGCAGGTGCTGAATATAATGCACTACACATAATCGAGCAACTTGTGCCAGGTTATTCGATGCTTTAAAGTCTGCGCGATGCCGAATGGACCTTTCCTTCACACGTCTTAATGTTCCAGTGGAACTATCCCGTGCTGATGGTCTGCTGGAAGCTGGGACCTGCACTAACCACCGGCAACGTTGTGGTGCTCAAGCCTGCTGAGCAGACCCCCCTGACCGCCCTGTACTGTGCCAGCCTCATCAAGGAAGCCGGCTTTCCCCCTGGAGTGGTGAACGTCATTCCGGGCTACGGACCCACTGCCGGGGCAGCCATTGCAGCGCACCCGCATGTCGACAAGGTCGCCTTCACGGGCTCCACTGAAGTGAGTGGGCTTTCTGCGGTAGCCTCAGTTTGTTTGGACGGAGTACAGTGCAACCGAGTTATATAAGAGCACCGCTGGTTATGAGAAACCACAGCAAGTACAAGTTGTCCCCTCAAGAAATTTAAAAAAATTTTCTTCACCGCAAAAAAAAAAAAAAAAAAGAAATTATGCATTGCAGGATGCCCATTCTCCACCCAAATGTAGCACTAGTTATGGGTGATTTTATGATACATTCAACAGAAAAATGGGGACGAGTTTCGCCTGTTTTCGGTAATTAGCACCATAGAGCTCAATGTACTAGAGATCTCGGTTGGCCGCCATTTTCCTTTAAAAAATTTCGGAAAATAATTTAAAACTTTTGAGCAAGATAACGGTTAGTGATGAAACTTTGGCACCTGGGTTGGACTGCTAGCCCCATATTTGGGCGGAGAATCAGCGTTCGGCGATGGTTAGTTTATTTTTGCAATTAAAAAACCTTGCAAATTTATTTCTTGGGACACCCTGTTCGTAGGGGACAATGATAGTTTTATACGAGGCTCGCTCCAAGTTCACTATAAGGAACTAATGGTACAGCAAACTCATTTCGAATATCAAAGGAGTTTGTTACAAGGCATGTTTGACATCGGATCCTTGCGACCGGTCTCGTCACATGGCTGTCATGTGTGCGAGCTGTTTTTTCACTCGAGCTATGCTAAACCAACTAGCCAGACTCCATGCCTTGGTGCAAGCTGTGCATATATGATAGTGGTTACAAAAGAAGTATATCAGTAGTGAGCCCGGGAATAGAATTAACGTTGTAGACACATTGTCAAAAGAGCTGCAAACAACCGTGCTGTATCAAGTCTTGACATTTGTCGTTCATTTATGGTTTGTTGAAACGTAGGGAGTAAGAGGAGGGTACAAGCATTCGTCATGATATTCTGCTTTCTTGGAGAAGGTTTGAGACTGGCTTATTTCGGTGGTCTCATTTAGTAGAGAGACCAAGCCTCGGAGGTTTTCCAGTTCTGAAACAGTTTTGCATGTTTCAGTTCTCCAAATTTTGCGTAGATGAAATGTCCACGTTCTACTTCAGGTTGGAAAACTCATCCAAGAGGCTGCCGGAAAATCAAACACCAAGCGAGTCACGCTGGAGATGGGTGGCAAGAGCCCTCTGGTTGTCTTTGACGATGCTGACTGTAAGTGAAGTCGAGTCCCAACTCGCTTTACATATATATTTTCCTTGTTCATTTGATAGCAATTACTGTAAACTACCAAGCAAGCACTTGCTCAATATTTTTGGACATAATCTTTAGAAACTGGGGGATGGCCGCTTATTAGGTTTGAGTGCAAAAAAATTGCAGAAGGGGCTTCACTGCTTTACACCAGTGTACTAGAAGAGGTGGCCGACAGGGAGGAGCGTGTGCCAGACAGGACGTCGGTATCCGCCACGTTCCTTGTAAAATGCGATTCTGCATACGAGGATTTAATTGAGATTGAAATGCAGTTGCAATTTTTTTCGTTCTGCCCGTTGCCCACGGATACTCCGATCTTGACCCTGCAGTGGACCAGGCTGCCGAGATTGCTCACGGAGCGGTGTTTGCCAACATGGGCCAGTGTTGCTGCGCCGGGACCAGGACCTTTGTCCAGGAGGGCATCTACGACGCCTTCGTGGCCAAGGCCAGGGCCTTGGCCCAGGCACGAGTGGTCGGGGACCCATTTGACGAGAAAACCGTCCAGGGACCTCAGGTTGGCGTCACAAAAAAATAGCATTTGCACCTTCCCCCAATTCTGCGTCACTGTGCCAAGAGAGAAATGGCGTAACATAGACAATGTACCGGGTGTCTGGGAGAAAAGAAAATTCGGGGTTTTTCTCTCCGCAAAAATAAACTATGCATTGGCAAATGCTCTGTTTGCAAACAAATGTGGCACTAGCGGTTGGGACCAGCTGCCAAAAGTTTTAGAACCTACCACCGTCCAATTCCAAAGATATAAGCGACCTTCAAAAGCTTTCAACTAAAAATAGTGCCTGTTAGTGGAAGCAGACACACCATTCGTCCTATGTATTCACGAGCTTTGTTGGTTGCTATTTTCTAATGGGGAATTTCAGAAAAATCGTAAACAACGGTCACTCGTGATATACCCAGACATCGGAACCCAACCAATAGTGCTACATTTAGGAGGAGACAGAGTGTTCGGCAATGTCTAGTGTTTTTGTTACAAGACATGTGCGGTTTTCTTACCCAAAACACCCGGTACTTGTACCTTGATGTCCCACCATCTCTATTGTCATCCAGCAGCTTACTTGCGCAGCGACGTCGTGCACTGATGCTGCACACAAACCTTCGCCACCATTACTCCGCTCCTCGAATGGCGCCATCTCTCAGATTCCGACCTCTCTCGACCCACGCAGATTGACAAGGAGCAGTACTCCAAAATCCTGGACTTGCTCAAGTCCGGCAAGGACCAAGGGGCCAAGGTGGAGTGCGGGGGCGACGCCATGCGGGGGTGTAATGGCTTCTTCGTCCAGCCAACCGTGTTCTCGGACGTGCGTGACGACATGCGCATCGCTCAGGAGGAGATCTTCGGACCCGTGCAGCAGATCCTCAAGTTCAAGACGCTCGATGAGGTCATAGAGCGCTGCAACGCCACCACGTACGGGCTCGGATCCGGAGTGCTCACCAAGGACATCGACAAGGCCATGATGTTTGCTCAGGCTGTCCAGGCTGGATCCGTCTGGTGAGGGAGCGCAGTGTGCCCGCCCCAAGGGCCTAACGACAACATTTTTTTGTATGATGCCGCAGTAAGGCTGCGGCAGTAGCTGACAGCATCGAACGGCAGGGCGACTTTTTGGAATGCCTTGCCTCCAGCACGCGCTCGTTGTCTTTTTAAAGCTCGCAGGACTCCAAAGCGTCGTCGAGGGTAGGGAGTGTGCAGCGAAGGCGAGATGACTAAAGGACCGCCCTATTGTTACCACTCTGGCAGTGACAATAGTGCAACTAAATGAAAAAAAAAAGAAACAGATACGCGCAAATATTTATAAATTCTAAAAGGTTGGTGCAATCGACTTGACGTTTGAACCAAGTACTGTAGCGCAAGATATTTTTTGCATGTTTCCGGATAATGCAGAATATACCTCAAGTTTGATACACCCAGTAATCTTAGCTCCGTCGAGCGAACTCCATTTTCTGCACGGATGCATTATGATAGATCGACACCCACAGCAGTGCCCTCGTGGGTGCTACTTTCCAGCAATGCAGTGGCGCACGGAGGAAAAATTGCTTTTAATGGCGATAGCTGTTACGGGCTCTTCCCAGCACGAAAAGTGACGTCTGTTGTTGTCGTAGTAACGGGCGTTGTGGGGCGTCCGTCGTCGATGTTGCCAAATCCTTGACAAAGATTGCCTGCTGCCTGCGGAATAGAACTTGGGCCCGCTGCATGCGAAGCGGAGGCGTTGCCACTCAGCTACGCCACAGCGTTAACAACCCGCGCTATGCTTAGTGCTTTCATACTATCCAATGCCCACTGCACGCGGTTTGGGAAAAAAAGAATAGCTGATAACAAGATGCCACTGTAGTGCTAGGAATGCGAAGAGCTCGTGCTGGGAGACGCCTGTTCATGCTCTCCGGAACAAGAGAAACGAAAGCGGTCAAAACAGAATGGTCTGATGTCTATTTTGTTCCCAACGTTTTTGTTCATGCATCCCACCGGTGCGTGAACAACTTTGCCATGACTTTGTACGACCATACAGTGGATTCTTCCAAGCACATTTATGCACATGCCTTTTGAGAACGCTCTAGCTTTCTGTTCATGGTACAACTTGACTTCGATTTTGAGAGCATAATTCGTAACCTGTGAATTCTCAAGCCAAGCTGCAGACTTGCAAAGCCTCAGAGTACAAAGGCATTTCTGTGCGGTGAAAAGGGGGCCTCTGTTATGTGCAAAAATAGGCTTATCTTTTCCCAGTTGATTTTTTTGGAAGTTTCAAACCCTTCCAAGGCTCTACTTCAGGCGTTGCATTAGCAACAATTTTATGCTGTGGTTCAGTATGGTACAAGTTCATTCAACTCCATTTTTCGTGGAATTTAGTGCTTAATTAGAAACCTTTTACCCTAGGATCAACTGCTACGATGCGACCACGCCGCAGACTCCTTTTGGTGGCTTCAAGATGTCTGGCAATGGCAGAGAGCTGTAAGTGTAGCGCAACTTCCTCCATCGCCTGCCCCAATTCCTTTGTGAGGGCCAATTATCTAAGTGTCCACTTAATATCCTCTAGGGGCTATGCCGGGATCAATGAATACGTTGAGATCAAGACGGTAAGTTTTGTCCTTTTACCGAGTTCCCTATTGCAGCAAAACAGTTGAGGCAAACTTTGCTCTCCAACCTGAACAAAAGTATTGCTAAAGGTAGACATGCTCTTAAAACATTTGGGTAACAGAAAAGAGGCTAATGAGTTGGATTGTGATAGCTTAACAGGTAAATGATGGAAGACAAAAGTACTTTTGAGGTTGCAACATCGAAATCAATATTTCAGTACAGAGAGTGTAGTGGTATGCTGCCGGAAGGAAAAGGTTTGATATCTTTGGGTATGAAATATACCGGCTGCCATTTTTGTTCCAGATCACCATGAGCATCCCCGAAAAGAACTCGTAAGCACAGTCAAGGTTGCAAGAGGGCAGCTCTTTTCAAAGTGTATTCCCCACTCAGTACTCCAGGGGAAGCACGCTACATGCTCCTAAGATGAAATATTTCTAACATCAGAGATAATGCATGGTATATGCTATGAGTGAAGATCCTCTATGCTTTAGCACCTCCAGGATTAAATTTCTAAGGCTTGCAGAGGTACACAATATTTACAATTGTATCTTTTTCGTTTTTTTGGAAAGGACACAATATCAGCCGCAGCTGTTGTTTTTATTCAGAATGTTATCTGGATTATTATTGTCCACATTTGCATTATAAGACCAATCCCACGTGGCTTTCACAAGGCAGCTGCATGGTGCTTGAGGTGATCTTCAATGAATGTTGCAATGAAAAAGTAGCTGTGGTCGTACCCCTAGAAAAGGAATAAACCAGTGTTTTTTTTGTTTGAAGACTCTGCTGTGTCTGCTTACTCACCTCTTGCATTCTGAGCGTGATCCCAACACCGTTTTTCTGGCTGGCCTCCAAAAGACTTTCCGGAAGCAACTGTTGGTCTTTCAGGAAACCGTCTTCCGTTCCCTGAACAGAGAATGGAAACAAGATGAAAACAATCGTGCCATTTCAAGTATAGTAGCATACTACATCTGAAAAGTAGCAAAAAGAAGTTGCAGTATTTTGTACAAACTTCAATCCTGGGACTGATATTTGGATAATTGAGCATATAAAAGAGCCACCACGAAAACCAGCCTGCGAGCCTGGATTTTGCAAACTCAAAGGTAGCACTCGCACCCTCCCAGACTTTTCATCTGTTTTGTTTTCACGTGGAAACCCACAAAATTACTTGGTGTTCTGCAGTCGATGGCGGGTAAAAAAATGCAGTAGCCGGATACCAGGCACACTTGCGTAAAAGTGCTAACCTTTCTGTTTAGCCTTGCACGTTGATGAGTGGGCAGAACTTTACCGTGCAAACAAAGATTATTAGCTATCATTAGAAAGTCCACCCCCAGCACAAGCTTTCTACCTTCGATTACACATCAATGTCTCGTGCGTACACACTGTCGAAACAAAACAAAAGGCAATGAGCACGTACTCGATTTCTAAGTGAGAGCTAATAAAAGGAACAGCGTGCGCCCACATTGCAATAAGCACTCGCCAACTACTTTCAAAACGTAAAAAAAAAAGCTTGGACATATTGAGCAAACTTCTGAATCCACATAGTAGCTAACTGAGGTACATCCCAACATCCGCCACTTCTCCAAGACCACAAGTGCAAAGCGGTGAAGCCCATCCTGTCGCATGCCCAGTGATTCTTCTGTATCCCCTCGGTATGTTTGCTCCTAATTAAAGGAAGACACTAACAAAAAAAAAAAAAAAAAATTCTGCAAAAAAACATTGATTTTGAAAACTTGCATACTTAAATCCACCAACACCTAGAGAGTATTCCCAGAAAATTTCACTACCGTAGTTTACACTGCATAGTTAATTTTTTATAAAATATTTTCTGTCCACCGAAGCTAAAGAAAAGGTAGGTTTGGAGCACTTCGATTGAGTTTTTCTCTGTTCCACTTTTTTGGTATAAACTACATTTTAATCAATCTATCGTTTCATAATGGCAATACAGGGAAGGCTCGTTCTTCATTTTTCCTGACTGAAATTTAATAAGAAATGTGGCTAAATTTTTTTGTCACTTTATGGATGTCTTTTATAAAAATTTTGACATTTTGTCTAAGACACAAAATGTGTCTTATGATAGAAATAAATGACAATACAAAAATCATTCCATAGCCACACCTCCTAGGAATTCTGCTAATTTCTAGCGAATAAAAATCTTCAATATTGTGATAGTTTTCCGACGATAGAGTAACTAAACAATGTAGGCGTGTTGCTGATAGAAGCTGCCCTAATTTCCTTCGCACTTAACCGACAGGCCTGAAATTGTGTTACGCACCCTCTAGCATAACTACCAGCCTACCCTGTAGATTTCGTTAATTTTAAGTCAAGGGTTCAGAAGGTGTGTCCACTTAAACCCATCCTCCAGTTTTTTATGATTATCTCCATATTTTGGGCAAGTGCTTGCCCCGTATTTTACGGTCTTCGTTGTACAGAGAGACAAACGTGAGGTCTTGGTACAGGGGGATTGGTGGCCGAGCACGTTGGCACACCGCAGCTCGGAGTATATGGAGCGAAACCTTGCACCGCAGAACCCAGGGGTCCTGGGTTCGATTCCCACCCCTGCAAGCTTCGATCTGGAGAAGAGTCGTACTGGCATGCAGTCGCGTATCGCTACTGCGCGATGCACGTTGAAGACCCACGACTACTGGCTATAATTTTCGTCTACGGCATAAACCGGCATTGCCGCATCCCAAAGGCAGACAGACCTTATGCCAAACGAATACGATTGTCACGTTTGGTTCTTACAATTATTACTGCACATAATTTATACAATTACAGGTTGAGCATTAGTTTTAAAAACGAAGAAAAAAACAATTCTCGCTTCCTACCTGAACTTTCAGCACTGACCAAAAACATTCAGGTGTATCCCACTCGTCACACTGAGTATTGGAAGATGATCTCTCACAGAACAAATTATGGTAAACAAATGCTCAAACACACCCTACCGTATTTAGTACTCAACAGCCTCACAAGTAATGATTTGTACCTTAGCTAAATAACTGTGAAATTTGTGCTGTCAATGCTAAAAATGTAGCCATGAATGACTGTCAAGCCACTGTATTTAATTTTTTATTTGCTTTCCCTTTTTTATAATTTCTTTGTTGTTCTTGCTGCCGTCTGTTTTGCCACTGTTGGGGGCTGGTGAACCGTCAAGCTGTTTCCTTTTTTCCAGCTTTTTTTTCTCCGGCTTGCCCTTTATCATTGATGAGAAATACAAAACTACTACTACTACTACTATTATTATTTTGTAGTCGGGCAGACTACTAGAAGAAAAGGTCACCTGGTCAACCAGGAGCATCAGGGGAGGGCCTCTGTACTTCTGGACGAGGCAGGTGGCGTCGTGCTCTTCCCAGGCCTTCTGGTCATCGCCCAAATAGTTGGAAAAGGCCTTCTTGCCCCAGGGGCAGTTGACGGGGTTGCAGATTGGGGCGAACGCAGACACGCTCTTGTACATGCCGGGATTCTTCAAGGCGCAGGTGAGGGCGCCGTGACCGCCCATGCTGCAGTTGAGTTGGAAAAGTCATTGAGAAACTGACCTGCCAGTGGGATGGTCGGTTCCACTTGTAAGCAAATTGGAGCCAAATGCTTTTTGCAAGTTTGGGCGCAGATTTCCCTAGAGGCTAATTATTGTCTATCGGGAAGCTTTTGAACTGCATATAACTACCTAGACCTAAGGTTTTGCAGTGTTTGCGAGATCAAATCTGCGGACTACTAATGAGGAATGGTTGCTTATAACAATGTCAGAATTATTTCGAGCCCCTCATTAGAAAGGATGATGCATAAAAAATGATAAAAGCATACCATAATATCCTGAGAGATGCCCCACTCCCCAAAGATAACCCACCCCTTATTTTGGCCCGATTTACTTTTTTTTCTTCAAAAACAAACTATTGTAAAATATTGGGCAATTGACCACTCAAAATTTAGAGATAATCTTGGAAAAAGGGGGGATGGGCGCTTGTGCGGTCATGAATTTTACATATCAATGTACTGGGCATATCTTCTCAGATCTTACAAACTGTATTCTACGGTAGTCTCTGCAGACCCCTGGGCAATGGTGACCTCGGCAAAAACGGCGTTACTTAGCCACGGCGGGAGATGTGCGAACATTTCCGTCTGGGAAGGACGGTCGTCTTTGGTTCCTTGCCCCTCCCTGTGATCACAAGTTTCGCAGGTCACGCATTCTAAAAATAGCAATTTTTCCAACTCTTTTCATCGCACACAGAAAGTTAGCTTGCTCCTTATTTTCACCAGATTTGCTTTCAATTTGAGGTGAACCAATTATCTGTCGCATCTTTAGAGCTTTTTGGGGCGTTTCGACACAAGCGTCGTCATACTGCACGCTACAGCATCTCTATATGACATACCTGTGTCCAAAAATGCCCTGCCTCTTGGTGTCAACTGGGAAGTTCTCCATGAGAGATGGAAGCTTTGAAAAGTGAGGAGGGCGCCCATTAGCAAACTTCCAGGGGATACCCCCGTGGAGGATACGAGCTGAAACACTCGATCTGCGGTCCCCACAAGCTCTATCCTCTTGCAATTTGTCAAATAGCCCAAAGTCTGGGACCTCATCTTCACATTGCACTCCTTGTTCAAACCACAGCTCTCTCAAAACTTGCAGGTGCGCCAAAGAAGCTTGAAAGACTGTTTCAGCTCATATTGTTCACGACGGTGCAAACAACAAAAAATGTTGTTTAGCGTTCCGGCAAACTTCTTAGGGGTATGAGCAACGACGTAGCTTCACCTCTTTCGTGACATAAGAGTACATTTTGTAGTTCTCTTTCCACTTTCCCTGCGTCGCGTCGACATAGAACCCGGCGCCAGTGCCAAGGTCCCAGCTGTCCTCCTCTCCCTCGATGTTGCACCCACCTGCGGTTTTTGGTACGGCAAGTTAGTGACATGTAATTCTGAAACTGATGATCTCTACAATTCGAGAAGCAGCTCAAAACTTAAAGGAACAGATTTTTAGCCCCAACTATGCATCGGGGTGCCAAGTTTATCTGTTCCTTGAGCAGAGGGTACTGACATCACAGTGCCGTGCTCCGACTGGAGGATACAGCGGGTAGACACAAAAGCTACTGGCCTCGTGTCTACCCTCTATATGCTCTGATCGGAGCAAGGTTATGCAGAAGTTGGAGTGGTGTCAGGCATTGGGGCACTGAACTCCAGGATTGTCAGCTAGTCGTAGCAATGTTCTTTTCGAAGTACTTTACAAGCAAGGACTCGAACGGTTTTCGAGGAATGGGAGTGAAAATAGTTGGGAAGGTTTGCTGCTTTTGTTTACTACCAACTACCAGATGCGATACAACGAACGAAGAACTTGTGGCCGAGACGCTGCTACCAGCCGAAGATGGTAGCAAACAACAGCTGTGAGGGCGGAGCTTCATGGCGCACGTGATCACAACCTCACACCTCTTATGCGCAGAGATTAGACTTCCACTTTTTCGAAACTCCTCTCTATATGCAAAGCAACGCGTTCGGTTGACATGTTCGCTCAATAAACATTTAACAAATAATAATAATAATAATAATATTGTCACAGCAAAAAATAGACTAGAAAAGTTTGATTAATGTTCCAGGGTAAGGTTTTGTTACGAGGTAGTAATAAAGACCGAGATAGGCCATGTCCGACGGTGTTCCAGGCACATGCTGAACTGCCTGCGCCTCCAGCGCCTGTGCATTGCACCTCCTTATTCTCTAACGTGTGTGTGTGTTTGTCAACGGTGGAGCCTGTATTTGTATATAGCAATCGTAACAGGTTTCGTGTCATATGGAAATCTTGAAAACAAATGTTTACAGCTTATTTGGCCCAGGAGAGCCGGGAGAAACGCAGAAAGGCCGAATCTCGTACCCGAAGGGACAAAAATGTATACCTACGTGGGCTGGTATCGGGGCAAACGATCGCCAGGGACAGTTCGCTGGCGTATTTCTGGGCCCCAGCCTTCTGAATAAAGTTCTGTTCGGTGCAGGTCAGTCCTGAAATACAGAATCTTATCAGGATTTTGTTTTTATGCGTGACAACGGTTAAAAAGTCAACCGCATTACCCACCGGAAAGCCAGTAGAGCAGAGGAACGGGAGCCGCCTCCGACTTCGGAGGCAGAAAGATAGCAAACTTCATGGTGCATTTCAGCGTTGAGCTAAAGTGACTGTACACTTTTTGCAGACCGCCAAAGCACTTGTTACTGGATACCAACGTCAGCGCTTCCATCACTTTCTCGTTGTTACTACTGCTAAACGAAGATAACAAGAAACTTTTAAAATTCTGAATAGCAATCCCAAACCGCAAGAAATACCGCCACACGGCAACACCGGCACTTTCTTTCGCTTGGCCTGCTTGGCCGAAGATAGACGAAGGGAAAAAAGCGAAAAAGAAAAACTAAAAAGCAAGAAAAAAAAAAAAAAAAAAAGCAAGGCACAACTTGAGTAAATAGATAAGTACAACAAACAAAACTTTTGAATTAGGAGGCGGCTTGCGCTCCCTAGAAACATTAGCAGAAGACTAACCAAACCTCTCAGTTTCAGACCTTGGTAAGCTGTTGTCACTTTTATGCAAACGTCGTATCGCATCAAACTTCTCTTAGCATTTGTAACCAAAACTTTTAAAAACAAAATAACGAAATAATTCGAACGACTTACAAATCAACTTATGTTTGTGCGCTGTTACGGTGCGTTCAAGATAATGCAAGATATCCAGCATAATTTCAGTTTTGGAAAACGAAAATAAAACGTATCCAGCGATTTGCTCAGCCCCACAGGTTTACACGGCCCAAAAACAACGAAAATCGTCTTGTTTTTGTTTCAATTCGGCGACAAGAGTTTGTAAAACGTAAAAACCGCCGAAACACGGGTCACATCCGCACATCAGCAGCCGCGACACCTATGACTAAGCTGAAAGCGTTGGGAAGGCTGCTCACGGTGTGCACCGCGGTGTGCGTGCGTGCGTGCGCTCGTGTTGCCTTGACCGAGGTGAGGGGGGTCCATACGTTGTGTTGCAATTTTGTGGTGTTACACAAAGTTACTCCCGTGCGGATTTATTACACGATGGCTTTCTACGCTGTGTGAAGTGCTGTTCCAACGAAACAGGCTGAACCTGATGCCTTCACCCGACGCCATCGAAGAAGACGCGAGCTCGGTCCCAGCGAATGTTGAGTTTTCGGTTTCGACGAGACAGCCAGCCAGTCACGTTAGGCTTAGGAAAGTGATATGCAAACTGACAGGACCGAGGTATTCCTTCGCAGAAGGAACCGGTAAATGCGGATCATAATGGAAAAAGGTACGTGATCCTGGTCGGCATCGCCGCTTCCCGATCGCCCCATTCCGTCGGCGGTGGCCGTAGACCGAGCGATCGATAGTGTTTGGGTTCGAGCGAGCCAAGGGTACTGACCCTCGACGGGAGCGTTTTTCGGTGGTTCCTGCGCGTTCGACGCGCTTTCACGCGTTTGCAGCATCCACGTGCGACGCACGCACGAAACTTTTAAATGCGTCGGAAACCCTTAGATAATTCCCGTTCAGCTGGACGGCGATCTGAAGTCGTATTTGGGGCCATGCTCTGATCAAATGCCAATGTGCCTCAGGTATTTTATTTTTTTTTTTCGATCTTGAGTGAAATGATTGGTGTTATCGTTGCAATCGCGTGCAGCTTTTATTTACCCTGCACGTCCGTTGGATCGGTTGGAGCTGCTTTTTCGAAGTGCTCTAAATCTCTCTGCCGGCGTGTTTGTGTCCCCGAATGAGGCCAGCAGCTATTCGCTTCGCACCGCGTTAGAAAGTGCCTTGAGCTACGTGCTTGCAAATGCTTGGAATTCTTGCCGAGCGTTTATGACTATCGATAACGCGAGGCGTTTCCGCCCCTTCTTTTGTTCGAGTCTTGTGAACCATCCTTAGCACTCGTGTTAAATGGGAAAACCTTTGACCCGATTTGATAAGGAGAAAGTAGGTTCGTTGGGCTGCCTTTGTTTTCCAGCTGCAGCAGAAAGGGTTACGTACTGCTCCGGTAACATGCCGTGTTGTCCTACCAGAAACTTTCGTTGACTGATCCCCATTCCTGTGGATTAGCCCGTCTCTCTTATTTATTTATATGGGACAGAACGGTTCGGTGCAGTGTGGATCTGCATAGCGCTTGTTTGTCTCGATTAAGATTATACGCTCCATATTTGACGTCTCGCGAAGTTGTACCGTAACGTTTCAAACCAGTTTTTGTCTTTCCGTAGCACATCTGAGAGCGTGATGCTCAGAATCATTGGTTGGTCCACAAAGGTTGTATTCCGACGATGGTGTTGGTTCGGTTGTAGTCGTGTGGCGCGTTGCGAAAAATTAAAATACAAATAAAACGAGGAACTTGTGCGATCGGCTTGCGGTGTTCACATTCGTATTATCTTCGAGCATATAATGTATTGTTATTCGTGAATATTTGGATTACCGATAGTCGATTCGATAAAATAACTTCAAGGCCGTGTTCGGTGTGTGCAGTATGCAAAGCGCACACCACACAGTGTGCTCTGTGATATGTCAGTTTGCATTGGTTGACTTAAATGTGTGCCATTTCAGCCCATCCAGCATGGCTGTGTCCTCTAGTTTAATTTGTTGGCTGAAAAAAAAAAAAAAAAAAAAAAAAAAAAGCAATGGGTTTTAGTTTTGATCAATTTGACCTTCCAGGCAGACATAAGAGTTCCTAGAAGTCAGTTTGCATACTCTGTCTAATATCTTATGAACTTGAGACCAAGGAATACAAAACAGGATAACAGAGACATCTTTAAAAAACTCTGCATTCCTGTGCCCTCTCTGCATATTCCTCAGTCTGGAGTTTTTTTTTTGCGACACTGAACATTCACCAACTTGCCTGTTTTTCCGTGTTATTTTGGTTCTTAAATACATGATTATTTTGATTTCACAATTGTTTGTTTAGCTTATATTCAGTTTGCCTTAAGTTAAACATGCAATACACAGTTTGCTTATCCACAAAAAAAAAAAATCTAAATGAATCAGTTGGTCATTAACTTTATTTTAGTGTTTGTAATGTTTTGCTTGGGCTAATTAAGTATAAACTTACTTGGTATAAAACAGTGCCATACTCCGTACGTTTCACCTTACAATCGACCGTAGAGGGTGCTACGAGCCATCAGAGTCAATCCAAGGCCGTGTGACTGTTATATTACTTTGGAGAGGGGGCGCAGTGACGAGTTGGAGAGCATGTCATGTGCTATGTTCACAGAGCTGTATTGGCTGAGATAGTTTGTAGGCTTCGCTGCAGACGGACATAAGCTGAGACGGAATACAGTGACTTTAGCAGTTGGTGCATGTAGTCTGCTCTAAATTTTATGTAATGTAAAAATCAAATCAAATTTATTCCTAAAAAAAAAGAAAAAAAATTCACAGAAACATTTTTTTTTTTTTTTAAATTTCCCCATACACTATAGTGCTCCAGAATTCCTATTTTGAATGCACTCATTAAAGGGCAACTCCGCTCAATTCCGAAAAATTTAGGCTTACATGTGATTCCATTTCACAAAGCACTACTAAACAGCTCTACGTCTTCGGATTCTCGAAATATGGAATAATATTTGTGTAATCTTAATTTAAACAACAGCTGATACCAAAACCGAAACTTCGGTTGCGTCATGCAACGTTGGTCTCGAGTCGTCAGAGTCATGGCCACGTCACGTCGAACCACGTGGTCTTGTGACGTTCGTACGTGCGAGGTACAGGACACGCGACGCGGGATGGCCCGGGGGAGAGGGGGAAGGGAAGAAGATGAAAGAGGAGAGGGGGAGCAGAGAAACGGACCGATACGCGTGCAGGGCAGCACAAACTAGCTCATCCGCATTACGGTCATCACATGGACGCCGTTGAGCCAACAGCGGGAGGAGAAACTCATGATGTCATCGTTCAATTTTGCTCTGAGAAGTAAAAACAAACAAAACATGAGAATGACGTAGTCATGCCTCTGACGTAGTGGCTCAACGTTGGCCGCTCCAACTGCGTCGCATTGACTGCACTGACGATTGCGCCGCACGTCGCACGCTAGAGTTGGCAGATTTCGGCGACTTGGCTCAATTGAAGGTTTGCTGGCCAGTTTATTAAATATATAGACGGAATTAGATCGTAATATTTGACATGGGGTCTTCCTATATGATACTGAAGAGGACTACATAGTTTTGTAAATATCAAAAATGAAGCAGAGTTGCTCTTTACTTCGATTATTTGTGTACCCGTGTTGTTAGCAGCTCTTAATATCTTGAATTCCTCGTCACCTAAAAACAATGCTTTACTTGGGTGAAATAGATGTTTTCATAATTTTCAAAAATTTCTGTTATTGAGCCTTTTTTTTATTTCCTCTCAGTAGTTCGAGTTTATACAATTAACCCTTCCTTTTGATTTTATTCTCGTAAGAGTCTTTCAATCACCAGCATAAGTTGCTTGCTTGACTCTTCCTTTTATCTCAAATTTAAATCAAGGTAATAAAAAATTAACTGATGTGCATGAATTTGGCCGGATTTATTAGTTTTGCTAAGCAGACAGTGCATTGTGCAGCTGGAAGAAATTTTCTTTAGGAATATTCTGAGAATATCAACAAATGTAATACTTTTCAGCTGCATGCAACTAACTCCTTATTCATATAAGAGGCAGTCACTCCATAAGGGCGGATTGAACCGAGTGCAGCAAAATGGATACAAAGACTTGGTGTGAGCTTCTTGACTGTCAATTTCTTGGGCTTCGTTCATTGAGGCCCTTCGTCCTTGTCAGATATACAGCCAAAACTGGGAGGCTTCGTTGGGTGTGAAAATAAATTTGGCGTGCAGTGTGCTCATAGTGTTAATCTTGCTACTTGGTGACATCTGGCCAGATTTTTAAATGACCCTGGGGAGGATTTGAAAATTTTGTTTTATTCTTGAGGTCAGTAGCATACCTAACCTAACCAAGACTGACAAACAATCTAAGTGGGTGATTCCTTGTTTTTCGAATCAATTAAGAGAGAGGAACTGATTGTGTGGTTGTGGGTGAGAAGAGAAATTCATGTGTAATCTGTTCGGCAGCCGCATAAAATCTTCCCTCTTTTGCATATTCCTGGTGGATTTTTTGGTTTTTATTGGTTTTAATGTGCTTCCAAGTTGGCTAACTTCTTGATCCAAGCAAAGGACCTTCTGTGAACAACACCTTAGTCTGAAACGATGGCAGGATTCACTTTGCACCTTATTCTCAGAAGAAAACTTAAACAAGCACCAACACAAAACAGAGACCGCACCTCCTTAAATGTTTCCCTACTTTGCTATGGGATTTGCGCAGTGTTACGAAAAGCATTAACTACATTCTGTAAATGCACTCAACACTTGCAACTCATAAAAAAAAAAAAAATTGTTTTTCTGGGAATTGTTTGAGAGACAGACATATGCACCAATCCTCTCAGTCACTACGCACCAAAGGAGACGGTCATATTCAGACAGCTTCATTTTATGCAGGGGCACCAATGCTTTGTGGATTCACCTTCGTTTGGTGCAAATAATGTGTCCAAGACAAACATCAAAGCACCTTTTGTAACCTTTGCGGTGCAATTGCCCAGCCAAAACTTTTTACCCTTACGCCGTTGAGCCCATTTAAGAAACCTGTCGGGTCTGGGCTTTTATTGCCAAAGCGATGATATACATAGCCTACGTTTTAAAGGGATACTCCCATTGGGTGCGTTCAGTAGCGGCTCCCTTAGCTCTAAACGGAGTCGTCGGAGTCATGGAGCACCTACTGAACGGCAAAAAAAACCGCGGCTCCAAACCTGCTTCTACGCAATTTCCGCTTTCTCCCCTGTGCCAGACGGTCTCCGAATAAACTGGAAGAAGACGATGGCGAGCACGATCTCTTTTATTTGACGCCGGTATTGAAGAAGTCTTGACAAGGTGGTTGAAGAAAGAGCGGGTGACTGCACACATTAGTGCTGCTGTTCGAAGCGATGCAACACGATCGAGCCCTTCACTTGACGGTGGAAAGGCAGCTACTGTTATAAAAACCAACAAAACATCGTCAGCACACGCAAAATATAGAGCTCGGCAAATCTACGCCATTGGTTGCGATACTTTTATACGGCCATGCGTTTGTTCTACCCTTCATAACGAATTTCCTTTACAATGTATGTTATACACACGGGAAGTTCGGCCGCACTTGGCGATCAAGTTTGTCGGCCGAAGCGAGCGTCAGCAAACGTGCACCCCGATTTAGCTACACAAACAAAACATTAATCGGGATCATGCTCTGCATGAGTGTCCAACCCGCTTCTCAAGTCGCGTTCATACCCTGCCTTGCTCTGTTCAGCGCGGACAGGACTATCGTCGATATTCACCGAGTTTCCGTGCAACAGCGATTAAGACATGGCGTCAAGTGAACGTTTATGTTGTTTATTAGCTTATTCAAACCAAACAAAATGCGGTCCAATGCATTTTCCGAAAAGAGCCTTACCTGGAAAAGAAATTTGAATGCGTTATTCGTCTTACCTTGAGCACTTTTCATTAACAAAAGCGAGCAAACCGCACACCCGCGACAGAACCGAAGCAGCTTATCCCGCCATTTTGCTTGTTTTTTCTCTTTTAGCGCCGGAACCGCCGGAACTTTGTCCCAGTCCGGAATTACGTCATGCCTCGCTCCTTTCACTCCTCATGCACCGTCTCCGGAGACGGTGCACAAGAGCCTGACTCCGAAAACTCGGAGTAGCGTGCACCGGAAGTCGGTTTTTGCCGTCTAGTGGAAGGAGCGCTGACTCCTTGACTCCTGGAGCCGCTACTGAACGCGCCAATTGCCTTCGCTCTGGGCAAGTGACATATTTCGCTGCAGTACTTAGTGCGACATTGTTGTCACAGACAAGCTGTTGCCGGTCTTTTTTGTTTTTTTCTGAAAACCGGAAGGCTCTCACCGAAACTACTAGAGCGGCGGAAGTTACTCATTTAGATCACCGACCTAAGCGGTAAAATTTGGTACTCGCCAATACCCTTTCAAAGTGAACTGCGATAAGTGTTAACGTTGTGTTCATGCTAGCAGTCGTGCGATGGTACTGAACTGGTAAATAAAGGCTTTTTACAATTTTTTAAAATGTTTGTGTCTTGATGCGGTGGAACATGTTTGGGGTATCCACTGTCCCTGCAGGCTTGTCCTCACACTCCTGACTGCTTACAACCGAAAGCATTGAAACCTCTTGTGACCCCTTATGAGAGAACACACTGATGTAAGCTATGTGATGGTCATGGAACCATTGCGATTTTTGTACATCATATATTTTGTTTGCCCATCGGGCCGGTGCCGTAGCCTTCATTTTCCGCTTGTGCTACCTTGTGCAGCATGCAAGCTGCAGCGGTGCAAGCATGGGCCCTACCCCCGCTGAGCCGGGCAGCAGGACGGGCGGAGTGAGCCGGGAGCCTGCCCTCCTCCGGGGGCTTTCATGGTGGTGCAGTCGGCCATGGAGGAAGTGCGCGTGTGCCAAGTGGCGCCCCCTCCCCAGCTGCCCGTGGCCCCGCCCCCTTCGGCCACGGCGGACTCCCAGCAGGACGACGGGGAGCAGAGCGACCCGGAGGTCATGCAGGTGCGTGGTGGTCCTGCCCCCTTCTGCTGCACGTTCCCTGGATCGTGCGAGATCTCTTGTGTCGGCGGCATGATTCTTGTGTGACGGCGTTTGTTCGCTTTAGAACCTAGGCTCATGCAGTCTCCCGGAACGAGGGGTGGAAGTGAGGGAGAGTGTAGTTTGTGTTGTAGAGAGATTATTGTTTACGATTCTAAAGAGATATTAACTCGGAACTGAGATGCTAAAAAGAAGTCGGGGACTGGCAATGTTTTTTTAGTTGAGGCATTGTCTGCCCCCTATGTTCTTTTTCTGTCACCTCATTTTTCTTCTTTTTTGTGTTCCTGTCTCATAACATATACCCAAGTCCAGTTTGCCTGTGGACTGTTCATATTATCGTTAATAGAACTTATGGTATTATTATACTCCATTTTAGCTAAACTCAGCAAATGGCAAGAGCTACGGCCCCGGCAAGCCAATCGGAGGGTTGTGGCGAGTTCTTTGACAATGTACTGCCAGAGTACACTCCTGCTGTGGAGCGCTGCCACATGCTTAGCTCTGTCTCTCTCATTGACATCAGGAGGCCGTGGTATGCGCCCTTTTCCAAGTTAAGCTGAAACGAAGTATACTATCATTGCTTCTTTTGTCAACTGTTCTATTACTTTGTTTTCTGGATTGTGGGGCTTGTAGACGCAAGTTCGGTTGCCTCAGCCCGGAACTGATTCCTGTGAAACTGAGCAGAGATATAAAAATGTGACAGGCTGAGTAGAGATATAAAAATGTGACTGAGGCTGTCACACTTATAGTTCCCTTAAAGGGGCAATGCAACAATATTAAAGGGACCATGAAATGACCATTTTACTTTGGTCATATAACTTTTACATTAAACCGTCAGTGTTCACTGAATGTCGAACAGGCATCCGTTTTTTTCTCGGTTTATTAACTTCTACACAAAAAATTAATGAAATATTGACTTTTTCTTTCTCTCCAACTGACCGCAAAACAAGCTGCGGCATAATTTTGACGGTTGTGACATACCCTGTTTTCTAGAACCGGAAGTTCTCTCGTCAGTAGGAGAATTAGCGGCGGCGAGTTGGCGGTGTGCCGGCAAGTTTTACTGCGCTGATGGCACTGATGTCACCGATGTATTTTCTGAATCGGCGTCTCCCATCGCCGCGATAGCCATGGACACATCGCAGCTGAGCGAGATTCAATTAGATATGTTGCGCTACAGCGACAGCATGGGACTAGTCCCATACGCCGGTATGCCTGTTGGGAAGTGCGGCGAGTCTTCCGGTGAAGACTCCAGAAGTCAACCCAACTGTCATTGTTGGTAAAAGGCGGCCCGTGTCAGTCGTTTGCAAAGTGACGTAGATAGAGACAAATGGCCGGGGCGTTTTTAGTGGCCTCGGAGATGCAGGAGTGAGCCGACGTTAAAAAAGATACGTTTGAACTATGAGAGTGTCAGCAAGAGCCACATAAATACCTGTTCACACTCGTAGCGGACGCGCGCGTTTGATGGGAGTGCGGTATTCGCGCCGTTGGTAAGTGCTTCGGGACCAATCTTTTACGATTGCAACTCAATACTGACGCGACACTTGGCAAAGGAAAGTTGGGCCGGCATTGCGCGTAGCTCCCACGAACTGTTATAGCTCGATAGTGACGTGCAGTCTGTCAGAATAAAAATGGCATACTAATAACAAAGTGTACATATTGTGTTACGAAGGTAATCCATACGGCATTTATTTGAGCTCTATATCACACAAAATAAGAAGATAGAATTGACGAGAGTCCCTTTTCGACGACAGTGTTCGTCAACACTGCCTCGGAAAACAAGGGGAAGAGATTGACCTCACCCCTTAATCTAAAATTGAGGTCAGCGATCAAAATACGGGAAGGGTCTACAAGGGTCGCGCAGGCATATTTCATTCAGCATGCCAGCCGGTCGTAGGCAGACTGTCTTTGCCAAGTACCGTCGAAGCAACGCTGCGCCGGAGTTGGAGTACCTGCTAGGCCTATCTACCGAGCTCGCTTGGTCGCGGATCGGTGAATTCGTGGCCGTTCTGGCTTTGTTCGTCGTGGTCTGTTTCAAGTACTTTGTTCTTGCTGCTTGAAGTTGGGACGCGCGAGAAGAACGCATAGAAAAATGAACATTCCTTGATCGTCGCGGCGAAGTAACTGAGCCCAACTGGCCCAACGCTGTCGGCCCGTCCGCCCTACCGCCCGTGCTTCGTTTACCACACGATAGATGGCGCTTGGCTCTCAGCATTATCAAATTTGGCAATTTTTGTCACATCTCTAATTATGCTGCAAAATGTGGATCTTCATATTATTTAACAAAACGTTTAGGGAACATTCGCCGGCTATTTATTGTTTGCGATTGCGGTGCTGGTGAGGTAGGCTCTTACCGAATAGGCGACGTGGATTCGGCTGACGTGCAGCGATTCCGCGCATGCATCGCAGTGAAAAGGCAGAGAGCTTTCGAAGGAAAGGCACAAAATAGTCCAGTTTTCTTTTAAAAGTTCTATAGCGAATAATTTTTTTTGGCTCCCTATTTTTGTGTTTTTGTGTTTCTTTTCACACCTTTTACGATGTGCGGTGTATGAAATTCGATTTCAGAATCGTTTCATGGTCCCTTTAACTTCGAATGAATTTGCAGTTTTAAATTTTTACATTGTTTAACTTACCAAAAAGAACGGAGAAACTGCCTCATTCTTTTGAAACATTGCGATTCTGTTACGTAATTGCAAAGAAAAGAATTAGGACATTTCGCGATTCGCAGCCACGTGGTGGCGGCCACAGGAACTAAGGCGTGACGCGGAATGGGTGTAATGTAATAGGTTGGCAAAATGTGCCATTATGTGCTTAATCTAATGCCCTATTTGATAAATATTGTTGTTTCAACATGGGTAAATACGTCAAAGACATCATGTCATCAACATAGTTGTACCATATATTCAGTTTTAAAGCGCCATCTGCCCAAGGTGAAAGAAACTATTCCTCCCTTGAGCTTCACCTCGTTGTGCTACTACGTCAGTCAAACTTATTTACAAAGAGGCGAGCTCTTCGTTCTCTCCCCCCCCCCCCCTCTCCCCCTCTCCACATCGCTCCGAGCCTCAGACCAACCTTCAAGGTCACCACGTGAATCGCAAGCAGAGGCCGTCCGCGTTGAAGGCACTGAAAGAGATCCCAACTGGATACTCTCTATCTCCATTGCGCGTCACTGTGCACGTGACTTGGAAGGTGCAGCAGTTGAAGTTGGTTTGGAGGCGCCCAAAACGTCAATTGTTTTACTTTTTTTTTTTTTTTTTCTGAAGAACTAACGTGCGTAGGCAAAATTTCTTTTCGGTTTTTATATGTGACAGGGAACAACTACCACAATTATTTGACTGAAGTCCAAACATTGTTGCACGACCCCTTTAATGGGGCGAGTGCTCTAAGGGTGATGCTCTTCCTCACACTCCGAGGGCATGATCCGTTGCAGAGGTCATAGGTGCAGTTCTGTTATTCACCAGTTGTCTCGAAAACAGAAGCAACAATACTCAACTTTTACCTCATGAGCCGCAGTAAAAAACGTTGACCCCTCGAAGAGCATTACTAATTTCTCCCTTTATGCAATGAATTAATGAAATGTACATTTGAGATTTGTTTTTGGGTGTTTTACCTGAAGCCCCTCTATACTGAAAGTAACACCTTGCCCTCTTTCTCCTGAGAATATCGCTCTTTCAACACCTCCTAGAAGAGAAGGCCGTAGCGCTCTTCTCGTGATGTCGCAAAGAAAGGCCATTGGGGGCGTGCGTTGAAGCGAAGGCAACGCACATAGATCGACCGTCGTAACGCGCTTTTAGTTACATACGCGTGTCTTATTAGCTAAAATGAAAGCTGCTCATAGCAAGGGGTCTTGAAAACATTTTTTTACACAGGCAAAATATTACACCGCTAAATAATCAATATAAAATGGTAAGAGGTAGGCGTAAAAGAGAAAACATTGAGTCACGCAATTATTGCTGTAGGAAAGCATATTTTACAGATAAATACTTCGACAAAATGGCGAGACATGCAGTGATTGGACACAGCAAAACAGATCACAGTTAAAAATCGGTTAGCGTAGTCAACGCGGACACGGCTAGACAAGGGTCACTTACGATCATGTAAGCGATGTTATCGCGTGCAGTCACTGAATTCTTGCATCATACCCCGGCCACATGCCAAAAGTAATGTAATTTCGATCGAATGATATTTTGGGGTCGACATATCAGCTTGCGACGCTCGTATAATCGCTCAAGACCGCGATCTGATTAAGTCCCATATCATTTAATGAAAATATATTAACTTTTCCGTGTGGCAGGGGTACTAAACTTACTATTTACTAGGGATGCCGCAAACTTTTTTCGAATCAAAGTATCGATGATCGAATCAAGCAGTTAGAAAGGTTCGAAAGATTTCGAATTTTCGAACTTTCCATTTTGAGAAATTCGACGGAAGTCGAATTTTCGAACTTGTTAAACTAAGAAGTTTGACGCCTTTCGAATTTTCGAACTTATTATGCTGCAAAATTCGATGCTTGTCAAACTTTCGCATTTGATAGACTAAAAAATTCAATGATTTTTAAACTTTCGAATTTCTTGCACTAAAAAGTTTGAAGCTTTTCGAACTTTCGAACTTCCTACGCTAAGAAATTCAATAATGTTTGAACTTTCAAACTTATTAATCTAAAGAATTAGAAAATTGTCGAACTCTCGATTCCTGAAAAGTCAAAAGTTCGACGAGCTTCAAACTTTTAGGGTAAAAGTTAGAAGTTCGTCGAACTTCGAAAGACCGGCGGGCGGTTTCATTTGGATTCAAGCAGTGAGGTACATCCATAATTTTTTTTCCACGCAATATAACATGGGGTGCCGCATTCCTTGCGAAAGACAATGCCGTTTATTTCAATCATCTGGCATGCTTGGTTTTAGCAAAATAGATTCCCAAAAAAGCGAGGAACTACGACGGGTTTTTGACAATTGTCGTTTGTGCCATACTTG